AAATTGTCATTGTGTGTTCGGCGCCCGGGGGCGCCCGGGATGCCGTACACGCAATGGTGAGGAGGGTTTGGTTACTGGTTCTGAGTCGATGTGGGTAGCTGCCTACATCGAAATCAGAACCTGGTTCTTTTGCTTTTTTTTACAATTTTTTTGGGGGGATCATGGATAGGAGGTTATTGGAGTCTGTCTTGGGGTTCTTTTGGAGAAGAGAGGGTGGAATTGAGCTTTGGAGGGTGTTTTTTTTTGTATTTTGGGTGTTAAGCGCGCTTGGATGGGTTGTGCTTCGCTACTTCCTAATTAGACGCGTCGAGGGATATAGGAATCCGAGCTAGGCGTAGACTGTCTTATAATTGTCAAGTTTTACGTGAAGTTTACGTTGGTTCCTTCCCAAATAAGACACAGAGAGAGGCTCGTCTTTTGCCGCCTTCGCATTTTTATATCATATGAGGATGTCTCATAACCGTTCTCGCACATTCTGGTCTTGATTAGAGTGTCTTTGAGATTCTTTCAGATGGCCTCCTTTCACCATGCTTTCAGTGTCCCAGGGCGTTATTCTGGGTTCCGCCAGGCATTTGCATTAACTCGTGGGTTTCCTTTCTTCTTCATCGAGCTCATTGTTTTCCACCTTCCGCAGCATAAGCCATAGGGTTTCTTTGTCCGAAGTTTCACCTCCTATCCCTCGACAACCATGCGTCAAAAGGCAGCGAATAGAACAAAACAGTCTCGGAGGGCCTTTGAGGGCTTCGAGGACCGAACTCGACACTTCAAGAAGGTATATCCAAGTGATACTAAGTCGACAACGACGTTCTGGTCTGCCATTGCCTCGACAGTGCTGGATGCCCCTATCTATTTTGAGTAGGTTAGGGAGAAGTGGATTGTGGGGAGGGAGGGGTTGATAGTATGCCTCTGTGAGCACCCTTGGTGGAATCGGCAGTTGCTGCTAGAAATGGTGTGGAAGGAAGAGCATTTCGAAGCTGTGGATTAACTAGGTCCATTAAAAACCCTAATGGGCATATTCCCTTGCGTTTCTTAAACTTCGACGTCTGCGAGCGGTTCTTCAGCTTTGTGCAGTAGTGCACTTGCAACGTCCTTTTAGTCCTTCCTAGGAAGAACTCTGCAATTTTGTCCCATGGCAATTTGTCATCCTCTTTCAGCTGTATTAACAGTTCGTCATTAGCTGCTAAATATGTTAATTGCCTACTAGGTCTGCTTACAATTCGTTCTCGTAAAGGTAGTTGCTTTCTCTGCTTCTACACAGCTAGCAGTGACCTCTTAGCATGTATGCAAACCTATAAATAAGCTGACCCTTTAACTAGTTCCCTACTAGATGTAGAATTTAATATATAGAGACTAATTAATAGTTTAAACGAATCTAGAAGATCTAGCAGCCTAAACCCTAGGTTGTAAGTTGTCTCTTATCTAATCCTCACATACTTAAGAAAGTCCTAAAGAGGATATTCTTAGTAGTCTGTGCTTAGAATTAACTCTATAGTATCTAGTGAACTCTAAGAAACTATAGAACCTTAAGTAGTTGTAAAGCGTAAGCCTAGGGTCTCACGGGAGTCCAGGGAACCAGGTCAGGAGGCAGGAAGGGTATCGCATTCAGTAAGCACAATAGGTCTACGTAGATACAGCGACTATTGACTGGAGTCCTCCACTGAGGCTCCAGCCCCTGATATATCTTCCTATCCCGTGAACCCTAATAACCGGGCTATACCCGAATGACAGCTCCACCGTAGGGCTGCCTTCGGCGTGGCACCTCACGTGCCATCACGTGAGGACCGCCTTACAGTAGTATAGGTCTAGGCTTAGGCTATATATAAGGACATAAGGCACCATATTATAAGGAGTAGCATATAAAAGTGTATGTTAGATAGAAGTTAGTACAATCCTATAGGTCTACTATAAAGGATATAAAAAAGATAAAGAGAGAACCCCTTAAGTCTATTCCTCTTTATATCTAAAACAGGTCTAACTTAGTTAGCTAGCCCCTAGCTCCCTACATGTAACTACCTTAGCTCTAAGTCTAATCCTAAGGATGTCTAGAGGACCCCCTACGTCCTATCATCTCCCCATCCTTGTAAGGACACAGGGCACTATATCACAAGAAGTTGCATATAGGAGTACGAGTCAGATAGAAGTTAGCGCAATCCTATAGGTCTACTACAAAGGATACAAAAAGGATGAAGATGTAACCCTCTATAGCTGTTCCCTTAAATACCCGAAACCCCTCCAACTCAGCTAATTCCCTATTTGCCTAAGGCTTCCTTACGCTATGTGCCTAAGGCTGTCAGTCGCGACTGACCCGTAACGGCCCCGAGTCTCGATGGCGCCACGTGACGGCCGTAACTAACCCGAGTAAGGAGGCATCCTTACAATCCTCCGCCTAAGCTAGAATGAAGTTCAGACTACCATCTACTAACCTCAACACTGCTATGGCGGGTTGAAACTTTAAATATGAGGCTACTCACCTATGGCGGCAGGGTTGAAACTTTAAATATGAGACTACTCACCTATGACAATGAAGTTGAAAGTTTAGATTAGGCGGGGGGGGCGGCTAAATGTTAAAACCCGGGGTAGTCCCAAACCTTAATCAACCATACCAAATAATTAAGTAGATGTCGACGACGTTGATGTTATTGAAAAAAAACCTCCTTAATACTTCGCCTTGCCTCGATGGTATGTAAAACTGTGCTTAAGTTTCTATCCACCTCCATCCTGTGTAGGGAAAGCGTATCTGAACCAGGAGGAATTGAGCTGGGCGAAGTTTCGTTCTAGACATATTCACAAATAATGATTTATATAACTCAGAAATCGTGTAGAAGAAAGAGCCTTATTAAATAGATAAAGAGGTGGGGAAAAACTTTATGTATACTCAAAGTACCAACCAAAAACACCGCCAGCAGGTGGGTTCTGGGATTAATGCCCTATATAATACATTTGAATCTCTACTTAAAAGGCCAAAACCAACCCTATGAAGGCAGCCCCTAAGACTGCTCCCTCTAAAGACATCTGCCCGATCCTCCCAGCCCCACCTTCACAGCCTACAATGCCGAGAGTGAGATTTTGACCTTGTGCCACAACCCTAGCACAATCCAAGAAACCATCTGTCTGGTTTTTGTTTACCCGACAGTATTGGCTACGGTACAGTACCACTGGTTAGTATGTCTCCTCGAACTGAACAATGAAGAAGTTAGAATTTGACACGAAAAAATTCAACATACGTGCATGTACTTGTATAGTATATCGGCTGGTTTGAGGCGCAGCATTGAGTGAAATCGAGATGCGTTTCGAGTGACAAACCGCAGACTGGACCCTCCTTTGCAAGCGTCGAATTGATTTCTGCAGGTATGACATATTTATCGCACACGGGTTCAGTAGTAGAGTTTTGCGCGAAACATAGAGAAACAATCGAGGAGAGTAACAGTATGATGTTGGTTGAGGATAACATTACGGACTATTTCGAGCGTGCAGAATACGATGTAATGCAGTGGTGTGTAGACAAGCATTATATAGAAATGCTTCGACGAATGTTACCTCGCTGACTAATGTTATATCGTGTTCGCGGAGCGAATGACTTTCAAATAGGAAGGACGACGTACGAGCATTAGGCGCTTAGAATTGTCTTTCTCGGAGGAGGAAGTCCAAAATAGGTAGGTAGGTAGGGTGAGGTAGGGTGTTGGTTGCCAAGGCTTTCGCCTTGGCGGGACAAACAAGGGCCAAGTCTCTCGCCCTCCTCGTCGTCGGCGAAGCCGAAGCCCTTCCAACAATCCTACAGGGAAAAAGTGTTTCAGCCTTGACTAGAAGACCCTAGTGTTGGAGGCAATTGGGGGCCGGCGGGGATCGCCGTACAGATTAGCTGCCAATCCTCGTTACGGCCGCAATTATCACTTTGGCAGTGAGTGCAGTCGGCTCAGTACCTTAGGCAGTACTCCGTACAGTATCACAGTATATAGTCGTATATAGTATAACAAATCAATTAATTAACTTAACTATTCTACGCACCCTGCGTACGGTATTTATGCCGATCGTGAGCCCCTTATTCCGTAGGAGTGGAGGGCTCCTACTCCGTGCCTGGTGACAACGACGATCCCAACATCGTATCCACCTGTCCCATGGGGCTACGGTCAGCATACAACACCTAGCTACGTAGATATATTGAGAAGACGGGAGGAGCCTGGAGGTTCTCTTGTTAGAATAGGCACGCAGTATCCAAGAAAGAGTTTCTTTAGAGGCGAAATTTACCCTTACAACTGCATCGGCGGTAGATAAGTTGTTACCGAGTAGCCTCGGTTAGAATTAACCCTTGCAAGTGCATTGGTGTTGGATAAGTTGTTAGCCATGGTTAGAGTTAAGCCTTGCAAGTGCGTCGGTGTTAGATACCTAATTGGCTTTATTTCAGTTGGTCTACGTGTATATGGGTGTCTTATAGGGCAGTCATAATCAGCTCCCTTCAACATGTTTATTTTAAGGATTCACATGCGTCCTAACGGAATACCATCTAGTATAGGCAGGTTGGATTTCCTAGTAAGTGTTGGAGAATCCTTCAACTCAAGTAGAGGCAAGTTAAATTTCTTAGCATATGTTGGATAATCCTTCAACTCGGATATGTGACATGAATATTCAATTGTCGTAGGTGTTGGATGGTCCTTCAACTGGGATATGTGCCATGAATACTCAGCTTCCAAGAACCAACAACCTTTTCGTATGGATGAACCCTACGGATGATCATTGCGATGGAGAATTGACTCCCTGCAAGCAAATGCGCTCATTCAAGAAACTGATCCAGGAGTGAAGAATCTAGTGGTTTGGAAAAGAATAAATAGAGCACGATGAGCTTTCTCAAAACACTAGGACAAGCAACTCACTCGGCACAGAGTTACAAATCCTAGCAAAACTTTCACATCGATTGTAAGTGAAAGTATCAATATCCGATGGATTTTGTTACTAATGATCACAGCTTACTCCTCCACTCAGCCAAGATGATGTTTCTTGCAGCCATGACGTGGATTGTGCCCGTCGTTTTGGGAGCTCCACACCTGTCGTCTCTTCCACGAGATCTCAAGGAGGCCAGCCTTCTCATCAAGTTCGACAAAACGAGTCTGGAGCAAGAAGTCGTTGTTGTGGACATGGAGTCCCAGGTCTTAGGACAGTCCTGCAGCAAGACGTTAGATTCTGGGGCCTTCGCCGACTTCCCCATCTCTACAGACCTTGATTCAAACGGTGCAGGTAACTTTGAAACCGTTTTTTTTCTTCATTTTCCTCCCCTTATTCTTCATGTGCAGATACTGACACGATTTAACATAGGGAATATCACACTAAACGGGCAATCATACATGGTGCATGAGCATGCTGATTTCTCAGGAGGAATCACCTGCACCAGAATGTACAGCGACGCTGATAGCTTCGTACGATGCTCAATCAAGGTCCCCAATTCCCTACAGGCCAAGCCTTTGAGCGCGGAAAATAGCAAGGCTTGCTTCACTCGTGGCACACTTGACATGGAGACAACTTCGAATATCTTTGCAGCCCGACTTGCAGGGTCAAAGGAATACGATCTTAGTGAAATCTCACTTTCAACGTCCGAGCACCCCCCAAAATCAAACGTTCGTGGAACTAGCGGCGCGAATGGTCCTCCTGATTGCGCTTGGCACTCTGACGTTGTCCTCATTGGTAACGGGGATCCGCACCAGAATTACCTCCACACTCAGCTTAGTGTACGTTGTGGACTGAGCATCCCCCCCAACCCCCAGTCCAAACTATTTTAATGAAATAGAGAAGTCTAACGTATATATTACTGTAGATACCTATTCAGTGCGGTGGAGCCGACAGCTGCAATGTCGGAGAGAGCAACGCTATATCATACTCTGTTAACTACAGTTTTGGTGGTAACTTCTTTGGTTGGGCATCGGGCGGTTTCTCCGTGACGAAAACTGTGATGACTGGGAACCAACACGGCTGCGTTGGCCATAAAGGGCAAACCGTCTGCATCTGGAAGAACACTGCGCATACAGCTTATAGTGTCCGTGAGCGGCAGCGAAGTCGATGCGATCCAACCCAATTCGGTGACAGATATGTGCTGGTTTCACCAAACGACCATACAGTAGGAAGCTACTACTATTGTGTCGTCGGTTCGTGTCAAAACCAGGGCAATTCGTGGATGGACAGAAATGGACGTGCAGGTGGCCCATGATTAGTTGAGTAGCTAGTTTAGCATTTCATATGCTAGGAAGTAAACTAGAGACAATTATACTTGAAGTACATCTTAAAATAAGGTATCTCCCTTAAATCTATGTGCATATCTCTAGTAGCGCTGGCAAGAGAGCTATGTTCAATCTGCGCTAGAGCATTCTGTTACTCAGATGAGCTCTGCACAATATAACCTCGCTTCTGTGGTAAAGAGATAGATAAAATCGTAAAAGATAGACGAGAAGTAAATCATATGAACTATATCACCCATTTCCCCATCCCCAACCGTCCAAACCACCACACACAAACACACAAACAAACAAACACACCATCTTCAATTCCCACTCCCTAACAACACCAAATTAGCCACATTCATAATGGCAATAAATAACCACACCACAACCGCAAACACGGCCGTTACCCATCTATTCTTGAAACTGACTACACCTTCCTCATCCCCTCCCAGTCCCAGTCCCACCAGCGTCACCACCAGCACCCCCCTCCCCCCCTCATCATCACTCTCCTCCTCCTCCTCCACACCAGCTCTCGGCGGCCTCACAGTCATATACCTCCCCCTACAAGTGAAATAAATCAACGACGCGATCACAAACGGCAGCGCGACCGACTGCGCAACTTGACTCCCATTCAGCGCCGCCGTAAGCCCCTCCTTCCCCACCGGCGCGGCGATAATAATAGATGGCGTGATACTAATCAACCTCATTACAAGCCGTCGCACCCAGGGGGGCGCGGACCAGCGGAGCGCACCCTCCGAAACCATTTGCCCGGCGATGGTACATACGATGCCTGCGGCGATGCCGGAGAGGAGGACCGCGAGCGCGAAGACTGTGCCGGCGACGGGAGCGACGGTGGTAGAGAGGAGGTCGTGGATGGCGAATAGTGAAGCTTCTTCGGCGGCGCTAGAGGAGTGTAGTGATGCGCCGGCGAGGATGAGGAGGGCGGGGTTGACGAAGAGGGCGAATGTTAGGAGAGAGATGGCGAGTTCGGTTGTTGATTATTCCCATTTTTAACTTTATATCTCCCTTGTCCTTTTGTATCGCAGCTCATTCACTGCACGCCTGCTTCAGTTTTTGTTGTTTTTCCTACGTGCATATTGCTGGTCGATATGAACACCCGCACGCCATCCCGCGCACCGCGCACGGAGCAGAGAATCCAGGGGAAGAAACGCAGTGGTAATGGAGTTGTCAGGGAGCTGAAGAGGGAGCTGAAGAGGGATGTGGAGATTATGGAGAGGGGGTTTGCGGATCATCTTAAGAGTATGAGTGAGGAGGTCGGCTCGAGCGATGAGGAGGATACGGAGGATGATGAGGATGACAAGGACGATGGGGATGATGGGGATGACAAGGTTGACGAGGAGGAGGAGGCGGCGGAGGAGAATGACAAGGACGACGAGGAGGAAGAGGAGAAGGCGGAGGAGAATGACAAGGACAAGGAGGATCATGTTCATCATCCGAGTGGAGACGAAAACAAGGATACACTTTCTCGGAAGAGGAAAAGGGACGATGAAGATGACGGCGAAGTCAGCTCAGGAGAAGAAATTTTTGAACCCCCCGCAGTCCAGATCGACAGTGACTCTCCGGTTATTGGCCCACCACCAGCAACGAGTGTGTCTACGAGTGCCTCCATCGCTGTGAGTGCGCCGCTGACGAAGAGTGTCCTCAGGCTGCTGGCTTAGAACCAGCACCGACTACAACTTCTCCTCCCACGGACAACATCCCGTCTCCAGCTGCTCCTGGAACAGTTCAAAATGGCAGTGTCTCTACGGCTATCAACCTGCCACCAGCAGGGAGTGTGCCAGCCGGTGTTGACACACACACCGCCGGCACTGAGTGTCTCTAAGGTTGTTAAAGCACCACCGGCAACGGGTGTCAGTGTCCCTGGAGTTGATAAAGCACCACCGACGACGGGTGTCAGTGTCCCTGCGACTGTTAAAGCGCCACCGACAACGAAGCCACCCACAACGAAGTCACCCACAACGAGACCTCCCACGGCGGGACCACCTACGACGAGACCGCCAGTAACGAAACCACCCACAACGAGACCGCCGACAACGGGAGTGTCTACGATTGTCAAGGCACCGCCAACAGTCCCCCTCCTAACACCCTTGATCCGGCCCCCCATCCCTCCACCTCCTAAAATCCTCGTCCATTTCATCCGCCACACCAAGGTAAGCCTCCCCAACTACTCAGAACCTCATTAACACTATCCACAGGCAGTCCAGGACTACGACCGCAACAACCGCACGATCATACGTCCCGACCCCCCTCTGTCCACTCTTGGACACAATCAAGCTGCCACAATCAAGCTGCCACAATCCGCAATCACTTCCCCCGCGTCGGAGTGACACACATCGTCACCTTCCCACTAAAGCGCACGGTCGAGACGTCTCTGCGAATCTTCTTCCCTCTCCCTCCTAACTCTCCGAAAATACAAGCCCAGATCGTCCCTGCGCTGCGCCCGGTCCCGCCGCCGACTCTGTTCAACATCCCCTCGCACCCTAAAGCGCTCCGTGCCATGCTTTCGACAGGGTACCATGCGCAGCATCGCGATGCGGTGGATTGGTCGGGGCTGCCGGCGTATCCGAACCATAGTACCACGTTGACGTCTCATGCGCGGACACCGGCAATGAATCGGATGATGATGTGTGCGGATGCGGCGAGGGAGGGGAGGGGTTGAACCTAATGATTGTGGGACATGGGTCATCGATGGGGGAGCTGTTTGGGGCGATGGGTGGGGTAAGCTACATTCGAGGGAGTCGTGGAGGACGTATAAGTTTCAGCAGATGGGGTGGGTGTTTGAGGAGGTGAGGATGAGGAGTTGGATGTAGGACTGGAGATGGCGATGGGGGGATATTTCGTCATTTATTGCGTATCTGCGTTTAGATATAAGTATAGACTGTAATTTATACCCATTTATTCAGAGCTACGAGTACTCTTTTCGAAGTGGGTGTTTGTCGGGACTGAAGCTACGTTCAATACCTGGTGTTTTAGTAGTATATCTACACAATCGTGCTACACAAATATATTCAGGGGCCTCGAAATAACACCCATCATTTATTTCAGCAATGATGCCATCTTGTCAGGTACGAGTCTAGTTTTTCTTCCAAGAGTTGTTTTTGGAAAGCAGAGCTTATCAAACAAGTAGCAAAGTTTCAGGATCTGTATTTCATCAAACTAGCTAAATACGAGCCACTTTTGATGCGTCAAACCCATTATCGCCATCCTTTGGCCAGGCATGAAAACACCATACCCTCAACATAATCCCTCCTTCATCATAGCCATTTAAGTGAAATAGCAATTGACAGACCTGAACACAATATCCGTAACTTCGTGCTCGCCCGCATAGAATGGCGCATGTCTACCAAGGCAGTTTCCAGCCCTATAACGAACGATATTAGCAAAATTACTACTGACGGATATCTGCAGTGCAGCATTGGAGGTCGCTACGTACTCGAATACGTCGCATCGAAATGGAATCCTCACGGTCAGTGTATTGTAGATTGGCCTGTTGTTTGGTTAGTACCTCGGAGCTATATATGTAGGCTATTTTGATCGATGTGTGGGCTTACTGTGTTTTCTTGAAGTTGACACAACCTGGCCCTGTCACGTCGAAATTCTCTCCGCCTTTGGTTGAGAATCTCCCCTGAATTAAAATCACTATTAGCTGTCTGTCTCTATTTCATTCTGGAAGTTATTGCGAGATCTTACCCAGTAATCTGGGCCTTGGGCGGTAGCTAAGGAAGCTAGGGCAGCAAGTGGGAGGATTGTAGAGAAGCGCATTTTGAAGTAGGTGCTTGTTTTCGAAGGTAGGTTCGAGAGTGCGTGCTGTCAAAGAGTAAATATCTGAAGGGAATTATGCTGGTATTATAGCTGGTGAACCCATTTAATTATATGTTGTGTATCGCCTTGCCTTACGTTACTGTGTGCAGGGGGACCGTGATGCCCGAGACAACGTCGGGTATTATTGTCTTGTAATGTCTCGACCCTTCCATCAGCTTGCACTCGAGCGTAATTTTCGTAGCTGATCTTCCCAAATCCATCATCACCCGTTACAGTCTCAGCACTTATGTCCAAAAAAAAGTCTCACCACAAATATCTGTCACATTGCAAGATGGAACTAGCTCGTATGTAAAAAGGGGCCGGAATAGTAGCCTTGGCACAACTCCTCTATTCTACTAGACTAGTGCATCGGACTGAGTTGTATATGATACCAGTAACATCGTGGACTCCTGGATAAAACATATCGTATATATCATCGCTGCAGTCTCGTTTACTATACGATATCAGCAAAAGTTGCTACAAATGTCTCCAGGGTAGGGGTTGTGACGCACCCATATAATTGGCATTAATTAGCATCAGTCACCGTTAGTTATTATATGGCTGCTTATTATTTGTTAATGTCTCTGAGTTATGTAGGTATTTTAATTGATGTAGGCTTACTCTGAAGGCTCCCTGTTGATGCAGCTAACTGATACGATGATGGAGACTCCCCCATTGTTGTCCTCGAATTTTGCCTACGTTAAATCACTATTAGCTAGCTGTCTCCATTTGTTTATTTTAAAAACCAATGCAAAATCTTTTACGGTAGCCTTGAGCGGTAGCCAAGGAAGCAAGGGCAGCAAGTGGGAGAATTTTGGAGAAGAGCATTTTTTGGGGATTCGAAGGTAGGTTTAGGAGTGCTGTTGAAAAGAAAATATCCAAAGGGAGTCATGTTAGTCTTATAGCCCATGAGCTCATTCAGTCATGCGCTCCGTATCAGCTCAGCTAACTATGTGCAGATTGACTCTGAGGCCCAAGACAAAGTCGATAATTGCGCTGTCTTAGCAATTCTCAATCCTATTGCTCCAGCTGCTCTCGGGCATAGCTGAACTTCCCAAATGCATCACCGGCCGTTACTGTCTCCTTTGCTATTTCTAAAACCTTACCAACTATCTTTGTTACAGCTGCAAAGGGAAACTACCAGGCCTGCAATAAACGCCGGAATAGTATCAGCTGCGACGAGGGATTGATTAGTAGCCCTTGCTTCAACAGCCCAGCGAGTTACACTACTATCACAGTGTGTAAAGTATGTCTCTAATTCAGCTATACCCCTATTATTCCGGCCTTTATTGTATGCCTTCGGGAGGTCAGCTGAGAAAACCGCCGTTGTGAAACCTCCCAAAGGACCAGTCGGTTGCCCGGCCAAATGCCTAGAAAAACTACTCATCACATCACAATTCATCTCTGCCCAGGGACGGGTTGTCTTAAACAGCGCAGAAATGTGTAACAGGTATCATGCGATGTTACCAGAGAATATCGGGTGTTTGAGCGTGGTTACCAGCTATACGTAGTCTTGGCCCAACTTTGCATGGCGTTCTGGGGACTCTTACGTTGGCTGGACGAAACGGGAGGCTTTTGAATTACTACGCCATCTAACGGGCGTACATATCGTATCTCCAGGTCTCTGGGACTCTTCCAAACAGCAGTACAAGTCATTATGCAAAAACCCCATATCACCCCAACTTCTCCGTCCTACCTGACTGAACCCTGAGACACCACCAATCCCCTCCTCACATCTAAGACACCAATCTATCACCCGCATCCCTGGGTATTGGCTGGGCCTTTCGCTTTACGACGTACTGTCTAATACCAACACCCTGAACTCGCTCCTTGAGAGATAAGCTGGGCCTGGAACATATTTGAGCACAAAATTTTAACTTATCTGGGGGATAGAAATGTAAGGTTTTCGTTCGGGTGAAATGGCTTCGGGGGGGGGAAATGTGACATGTCGTACTGTTTGTGAGACACCATACGACTATGGTATGGTATTGATTCTAGTTTATTCGCGGATGCTCGTTTATCCGCGGGGGATAGGAGGGCTTGAGGATCTGGATTATGGCTTTGAGTAATTGAACACCTTTGCTTTAGTGCTGGTTGCTGTGAATAGTATTCATAGCCGTAGTCCCTCATACGTAGTATGGGAGTAGTTTAGTCAATCAGATAAGTCTGTCACTTAACAGTCACTAAAATAATAAAATGAAGATACAGCAGAGAGTGAAGCGTGAGAGAGCACAACGTAGAGAGTACCCCCAAGACAGCATCTTGTATTCAACTTTTAAACATCAACCACCAAGATAGAGTATCCACAAAACAGCACCTTATATCCAACATCTACACATCAGACAACCCCCCCATCTAATACCTCCTCGGCGCCACACTCGGCTTATTCCCCAAAATCCCCTCAATCTCCTCCAACACCTCTGGCGTCAAAAGCTCCACCATCTCCAGCGACCTAACCGCCTCCCACACCTGCTCCGGCTTCGACGCGCCCATAATCGCACTGCTCACATTCTTATTACTCAGCACCCACGCATACGCCAACTGCGCCTGCGTGACGCCCAACTTATCCGCAACAGGCTTCAGCTTCCTCACCGTCTCGAGCTGGGCCTCCCACTTGCCCTCGCCGAACTCCTTGGTCATGCGAAGGATGAAGGGGTCCTTGTCGTCGCGGCTGTAGCGCGAGTCGGCGGGGATGCCGTCGTTGTATTTCCCGGTCAGGATGCCGGTCTTCAGGGGGCTGAAGATGGTGAGGCCGGTGCCGAATTCCTCGTACAGGTGGTTGAATTCCCCATCCACCTTGTCGCGGGCTAGCATGCTGTAACCGGGCTGCTCCATCAGTGGACCGATGAGACCGAGGCGGTCGGCGTGGCGCCAGGCGGTTGCGATCTCAGAAGCGCTCCATTCGGAGGTTCCCCAGTAGAGAGCCTTGCCCTGGTTAATAACGTGGTTAAACGCCCTAACTGTCTCCTCCATAGGCGTATTCCTATCCGGCCTATGCGCATAAATCAGATCCACGTAGTCCAGCCCCAATCTCTCCAGAGACTGGTTCACGCCCTCGATGATGTGCTTGCGGGAGAGCCCGGTGTTGTTGACGGGGTTGGAACCGAAGGCGCCGCCCCAGTAGATCTTGGTGGAGATGACGAGGTCGTTGCGCGACCAGCCGTATTTGGCGATGGCGGCGCCCATGGATTTCTCGGATTCGCCGCCGGCGTAGCCCTCGGCGCAGTCGAAGAAGTTGATGCCCGCGTCGTAGGCGGCTTTCATGCAGGCGAAGGTCTTGTCTGTGGGAGGGGGGGTTAGCGGCGTGGTGTGGGAATACGGAGAGTGAGGAATTGGGGGAGGGGGGAGGAGGAGGAAATGGGGGGACATACCATCCTCGACTTGTCCACCGTAGGTGAGCCATCCACCAAGGGAGATAGCAGAGACCTGGAGACCAGAGCGGCCCAAGAAGCGGTATTGCATCTTAGGCAGGTCCTTTGGGGCGTCGGTGGAAGCCATTTTAGCCGGAGGGGGTCGTCTGTTCAAGCTTGTGGGTAGGTACGAGCGTAATGAATTCCAAGTCTCAGAGTAAGGATGTTTGTCTAAGAAGGAGCTTGTAGAAAATCTTCAATTGGAATACAGAAATGGGGAGAGAGGGAGGAAATATATAAACAATGTACAGCTCACCCCAGCAGAAAGGTCCACGTTGCTTATAAACCCATCCATTGGGGACATGAGGAGAGGGGAAATGAGGGGTCCCCCATCCCCCCCCCGCTATCTCCTATCGTCATAGCTCTCTCCCCCCCTCCCCGCCCCGCCAAAAATACCACATCATCGAAAGCCACGCACCCCCACCAGCCAATCGCACTACCTCCATCCACCCCACAACACCTTATTGAGATGGTTCGTTCGGGGATAGTGAGGTTATATCGCCGACGACTGTTTTGTTGCTTACTCACGCCGCGATCGTTTCGGGATGTTGGTTTCGTATAGTCTCATAGGCGGGCGGGGCGGGGAGGGGGTTTTGATGGTTGAGGGCGCGCGGGATGGCGTGCTGGAGGGCGGAGAACGGGATAGCGGCGGTAAGAGTTTTCCGATGGTGCTGGGCCCGCGACTCCCCGGGTATATGTGCGCTGCGAGGGATGTGGATATGGAGTTAGCTGGTTGGGGGGTTGAGTTTAGATGTGCAGGAACGCAGTGCATCGCAGCGGGGTGGAGGGCGGAACTGCCGAATGGGTGTGTTGGGGATTGTGAGATGACCCCGGCAAGGCGGTCCGTGGGGTTGATTGATGGGCTGGGCGTCTTGACCGCTGCGTGTGATGATAGTTTTTCAAATTTTCTGCAATGACTGGTAAGGCAGGTTGGCGGAATTGATCGTTCAAAGCCCATAGTCTTATGGTCGTATCGAGGAATATCAATTGGCGCTGAGTAGGTGTACAATCATTAAACGCAGTAGAAGTAGGTATATGCTCATCATTTCTCATCCAAATTTCATATACTACCATCGCATCGATCCGATGGAAACCACAGAGTTGAGCTGAGTGTCATCCACCCCTCGATCCAACTATGTGCGTCGCCGCAACATCTATATAGAAGCATGACTATCTCCATGGTCCTGCTATCCTATCCGAACAACCCAAAACAAAAACCGCAAATTCGTTGCTAACAAAATTCCGCCCTCCTTATCGACGTAACGAAAAACCCCCCATGTGACTTATTTTCCCTCCCCTCCAAAACCTCAACAGCGACCCTTTTCTCTTTTCCCAACAAAAGATCCAGGATTTTCCCCCATCTGTCCATCTGTTTTGTCTCTCCGCCTGCCTGTCTATTTTAATAGTGGCACAAACCCCCACCCCCCACCCCATCCGTCTCCACATCCGCCGCCCACGACCCAGCAAGCCCATTAACCTGCAAATCCAAATCCGGCACACTCCTCGTCTTCTCGAGCTTCTCGTCCGTCACCGGCGGCGCCACAACAGGCACTCCCTTCAACTTCCCAAAGCCCCCACCCATCGTCTTCTTCCACGGCGTAATCGCCGGCTCCACCGTCTCATCGCGCGCCTGCTTGAGGAAGGGCATTAGAGCCGTTCCGCCGGTTCCGCGGAGTTTCTTGCCATCCTGGTTGTTGGAGGAGGATGACAGGGCGAGGTTCTGGCGGTGCTTGTTGCTCTCATCGCGCGTCCAGGGCGGAGTCTCACGGGACTTCATGACGACGTAGCGGGCGACGATGGCGATATGCTTGTCCCTGAAATTCTGGAGACGAGCAAGACACAAATCATACGCCCCCGTCAGCTCCGTGTCCACCTTGCGGCTCTCGACGAAATCGCGGATGTTAGCGCAGAGCGAGACGTCAGCGAGGAAGCGACGGTGCGCGCCGGGCATGTAGCGGCGCATGTCGTGGATGAAATTGTGTTTTGGCGGAGGCGCGGTGCCCTCCTGGTCCGAGTGCGCTTTATCGAATTTCTGGCCCGTGGGACGATGCTGGATGCCGAGGACGATGTCGAAGAACTGGATCAGCGAGCTCTGCGCGTTACTGCCGCCGCTGAACTGGCTGTAGGTGTCGGTTCCCGAGCCAGTGTCGTAGATGACGCCGTTGGGGAGGCCGGCTTCGGCCATGTTCTGGGAACCGGCGAGGAAGGGGCGGATGTGGTGGTAGAAGACGTGTGGGTCGCAGTTCTCGTGCATGCGGACTAGGAGGACGCTGAGGTCGTCGAGGCGGGATGCGAAGGAGCGGAGGCAGGCGGTTACGTAGGGCGCGTCTTTTTCGCGGGCGGCGGTCATGGCAGAGATCATCAAGGGGACGATGGGGCCGCCGCGGGCTTCGATGGCGACGGAGGTGAGGTAGAACCAGGATTCGTCGAGGGAGCCGGTGAAGGTGAGGAGGGTGGAGAGGTTCTCGAGGTTCTCGATCGGCTCGCTGTTGAAGAGGGGTTTGAAGTTCCACAGGACGACGGCGGCGTAGGTGGCGACGGGGGGGATGTCGAGGTGCTTGGCTACTGCGAGGAGGGGGATGGAGATTGATGGCGGGACTCGCTGTGGGAGTGTTAGTGAGGTTGTCTATTGGTAGTTGGAGGGTAGATAGCAACGTACCTCTGAAGGTGTTTCACCACCCCAGATATAGCCATGTGCCATAAAGGCCAGCATCATGTATGCCCGCTGCCACTCGGATTCATCTTCCAGACCGGTGGTAGTGAGGACAGGGAGATCGTGAATGATGCCGCGGAGGCGCTTGCTCAAGAGGAGAGCCTGCAGGTTGGCCACGATGGACTCCCACTTGTTATAGTAGGGGTCGGGCAGGTGCTGCAGCGGCAGACGATCAGGGAGGAAGCCATTTTCGGGCGAGATTCCGTAATCGCTGAGGACGGGGACTGGAGGAAGCATGACCGCGGAGGGTCTTGGGGTTTGTAGAGGAGGGTGGTGGTTGTTATAGGTTGTAGATGGTGGTCGTTTGAGGCGTAGTTGGGTGGTCTCGTGGGATGGGGTGGATTCCAGACGCAAGGAGTATTCAGATCAAGTCCGTATACTCCTCAGCCGTTGTGATTAGGGTTTTGAGGTTCGCATTAACGGCTGGGGGGTGAGCTGGGGGTGGTCGTGAGGCGGTTCAATGGAAGAATCTTGGACGGATATGAGTGCAATGGCGGGGTGTCGGTCTTGGTGTTTGTTGAGGAGGGATGAGGAGGAGGGTATCAACGGCTCGATAGTAGTAGCGTAGTAGCGTAGGAAGTGCAGGACGGATGGAAGTGAGGTCGTAGAGATAATTGTAGGTTGTTGATGCGCGTCTTTATAGCGTTTATAGCGTTTATAGTGCGTGTATCTCCCGATACGGGGGAATTGGGGGAATTATCGGTATTGTCGGTGGTGCACAGTAATCAGAAACATGAAGTTAGAAAAAGAACCCCGCCAAATCCCGAACGATACAATTTGGTACCTTGGAGAAGACTGAAACTGGCAGCGATATCGGGCGGGGTCCCATGGTGGTGTTTGTACCTACTCAAGTACCTGCTGTCTTCCGTTTGTGTATCTTCTCTACGATTGATAGCGCGTGGCAACCCTGTGTATGATCCTTGGAAGGTACTTAGCTGTAGACTCACCGTAGACTTGCAGCAGAAACTTGCAGTAGTACGAGCAGTAGACTCCCATCCCGCAGAAACACACCAGCTATTCCAGCCAGCCACTTACACCACTAACGCACTTCCAGCCACTTACATCCCCCCTCTTACCTTTACACCCACGCCACCCGATTCTAGCCGATCCTGTCCTGCATTTCCTGTACCACCACCAATTCCGCGGCCCCCGGCTTAACCTTTCTTCCATCCACCCCTCTCCGATCTCCCCGGCCACAACTCAAGGTCACAGGTCACGTTTCATCCCCAACAAGGCTAGCCTCAGGCCGGAAGTGTTCCTCGCCAAAATTTCGCGGTCCATCCGAACTGTACGAACTTACGAAAGAAGGTCTATCTACCGTCTAACCGTCTACCGTCATCAAACCAAGCACCTCCGGATCACCCTTCAGCTCGCTCCAAGTGCATAATACCTTACGCCATCATATATCCCCGCACTTTACCTACACCGCATTTACACCACACACACACAAACACACACCGCAACTATGCCTCCCAAGACGCAAAGAGTCCTCGTTGAGCGCGCAGGAGGTGGCCGTCGTCTCGGTGCGCAGAGGGGATATCTGGGACAGGCGTACGAGGCGGTCACGTCGTCGGAGAACGCGAGTGTGGTGAGGAGTATTGCTGTTTTCGGGGTAAGTAGAGTGATGATCCTGAGCGCGATTGGATGAGGGAGGAGTACGGGTTGCAGGAGGAAGACGGACTGACTGACTTTTTTTGTGCAGGTTGCTGTGGCATTCTTCTCGAGCCAGTGGAGTGATATGTTGTTGCCTGCGTGAGTACCCTACCTACCTACCTACCTACCTCTCCTTATCTCCGGGGCGAGTGTGCATGATCTGCGTCCCGCGTGCGTCGAGAGATAGTCGTGGATGGTGTGCTGATACCGTGGTACAGTTTGTAAGAAATTGTGTGTTCTGTAACACTACGGGAGTGGGAAGGAGCGATGGACAAGCTTTGAAGGAAGGAACGCGGCGGGGGAAAAAACGGAGGAAGGGGCCGACCTACCAACTCCGAATTGGGTGTGTGTACGATATATTTGTTGTGTTCGGGATATATGAGGATGGGGGCGCCGAAGGAATGGTGCAAGGGGGGAGGGAGTCGTGTAAGAACAATAGGAATACATGCGAGTACAACGGGTCAATGAAGGGTTGTTGTTTCTTGATGATGGTGTCGGTGTCGGTGTCGGTGTCTTTTATGGTGTGATTTTTGATGTGGGAGAGAGTGGTTGGTGTGCCTGGATTTGAGGATCGGGATGATTCGTGAGGAGAGTATTGGCAATTGCTTGATCTGAGGAGTGGTTGATTCGTGGGTATACTGTTGTCGTTACTGACTCTGGATGGCATCGATTTGAGAGTGGATTACTGACATTACTGCGTTATGGGATGAGGCTGATTTTGGAGTTAATTGCTGACATTTTCTATTATTTCCCAGGACTCGATTTAATTAATTTGCAAACAAACAACCTCTCCAGATCCAATTACCAACATGTTAACTCGAAAAGCAAGAACCTGCGTCAACCAGCAACGCAAGGATCCAATTACCAAAACATCAACTACCAAAGCAAGAATCCACATCAACCAGTGACACCAGGATCTAAAACATTAACAAGCAAAGCAAGAACCACCGCCAACCACCAAAACAATAACCCATCTCGACAGGCAAAAACAGGAACCCACGTCGACCAGCAACATAGGGATCCAATACCAACACCTGAACAAGCAAAGCAAGAACACATCAACCAGCAACGCAAGTATTCAAACAACCAACCCCTCAAAAATCCTCTCCACCTCCTGCACTCTCCAATCCCCCTTCCCCCCATTCTTTCCCCCCTTCAAATCCTCAAACCTTTTCTTCCTCCCATCCCTATCCGCTCTTCTCTTTCTGGCTTCCCTCTTCTCCCTCTCCCTCTTCTCCCTCTCCCTCTTCTCCTTTCTCTCCTTCTCTCTTCTCTGGCATTTTTATCACCGATACCACACTCACACACACACTCACATTTCCCAGTCATCCCCTCGGTTACAGACTGTCGTCGGACCCGAGCAAGGTAGGCACGCATCTCCAGCGCCTCTATAGCAGCCTGTCGCTACCTGACGACTCGGCCTTGGGATTTGGCGATGGGTTTCTTCTTGTGGGTGCCCTTGGAGTTGGTGTTGGTGGAGAGGGGGTTAGTGACGATGGGGCCGGTGATGGTGACGGAGGTGTGGGTTTTGGTGGTGAGTGTTTGGGCGGGCATTGTTGCGGTGGGGGGTTTGGTGGGTTGCGGGTTTGGGTTTGGGTGATTGGTGTGGTGGGAGGTGCGGATGAGCTGCTGTTATGATGGAAGGTGCGGTTGGTGGCTGTAGCGTGGAAGGTGCGGATTATGTCTGAAGTTATGGAAGGTGCAGTTGATATCTGTTATGGTGGAAGGTGCGTTTGGATATCTGAAGTTATGGAAGGCGCGGATGATGATTTTGAAGTTAAGGAAGGAAGGAAGGAGAGAAAGAGAAGAGAAGGAAGGAAGGAGCGCTGGAAGGGTAATAGTAGGTGTGAGCATTCTCATTTCGACTGAACAACCTCACGCAACCCCATTCACGCCGGTGGAATTCTATTTCATTAGTTGGCCGTAGCTCAGGAACTCTAAAACCCTCCCTTCATAACAAGTGGTATACACACCCCTTCTCATCCCACCCCTTATCACCCAACCTCTATCTATTGCCCCTCGCCCCCGCCGGCGCATCCACCCGCCTCCTCTTCAACACATTCCCCAACGCATCCCTCACCTCCGGATCAGACCTAATAGTATTACTAACCAACCACTCGCTCGTCCTCCTCTGCACCTCCCTCACCGCCCCCTCATCCCCCACAAACGGCGCCATCTCCATAGCCACCAACCTCGACGCCTCTGCGTCCGCCGCTCCCGCCAGCGCGGCAATCCGCTCCACCTGCCTGGTCAGCCGCTCTTCCTCCGTCCCCGATTTCGCTGCTGCTTGCGGCGAGGATAGGAGGGGGCCGAGTTGCGAGAGCGCGATGAAGAGGGTTAATGCGCATTTGCGCAGGATGGCGATGAGTTGGAAAGGCAAGTATGGTGGTTGGCCCCCCACGTTCGTGAGGAGGGGGTTGAGGAGGTGCGAGGCGAAGCGCGGTGCGTATGGGCGGGAGGCGATATGCGCTTCTAACACAGCGAGGCTGAGAAGGCCAAACCAGCGCCAGTAGACTCCGAATTGGAGGTGGCCCGTCAGGCCGAGGACGTACATCATCACCGCGCCGATGCCGTAGTATTGCATGATCCCGACGGCGCCGACGGTGAGGTAATCGCGGATGGACGACTTGTTCGCCCAGCCTACGATGTCGGGCCCGAAGCGGTCATATGCGAAGCGCGCGGCGGGGTTGAGGAGGGTGTCCTGGGCGGTCTTGAGGTGGCGGAAGAAGTCAGTGGATGTGGCTGTCTCGGCGACTTTGTCGGGGTGGTAGAGGGCGGCGAGGCGGCGGAAACGGGATTTGATCTCGCGATCTGAGGCGGAGTGGGGGAGACCTAGGTCTTGGTAGTAGTCGGAGGATTGGCGGATGGTGTGGTGCGCTTCGTAGATGGTGTAGAGGAGGTAGGTGGTTATGACGGCGATGTGGATGCGGCGGCGGTGGGTGTTGTGGAGGGGGGTGGAAGGTTGGGGTTTGGGGTCGCCGGCGCGGATGGTGATGCCGTACCAGACGGATTGGAGGGCGTTGGTGGCGAGCTGGGAAGGGGGGTTTGTTAGAATGAGGTTGATTTGGATAGAGATGGGGGATATGTTATACATTTGGTAGGAATGCCCATCCCGCGAGGGACAGGAGTTGAGAGGACATTTGTATTATCGTCGTGGAACCATGGGGCCGTCAAATCGAAAGTATTTGAGGCTGGTTGTGAGGAAACTTTGTTGAGGAAACGTTACTCGTGTCCTCTTGGTGATATTCCTTCTTTATAATAAAGTAAGCGCCTCGAGTCTCACGGACGTCGGTGTCTTTTGTTCGGATCCACCGTGTCAACTTCGGTACCCGGGGCCATGCCTTAATTATCCTTGGCAACCACGCTAGCGGCCGCAACAATTTTTGGCATCTGCAATTTTTAGGACCTGCGATAAAGATAGCAAAGATTGGAGACTTGGGAAATTCCAAGAACCCAAACACAACAACCACCACAATGCCGTCTCTAATATCATCACCGGCGAAGGACAAGTCGGACAGGAAGCACAAGAGCAAGGACGGCAAGGAGAAGAAGCGGAAGCGTACGCAGGAGGAGGATGGGACTAAGCACAAGTCGAAGAAGCATAGGCACGACAAGTCCGGAGATGTCGAGGAGATAATCGAGGAGGAAACAACTGCTGCTGCACCAGTCCAGGCGGCGCAAAACCCAGACTCAACCAACGAGTCGCCATTCCATGTCCAAACTTCGTCCTTATACCTGCCATTGGCCCCGATCTCCCAGAGGACGCCGATCGAGGGCATCTGCGCCGAGCACCTGTCGCCATTAATACTCACGTACTACCCGCCCTTCCACGGCGTCGTGTTGTCGTACAGCAATCCCCGGCTCGCGGAAGCGCCGTTCCAGGATGGCGGGGCGCAGGTCATGATGAAGAGCACGGATGAGTATGCTGTTAGCTGGACGTGGGTTACGGCGGAGTTTATGCTGTTTAAGCCGACGAGGGGAGGGTGGTTGGAGGGGTATGTGAATCTGCAGAATGAGGGACACCTTGGGATTGTGTGCTGGAATCTCTTCAATGCTAGTATTGAGCGGCAGAGACTGCCGAAGGAGTGGAAGTGGGTTGGGGCTGAGGACTTGGAGGGGGAGGGATATGCGGAGGATGGTGTTGGGTATTATGTCGATGGGGCGGGGACGAAGATTGAGGGGATTGTCAAGTTCCGGGTTAAGGATATCGAGTCGTCTCACGATAGGGAGAGGGGGTTCCTCAGCATAGAGGGGACGATGCTGGAGGATAAGGAGGAGAATGAGCTCTTGGAGGAGGAGAATGCGTCGAGGAGTACTGATAAGAGCATGATTGGGAGAAGGTTGGGTGGATCGAGGGCTCTGGGCGCAACGAGCTTGGGTGTACCAGCTGAGCACAATGAAGAAGAGGGCAGTAGGAAGCGTGGCAAGAAAGAGTATTGAGGAGTTAATAATGAAAAGCTTTATGATCATAGAATTATATTTTTGCATGGCAGCTTTAAAAGCCAATAGCACCCTCCTGTCGTAAAACTGGTGTCTTGAAACTTTTTACTGTGCTGGGTGCTAGACGGCATTCTCCAGGGACCATCCTGCAGCGTAGCAACCCCTGCTTATCGCAGCTAAAATACCGTTTGATAACGCTAAAATTCGCGAAAGGCGCGTCACGTCGCATCCACCTTCCCCAGATTTTGCCTTCCAAAAGTTCTCGAGGAAGCCAGCCCCAAGGTTGCCCTCTGTCTGAGAGAACAAATTTCTCTGCAACAACGCAACCCCGCACCAACGATGCGGCTCCGACTAGTAGTGAAGCGGCATGATCTGCCAGATGCGGCGATCGTGTGGCCGGTGAATGACGAGGCTAGGGTGATCGTCTCGCAGCTGCTGGAGCAGGTGAATGAGGTCGTGCCTCTTGAGTCGGAGGGGGAGTGGGGGTTGGAGGATTATGCGGTTGAGGTGAGGGGGAAGGAGACGAATTATGAGTGTTTGCATTTTCAGGATGTGAAGAGCATTTTGCATGAGGATGATGAGGTTATGTGGGTTTTCTATTCTAGATGCGCCTGGGGGAATAACATTGCTGACCTTCCATCTTAGTATACGGCCACTTCTCAGTGATGATATTAAGCAGAGGCGGGCTTCGGGAAGGTATCAAATTACTTCGGATGGCATACACCTGTTTGACGGGGCGGTATTTGGGAGGCCGAGGAGAAGAATGATTGAGAGTAGGCCTGCTGTCACGATCAACCCAAGGAAGAGGCGGAGGGTTACATACACAGAGACAGTCGAAGATGATCTGGAGGATGAGGACTCAGACGAGAGCTTTCTCCGGATCGAAGGAGTGCCGCAAGAAACCGACGATGGTGGAAACCAGCAGCTTGTTGTCCGAGCTGATTTCGACAACGACGACGAGGATGAATCCGAAGATGATGGCAATTTCGAATCTGCAGATGAGGATATGGATGAGGATTTATCCGTGGACGAAGGTGAACTGGAGGGGGAGCTCGAGGCTCTCAATGCTGAGTCCGACGATGATGGAGCTTCGGATAAGGAAAATATAAAACATGGGTCTAAAATGGACGGGGTCCAGACGGGTGACAAGCTTGACCCCAAGTCGCATAACATCATACAGCTGCAAGAAGCGTTTCCGGACGCCCCTCCGTCTATTTGCGAGCAGGTGATGCAGAATTGCGATATGGATGTTGGCGCAGCTTACGATACTCTGTCGAAGGGATTTAAGCCTGGGAGGTCGAAGACTGCCGTTCGTTCCATGATGTGGTCGCCGAGTAAAACCGCGAAGGCACCTAGATCTTCACGAGTTCAGACAAGGTCTGTTAAGGTTGTGGAGCAAGAAGAGGACTTGGTTGCCGAAGATCAGGATCAAGTCGACGATGCAGACGAGGAAGAGGAGGATGAGGCGGGTTCCGATGAGGAGGATGATGGTGGCATGGCAGGCTATTACGACAGCCACGGCCTGCCTCCAGGATCAATCAATATTGGCAAAGGTCTTTCTGACATTGCCAAAAGCACCTTAGCCCGAGCTACTAATATCCCACTCCCACCAAGCCGCCATTCAGTGCTGAGAAGATCTGATTCTCCCAGCAGCAGTAAGAGCGTCAGGTTTGTGGAAGACACGGTTGTTGTTCATGACCCGGATGCCATTGCACTTGATGACGATAGCGATGATGAGGATGACGAGGATTTCGATGTTCCAGGCCAGAGTGAGAGTGACTCCGGTTCAAGCTCCGACTCCAGCGACAGTGACGATGAAATGGAAATCTCAGCTGCGCCTGCAGTGCCGACAACCGAAGTCGCTGATGACCTAACTTCCTCATCCGGTAGCGATGACAGCAGCAGCTCCGAATCTGAGTTTGAAAGCAGCTCTGATTCCGAATCTGACTCCAGCTCTGACTCTGATTCAGATTCGGGCTCCGATTCAGATTCAGATTCAGAACCAGAAGTAGCATCGAGCAAAGCACCAGCAGAGCCCAAAGCGCCAACTACATCCAAACTTGCGGCAAGCTCTACTCAAAAGGATACCCCTAAAACTGTTCCCCCAGGCGAAGGGCGAAACTCTACAAAAGCCCGGAATCAGCGCCGGCGATCAGGAAACATCCTACAACGCTTCAAGGAGAAAGGCATCCTACCCGCCGGCGTGACCCTTGCCGAATTCGGGAAGCTGAATATTGACAGCAACACGACCCCTGAAGCCGCTGCTGAGGCATTGGCCATTGCTAGAGCTCAGATTGAGGAGGAGGAGGCAATGGGTCTACGTACGTCCAAGGGGACGTCTTCAAAGAAGGCCAACAAAGAGGCAGAGTTTGAAGCGAGGAGGCAGGAATTACTCGCTTCTCTATCTGCTGGTGGAGTTGATGTTGGGGCCACTTTGTCGAATGGAAAGGCAGCGGCCAAGACACCCAATGGGACTTCGTCTAGCCATTTGGCCGATCAGTCAACACCTGTGCCCGCATCGACAGAGAAGGAGCTTACTTCGTCAGCTTCTACGAAAAAGAAGTCCAAGGTCGATGTGGACGCTGGTCGAAGGCTACTTTTTGGCGCTTTGGGCATCAAGAACCCCAAGACAAAAGCTGACGAAGAGAACATCCGCAATAAGCTTATGAAAGATGTCAGGAAGGTCAAGGAGCGCGAACCTGAAGTGCCGGTAGCAGCAGAAGATGAAGAAGATATGGACGACGACACCTGGAGAGAGAAAATAACCCTCAGAGCCGTCGAATGCTGCCAAGAAGGCATTGAATTGAGCGAACCGCCATTCCCTTTCGTGCAACGCTGGGATCCTCAGCAGCAGCATGTCTATCGGAAAGGCAAGCGCGGCGGTAAGGGTAAGAGAAACCAGAGGAATCAAGTGGAGTATTATGAAGAGGAGCAAGCCTCGGCGAAGAAGCAGAAGCGGAATCATGACAACAACGGCTATGATGATTATACCGAATATTCGGAAGAGGGACAGAACACTGGCGACTTTGATCAATACGATGGTGTAGACGACCAAACCAATGATCAGGTTATGGAGGATTCGCAGGGAGTTGATGGCGAGCCAACTGACGAAAATGACTTACCAGCCCTTCCTGCCGATACTTCGAGCCTTACAGATATCACACCAAAGGATATGAAGCCGGGGATGGTAGTTGCATTCAAGCAGCTTATCATGTCTGAGGCGACAAGCTGGCAGCCGGTTATTTCGGAATACCGAACTGCAGTTGTCAATATCGTTTCCGACAAGAACGAGGTCGAACTGACGCTAGCAATTCGAGACCGCGAATACCCAGAACGATACTACAACCAAGAAACTGGTGAGAGAATCTACGGCAAATTCGACATGCCCGTAGAGGATGAAGAGGAGGAGGAAGACCTGGATGATGGCTTCAGAGCACTAGGATTCGCCGAGCTCATGGAACCAAAACTGCTGCAGGCGGAGCCCGAGAATCTGAAGATAGATGGCCTTCTAGAGGCGGTATCTGATAAGGTAACTACCAGCACCGACGAGTCTATCACCCTGGTCCATGAACAACATGATGCACCGAACGAATCCATTGAAAACCCGCAAGTTGCTGATGAGGATAGGATTTCTGTGCAGGATATACACCAGGTACAAACTGAGGACGACTCCCCGCCACGCCTTCCGTCGGAGCAACTTCCAGCTATCCGGCATTCGGCGCAGGTGGATGATGAGATGGTTGATGTGTCGATCACTGAGGAGTCGAGAGAGGAGTTATCTGTTCTTATGAGGGAAGCTGGATTTCGATCAGATATTCCGTCTTCGGTCCTCAAGAACAGGCCTCAACTTCCCGATACCCCAAATGATAACGCCGAGCTCAAGCGCCTTGCCCTATCTATGAATGTATCTTTGAACAAAGCTGCAACCCTAGAAGACTCATCGCAACTATCCCACATTGAAGACGAGAACAATTCCACGCCCACGCAATCTAATTTCTATCCCAAAATCTTGGTTCCCTCATCGCTAGCCAGCCAAACCTCAGACCACGGCCAACGACAACCTGATTTTCCCACGCCTGGTGAATCAACTCTAGACCGCTTTGGCGACTCCAATTCCTTTCCGCTCAGCCAGGACGGCTTTTCCCTAAATTCTGCTCACACGGAAACTCTAGCAGAAGAGCCTCAACTTCCGTCTATCCAGCCGAACCACGCAGCAGCCGCACTCGAGGCCCCACCGTCCGAACGCGAATCCTCTGTGCTGGACTTTCCCAGTCTCGACGAGATGTTCTCCACTGCACGCAGCTCTTTTGCTGCTAAACAAGACAATCTAGAACTCATTATAGCCCCACCCTCCACCTCTCTAGGCGCCAACAAATCATACGAAGAAGCAATGGCGAAGCTCGATGCCGAGTTAGACGCACGAGCCGACCCGGACCAGAATTCCGGCGACATGACACCCCGAACGCGATCAGAAGATCTGTTTGTGTCACAGCTCGTCGAGGACGTACATCAACGATCGAACCCATCCAAAGACACTACAACGACGACAAGGAGTCCGCCCCAAAGCCCCGCTCTACCAAGGCAGAGACTTCCCTCCAATAGCAGTCCCTTCGTCATTCCCTCCGGCTCGCAGCAGGTCGATCTTACTCTCTCGAGTGATAATGACTTTGACGCAAATGCAAAGAACAACAACGACGACGACGACGACGACGACGACGATGATGAGTATGACCCCACTATGCCGCGCGGGCCGGGGTGGGTGCGGAAGCGCAAGATGAGGCGCCGGACGGGGGGGAGTGCGTCGACGTCCCAGGGATCAGGGTCGGGGTCGCAGACGCGGACGAGGAGTCAGAGGAGGAGGAGGGCGACTATGGGGGTTTAGTGGAGGTGTGTATAGTAGGATTGTGAATATGGGATATGGGTGGTGTATGGGATGGGTTTGGAGAGGCTTGTTTGGGTATTTTGGGAGTTATGGGGCAGCTTGGGTGGTGCATTGGTGGTATTGTGAGCGGGATGGCATCTGATCATATTGGGCTTGCCGCTGTTGAGTTAATGTGAGGAAGAGAGCCAGCTATGGAGCATGGCATTTCCCATAGTAATAATGAGATAATTACCTCTTGCCTTCATATTATCGTCTATTGCTGGTCTATCCATACCGTCCACATCGAATATGTGCGCAAATTAGGCTACAAAACTTGGGATCTGCGCCAAAAGCAGTTCAGACAGGGTTCAGACAACATGAGCAGAGGGGTCTATCAAACCTAGGAACTGGGCCAAAAGCAGTTCATGCAGGGTTCGGACAGTATGCACAAAGGAATCTATAAAATCTAGGAACTGCGCCGAAAGCAGTTCAGACAGGGTTCGGACAACATCGTAGATTTGCGCAAAAGAGGCTATGAGGCTTGAAATCTGCGCCAAAACTAACGTATGCTAAATGTATTTGTAATGCATTAATCAACACAGGCTTAATGTAGCCTAAGAAGTAAAGGTCTATAAAAACTAGGAAGCTCCCACTGTATAGATAGAATGTAGAAGGCAATATGCATAGACTTGCGTAAAATGGGGCTGTAAAACAAACGTGCCTCCTTGCATATCATGGTAAAATGTCAGCAACGAATTTCGACCGTTGAAACAATGATGTATAATATCTAATTATTATCTATCCGGCACATCCAGGCCAACCCCCCCCCCCCACCCACCCCAGTCTACCTAGCCGCCCACTCAGATGTTAAATCGGGGTAGACATATAAAAAACCCACAAAAAACGCCCGCCACCCAGTTGATATCTTCCCATCTCCAAACACCGAGCAAATGCAACCGAATTCCCCCCTCCACATTCCTACATCCGTCAAACACCCAACCAAGCCCCTCAAGCAACAAACCCCCCACTCCCGCTTCCACTCGCACCTCCCCCTCCCCCATTGCTGTCATGCGCCGAGTACCCCGGCACCGCCCCTCTCCCCCCCTTCTCCCCCCCCACCTCACTAGGCGAATTCTCATTCGCCACCCCGCTATACTCCCTCCGTCCATCAAGCGGACCAATATCATCCGCCATCGCATCCTCATAGCTCGGCGGCGCGTCGCCCATCAGGTCCGCGTTCGCGGTGCCCATTTGCGGCGGGTAGAGCGGGTCGATGGGCGGGGCGGCTGGGGCGCCGCTGGGGCGTGGGGGCATGGCGGGGGCTTCGTGGGGTGTGGTGGTGGCGGCGGCGGTGGTGGTGGAGGTGCGGTTGGCGAGGGCGTTGAGGAGGGCGGGGGAGGGGGTGAGGCCGGAGTAGACTTCGACGGGGAAGCGGAGGGGGATTATTTGTTTTTGTGGCTGGGAGGGTGTTAGCATAGGTAATCTCAGATGACTCCAGAATGGGTATACTGGGTGAATGAAGAAAAAGGGGGGGTCCGTACCTGAATCTCGCCTGGGTATCCGTAGCTTAGTACAACGCGTACTTGAAGCTCATATTTCCGCGTCAAATTGCAAATATGAAACGAAGGCGTAACAGTCGGCGGAAGCTGAACACGATCCCACAGCGTATCATCAAGCGTCGTCTCGGTCCCAACCGGTTCACTGGGATTGCCTATGGGAATAGAGAGGCCCTGGAGGTTGACAATGGGGAAAGTGCTCAGCTCTTCGCGCATCACATCCTGTGCCCTAACCTCCGTCTTGGCGATAAGATCGGCATGCAGCCCGACTAAAAACACGTACTCGGGACTCTCATTCTGCTTTTTGACGATGATGCGCATGGGGATCGGTTTCCTGCATACCAAAATCGACGGGCTGGGCAGTCGCGCGTCGACCAAGACGGACGGAGCAACAGGCGATAAAGAAGTTGGCTGGCGCGAAAACATCCCTCGTTTCTTGCCGTTCGAAGAGATCGAGCCAGCTTGGAAAGCGTATGGCCGGCGTGCAAACGCTTCTGCATTTGAGGCAGGGGGGCGTGGGCGATCGATGGGCATGAACTTGAAGCCGATCTCGTTTCTCCTGTTTTCTTTCCATATCGACGGCCGCTGGACTGTGACTTTGACGAAGTATCTTATCTCTGCTTCACCTGGGAAACCGCCTAGGGAAGGGGGTAATGGTTTTCTGATATGTTGCTGGAGCATCGGCATCTCCATGAGTCCGAGGCGGCCACCCAACCCAACGCCGATGGCTTGCATATTCGGGTCACCGCACATGGTATTAAACCTGCGTAAGACGTTAGTGTGTGGGTTATTTCAACCATTGGAGGGGTAGTCCGTACGGAATCTTAAACCTAAACGGATACTCGTGGTGCCCCGCCCCAAGCGTGAACGACGCCTTGGCAGTCGGAGTTGTGCTGCTCACAGTCGGAAAGACAGTCTGCAGTCTGTACAAGATCTTGTGGTTCTCCATGGCTATCCTGCTCCTATCATCGCGCCGCCTTGGCTCATGCGGCATGGGTGGTGGCTTCATCAGCACCGTCCTGCTCTCCCCCTCCAGCTTCACCACGATGGCGGATATGGTCTCATCGGTGAGGAGGTTCAGCACGATTTTGCCGCTTATGAAGTCGAGGTTTGTGTAGAAGGCGTGCGGGTTGTCCAGGTGAACGCGGACGGACATGGTTGGGGCACCGTGGCGAAAGGACCCGACGCTCAGTGCTAGAGACATTGTCAGCGGGTGGTGGTGGCATTTGAGGGGGTTGTTCTTTAGCTTACAGGTAAAGTAGGTGGTTTACAGCGTAGTAGCTGCTGTCGGTGTAAAATCCCCCAGTTACTGAATAGCCAGACTCTGGCGTCAACCTCGTTGGGTTGGGATTCGACGTTACTGGCGGCGACGAATGCGCCCTCACCGAGGTACTGAATAAGAGGCTCGGAATAGTGAATCAATTGCGAATATTTACAAATGAGACAGACTCAATATTTGCGCAGGAGGAGTATGAGGAGGATATAGCGCTCGAAAAGGAACAATTGCTGTTTGTGTGAAGGGCTGAAAATAATTCGATGCAATGCACTTCTCCCCGCCGCCGGGTCCGAAAACAGTATACGAACCCCGAGAGCGACCGTCGTCATACCGACAGGGAAGCTTCAACCGTATAGTTACGACAGCTAGTGGCTCGGCTCAGCGTTAACGTTAGCCCGGGATACCTAATGGCAGACACTAGACCCTTTTTGAGGCATAACTAAACGCCGCCAGCCATAATGCCGCGTCGCTGACATTGAAACGTTTTGCTCAGCCACAGATGACGAGTAGGGACAGCATAGCGCCGCACACAAGACCAGAAAGGCCAGAAAGGTCAGAAAGACCAGACGAGTAACATACGTATCAACATGCAAATCGAGCCTCCCAACAAGCTTTTGTGATGGGGGAGATTAAGGGAGCGCTTGGTTGGCTTATGTGCCTGGGTATCTATTTCTAATCCAAACTGCGCCTCAACCACCAGCGCGTATGGAACTAATTGTACAGGAGAGAGAGGCCTGGGCTTCTGTGTTTCCCCCTCATCCAGATGCCGCAGTATACCGCCATACTGTAGTGGGCGATATGCACCGCTTCTTTCTAACCTAAAGTGATGCTTCACACCCCAAATCCCAATAAATCTGCCTTGCCACGCGTAAAAACGTGACAAAGTTTCAGACCACAGCCGCTCATCACAAGCCTTCCTTGGCCAGCATGTCAGCAATGTCAAGATAGAACGCAATAGCGTTGAACCTCCTCTTCCCCCCATTGATCTTACTCATGAACACCCTGATGGCGCTCCAATTGATCAGGTCCAAGTGGCTGACATCCACCAACGTCCCCTTATACGTGCCCCATTTGCTGCTCCCCACACTCACCAGCCCATCATTCGGACCCTCCAGCTTCTCCACAACCTTATGCGGTTGCTTAAACGCGCTCCAGAAACCAGGGTGCACGTCCGCGCCGTAGGAGAAGTACTGTACGCCAGGCTTGTCAGGCGTCTTGGGATTGAACTCCTCGATCATGAATTTCCTTGTTAGTTGACTGAATGCCCCTGTTCCTAGTCCCACGCCCTCGAATATCTTGTACAGCGTCGGTAGGTTCTTCGGGCCTATCTCCTCAAACATGAAGTCCGCAAAGGCAGACCCGCGATGTGGCGTCGCAACCGTCGTCAAGGAAAGTACCTCAACATTCTCCGGCTTGAGGCGCGAGATCATATACCGCGCATCCAGACCTCCCATGCTATGAGCAATAATATTGACACTCCTCCCATTTGCCTTCTGCGCAATATCCTGGCCGAGCTTGAGAGCGCGCTCTTCAATGCTGGCAGATGGAGGGACCGAGGCGGTTATAACCTCGACGCCGTTGGCTTCCAGTGCTTCTACAATTCCGCGCCAGTATTCGACACCGGGGATGAAATCGCCGGCGAATTTGAGCTTATCGAAGCCCATAAGGCCATGGGCGAGCACGATTGGGTATTTCGGCGTAGCTGTGACGTTTGTTAGAAATGTCCAATTGGATGTAGTTGGGAATTGAACGTAGGCATACCATATTTCTCTCTAATAGTCGCAAAATCATCTTCAATAGCCCTTTCCAAATCATTTATCCTAGGATCGCTGCTTGGATTTTCGGCCTTTTCTCGAAGTTGAGGGGTCCTATGAAAGCCGTGCAGCTCCCGGCGCAAGTAATGTAGAGAGAGAGCATATATACCCTGGGGATTTGCACATATTGGCGCATTGCGTGGCAGCCATCTTGAGCGGAGATGGCGAGCTAGTACTGTCATCGTTCTATAAATCTGCACATTGGAAGGGAAGGTGCGATGCCATTGACGTCCATCGCGACTGCCATGTGAAGTGGTGGTTGGAAAGTGGAGCTAGACATTTTCGGCGGTGACGTAGATGAAGGTCCGAGGATCTAGAAGCCTACGGACCGTGCATGACAGGCACCACCCAAAGGTTTACAACAGCCTATAATGAACCATGCTTCTGCCTGAGTTGTTCAAGGTAAATATTAATAAAATAGAGGCTTTTAATAACTCAGGGACCTTTGGATATTTTAAAGCCGGTTTCTCGGAAATCAAGCCAAAGGGATAACTTCCATCAGTGGTGGGGGGCCTATCGTAACAGAATTCGAATGCATTTCACAGTTGTCATATTTGACTCCAGGGGCAAAGATCAATATATATATATGAATCCTGGGCCTCGAAGTGTGGGCTGCATCAGCTTTAATCAAGTGGCGCCAGACAAGCTGGAGAAGATGTAGCAATAGCTCGTAGAGTGCAACGCTCAATTGATAACTCTCCAACTTCTGTAGTGAGCTACATCTATAATAACGCTCTCAAAACACCACATACCCTCGACCTTGCAGCCCCAGCCCAGACCGTCTATCCGAAGCGCGCCGTGGCTCAAACCCTAGTCTTCAATGCATCTCCATCGCCGTCACTAGAGCTTGCATTTATACTGGCACTACAACGCGCTGGGGTGCTTGTGGGTTCACATCCGTAACACCCTTCAACAGCGCCTTGACAACCTCATCCGTCCCAGCCTTTCCTGCCTGCTGGATCTCCTTCACCTGCGACTCAGCCTCCTTGTTCGCATCCTCTTCGGCCTGCTTGTTTCCGCTCGTGTGCTAAAGGCCGAGTCAGCATGACTATTCTTGCCACAGTACATTTATCTAGTGAATCGCAGAATTGATAGGATATAGATGTAGTTGCCATGCGCGGCACAGCACAGGAGCCATATATGGCCGGACTTCGAGACGTACCTCAGACTCGAACTTCTTGAACTCGGCCTCCTTGGTCTTCCTGTATGTGTCGATCTCCTTCTTTGCCTCGTCCCTTGCCTCCTTTATGCGCTTTGTACGGTCTATATCCATATCAGTTCTCTGATCTATACGATGTCCGCACGCTATGGTGGGCATATTCGAATGACATACACTCTCTCGCTGCAGAAACGTTAGCACAGCACATATAGTATCAACTCCCAAGATCACATACCTCTCTGAACGATCTTCTGTGCTTCTCTCTCCGCCTAGTAGATGTCAGTTCCACCTCCCAACCTCTCGATTCACCAGGCATCTTACATCCAACAGCGTCTGGATACCAGCTGAGTTCTGAGCCGACTGTATCCCCATCATTAGCCATCACCCCAAGCCACAGCAGAGCAGGTATATCGCACCATCTTGCAGTCTCTGCCAGCGAAATTTGCAGGAATCGTAGAAGTGTTCAAGTAGTACAATATCGATCACGCGTTGAACATTCGAAGCTCTGTCGTTATCGCGGGCTGCTGGGTCCTAAGGTACGTCGTCCGAAGCTCCACTCCACTACGGCGGACCCCTGCTCGGCATTTTCCACCTTTTGCAAATCGCTACTTGGAGGGTTGCACTTCACGGACGGACCGCCGAACAACAACAGATTCTCGGATTTTTATAAACCATTGCCCCTCTCACAATACGTGGGGAGAATTGTCACAATGTCGAGGGCTAGCAAGCTTACCCTGGCGGGAACGTCGCTGTTTGCGATCGGCACCGTCTTCTTCGTGCATTTCCAGCAAAAGGCTGAGAAATCGGTATGTTGCAGTTCCCTCTCTTCTCCCCACCAATCCCCCGCACTCCGCAAGCTTCAACTCACCTTCCTTCCTTCCCAATTATGGGGCACTATGTCCAGTTCCTTACGCTTCATCATTTGAGCTGCTCAGACATTAACTAACTGTCCCAGGCAATGCACGCCGGCGTCGTCCGCGACATGGAGCAGCAGCGCCTCAAGAAGGAACGCCAGCTTGACTTCGACATGCAGAAGGCTCTGGAGGAGAGTTACAAGAAAGTACAAACCGTCCATGATGGTGGGGGCGCGCCTGAACCGCCCAAGCCCGGAGATGTGGGCGGTGGTCGGTGACGAAGCTTGGTTCGCTGGGAGAGTGCAGTGACGGGTGGTCGCAAGGAAGCCTGTGTATAAACATGCATGTACAAACAGCGAAGGGTGGTAGACGGGTTCAATGAGGGCTGTACGATACTCTGGGATATAGTGTGAAGCATTGGGCGGCGTCAGAATTAGGAGTTACATACGGAAACCAAACCGGCAGAAGAATCTCAAAGGCAGACATATATAGATAGGAACTTGGAACATTATTGCAAGTCTATAAGCTGTATTTTTTTCGAATAACCATCTCTCTTGAATTACTCTGAACTATTCTACAAAAAGGTAGCACTATGTCTGCCCTTAGTTTCCCTTTTCTTGCCTCCGCAATCGACTCGCTTTCGCTGTATGACGATAAATGCAGGAAAATTGCATCTCAGCACCTTTTTCCGGTGGTGTACCATTCTTTATACTCTCCTGGGGCAATAAACCCAAGCACCCAACTCCATATTATGCAAAGACCCGAACCCCCACCTTCTCACCGTACCAACGCTGCCATCACTCACTTATTTCTGCTGGTCATTCTTTTGTGCCTCTCCCATCTTACATGCCTGCTTCTCGTCGTGGTAGCGTAGAGATTTTCTCCAGTTTACCGGACGCTCACCCCCGACCTGTTGGTGAACATTCTCGCGGCGATGTTCATCGACGCCAACTCCTGGAAGAGCAGCTTCGTCGCGTAAGGAATGTGCACTTGCGAGATCTTTGTCTTGTTCCTGCAGGGCCTACACTCGAACGACTGCGTGTTCAGTTTCCTAAGTTTTGTCAGTACAAGCCGTTATATATCCTCAAACAAGAAGAGAAACTTACGCGATTGGTGTCATAAGACCACAGATGTCGCAAACGTGCACTCTGAACGCATCCGACACCTCGAACAGTCTCTCCTTCAAGAACGCACTTGCGCCGTGGGAAATCATGCAATCACGTTCCATCTCTCCGAAACGCAATCCACCATCTCTGGCACGACCCTCCACAGGCTGCCTCGTCAAAATTTGAGTTGGTCCTCTGGCTCTGGCGTGGATCTTGTCGTCGACCATATGTCTCAGACGCTGGTAATATGTGGGACCCAAGAACACCTGTGCAACAAGCTTGCGGCCTGTGTGGCCGTGGTACATGACCTCGAAGCCGCGAGACTGGTAGCCCATGTCACGAAGACGCGATGAAACGCTGTCAACTGTGACATCGGTGAAAGGAGTGGCGTCACCCTCTTTTCCGATGAGCGAAGCAACCTTCGACAACTGACACTCAATCAAATGAGCAATCGTCATACGAGAAGGAATGGCGTGGGGGTTGATGATGAGGTCAGGCACAACACCCTCGCGAGTGAAAGGCATATCCTCCTGGCGGTAAGTAATACCAATTGTTCCTTTCTGTCCGTGACGAGAGGCGAACTTATCACCAATTTGAGGAATCTTTGTTGTACGCATGCGCACCTTGACGAAGCGGAGACCTTCGGCGTTGGTGGTGATCAAGACTTGATCAACGATACCATTCTCCGTGCTACGAAGAGGAGTCGACGCATCACGCTTGGTATGCGATTTGGTGCGCTGCCCAAGTTCTTCCGCATCTGGTGGAAGCGGCGCGGTTTTACCGATAATGATATCTTCTCCAGAGATTCTGACACCAGGAGCAACAATTCCGTCGTCGTCCAGTTTGTCATAGGTTCCGTGCTTGAGCTTGAGAGTGTCGCTACGGAAAGGTTTCTCAAACTGCTCAACCACATTCATACCGATCCTCTTTTCTTGATCGTGGTAAGCTCTGTAGAACAAACTGCGGAAAAGACCACGATCGATACTGCTTTGGTTCATAATGACGGAATCTTCCTGGTTATAACCAGAGTAGCAAAGAATGGCGACAATAGCATTTTGGCCAGCGGGCAGTTCTCGGAACTTCAAGTATTCCATAGAGCGAGTAATAGCAAGCGGCTTTTGCGGGTAATAGAGGATATTGGCCATGGTATCCATACGCTGATCGAAATTCGTAAGGAAAACGCCCATGGCTTGTTTACCCATAGCCGACTGGTAGGTGTTACGTGGAGACTAAATATATTAAGCATTCGATGTTTTACCCCTGAAAATACGTGTTTGCTTACCTGGTTGTGATCCGGGAAGGGAATAATGCTGGCGCAAATTCCCAGAATCATAGACGGATGGATTTCACAGTGCGTATACACCATCGAAGTTGCCTTGGGCTTTGTTTGCACTCTGGCGTTGATGGAGTCTTCCACTCCCGTCGCTACTGTATATCCTTGTCGAGCCTTTCTGCCATCCTCAAGATCTTGTGGTGTCATGACAATCATAACAGTTTCTTCTTCTTCCGCATCTAAATACTCAACCACACCGTCGTTGATGAGGCCCTGGAAACCATAGTAGCCACGTTCCTCTTTCTCCTCGAGGTCCATGTTATTTGGCAAAGCCAAATCATCCTCAAGCCTCCTGATATGCTCAGCATTGAAAACCAGTTTGCCGTTATTCTCGCTGTCGGTTTTGTTATCGACAACGAAGAGAGGTCGGCAAACTCTGCCTGCATCCGTGAAGATCTTGAACTCTCGGTCACGAATATCACGAATCAACGAGACTTCGTGGGAAATCAGAGAGCTTCGACGAAGATCCTGAACTGTTTCGACCAGATGAGAAGGATCGCGGTGAACACCCACCCAAACACCGTTCACGAAGACCTTTGTCGCATTTGGCGATCTGAGGGGTTCATACTCCTCCAGGACTTCCATACTTCTTTGGATCATGAACTCGATAATAGGCTCACTGGGTGTACCAACAGTAACGTAGCACATAAGTGCGAGATTCTTTACCAGACCACAGGCTTGTCCTTCGGGTGTCTCTGCCGGACAGACGAGGCCCCAATGAGTATTGTGTAATTGACGCGGCTTAGCAATCTTTCCGTCTCTACCGATAGGGGTGTTTGTTCTCCGCAAATGCGACAGAGTGGATGCAAATGTATATCTGTTCAACACCTGGGACACACCTGCCGTCGAACTTGCTGCCTTCTTCTGGTCACCCCAGTTTCCTGTGGCCAAAGAATATTTCAAGCCATTGGTCAGGGTGGTAGCCTTGATACCCAGCGCAGGGTTAAATTCCTTCTTGTTCTCGACGCAGCGTTGGATGTACTTGTAAAGATCTCCAGTCAGCTTGCGGAACAGATTACGGAATAGCTTCGCCAGAAGAGGACCAGCAAGATCCAATCTCTTCTTTCCGAAATGATCACGATCGTCGGTTTCGCGACGTCCTAACGCGCACTGGAGCAACTTATGAACCATGTATCCGAGGAAGAAAGCTTTCCTAGTCTCACTACCTTCCTTCTGAGAAATATGGGGTAGCAACTCCTTTTGCATGATATCTCTCGCGTGCTTGATACGCTTGTCCCTGGGCACTCCCAGCGACTGACCACGCTTCCCGATAAAATCAAGGGCAACTTCACGATCTTGAATGACGAAAGCCTCTTCAATACAAGGCTTCATCATCTCCAACATTTGAGTATCTTTGCGGTCGTAGCAAACATGGTTGAGAATATCCTCATCAGATACAACACCAAGAGCACGGAATACAACAGCTATCGGAATATCAGACTTGATATATGGTAGTGTAGATTTAATCGTTTGGCCAAAGCTGCCTCTTTGCGTATCACCCTTAGAGTGCAGCTTGATGGTGAGAGATGAAATAAGCCTTGAGCCTTTCTCCAGAGCGCTTCTGATTTCGGCGATAAATGGCGTAGGACTTGGCGGCGGCTTCTTGAAGACTTGAACGATATTTGCCGCACTGCGCTCTTGGGCAATCAATACCTTCTCGCTGCCATTGATGATAAAGTATCCTCCTTGATCGTATGGACACTCGTTCCACCCGTATAGCTCTTCGTCGTCCATATCTTTCAAGTTGCAATACTTGGACTTCAGCATAATTGGAAGCTTCCCAATGAAGAAGGGCTCTGCTGTCACTGGACGTTCGTTCGCTGGTAGTTTCGCAGCCTCTTCTTGAGACATCGACTGGTCTTCGATTTCCCACACAACCTTGGTTGGGTGGTCTCCGCCAGCGGCCAGTTCGGCTTGCTCGTCGTCATCAAGCTCGTTTAGTGGAGTCGGGCGTTCAACGGCAATCGAGACCTTCTTGTCGAGATGGATATAAAGCGCACTCGAGTATGTAAGGTTTCGTAGGCGCGCCTCTTGGGGAAACAGTCGTGCAGTCGTTCCATCGCCCTCGGTCATCATGGGCTCCGCAATAAACACCGTCCTGAACTTGATCTCATATCGACGGAGTTGAATCGGCTCGCCATTAACCGGGGGAGGGTTGTTTTGGTCCAAGGTAAGTTGCGAATTCTCGTTAATCAGATCCTGCATAGACGTTGAAACAAACTCGTCAAAGGAGTCGAGCTGTTGAGACACAAGCCCCTTCGACTCGAAGAACGAAGAAATGACTGTCCAGCACGCCTCCGCCGTGATTGTAGGCTCTTCGGCCTCTCCCTCGAACTCATATGCATCTTCATCGTATTGATCCTCCATGTTATCCATCTTGAGACGTAAGTTGGCGATGTATAGAGGTGAGGTCGAGGTGGCGCGTTGTCAAGTGTGAGGGTGACCTTCTGCGCTTCTGCGCGCCTCGCCACAAGTCGCGGCTGTCCCGGAAAAGAAGTGTCGGACTGAAAGAGTGGAATGAGTTTGTTCAGACTGACGACAGCTAGGATTGTGATATGTGTGGTCTTGACGGTCACCTCCTCGTCGAGGTATTAGCTGAAGTCAATTATTTGAGCCTCCTGCGGCGATCAACTTGAGTTGCGCGCGAAACCAAATTTGGATCGCGCGACGACAGCAACTCACGTGATATCAGCCAAAATGTTAGCCTGTCATTTAAGGTTTACAACTTAAGATAAACTATCACGAAAACCCAAATATAGGTACCCGTAGCCCTTAATACATACTCGATGCTTCTCATAAACTAAACTTTTTTTTACAAAGGTTCTTACTTGTCAATTCTTCTCTCAACTATATAATGATTTGGCCTGTAGTTGTTTCCAGCCTGTTCTACTCAAAGGCGAGGTGACACACAATTAAAATCACAGGCCATTTTGTATATGGTTACAAGAATAAGCTCGTTTTCTATTTATTCTATAGATATACACACAAATACTAATTGCAGAGCACATATCTATACCTTGCCTTTCCATCCTCCATATCAACAATCGCTTGATTTGCATCCTTCATATCCCTCTTCTCGATAAATGGATGGATGTTCTTCTTGGCAGCAAACTCTAGCATCTCGTTGAGCTCTCCCGGTGAACCAATAGAGCTTCCTTCTATCTTAACTGCCTTTGCAATTAATGCTCCAATCCTGAAGCTAGGAATAGCCTCTTCCGGCGCACCGACTTGGATGTATCGTCCGTTGGTGCGTAGTAGTTGGAGATATTTTGATAGAGGCATCTTAGCGTCGGAAACTGTGGAAATAATGATGTCCAGCTTGCGCCTGTTCTTCTTTGCCCAGTCTGGGTCCTCTTGCGTTGCGATAAACTCATCGGCTCCCATCTTCAGGGCGTCCTCTTTTTTCGAGCTTCCGCGCGAAATGGCAATAACCTTATCACAGCCAAGTGCCTTTGCCCACAGCAAGCCAAAATGGCCCAATCCTCCTATTCCAACAATCCCAACTGTCTTTCCAGGGCCAGCGCCGGCTTTTTTAAGAGGAGACCACATAGTGACACCTGCGCAGAGCATAGGAGCCGCTTCGGCCGAGTCCAGCTCTTTTGGAATCTGGACGGCGAAGTGGGCGGGCGCACGCACATACTTCGAATATCCGCCGAAAGACTTGGAGCCATCGGTGTACTTGCTACTGTATGTACCCACCATTCTTGTGCAATAGTTTTCGAGTCCGTTTGAGCACTCAAAGCAGCTAGACTTCAGACACGAGCCGGATTGTGCACCAACTCCCACGCGATCTCCAACTTTAATGTGCTTGACATTTTTGCCCACGGCGACGGCCTCTCCGACGATTTCGTGGCCGACGCAGCATGGATAAATTGAGGGTCCCTGCAACAACCGTTAGTAGTCTTCACTGTATTCTAGGTAGTGCTTGCTTACCCAGCCGCTTCTCAGTGTGTGAATATCAGAACCACAGATACCACAATGGGAGACTTTAATATCAACATCATCCTCCGTCCACGTCTTTGGTTGGAACTCGCCCCACACCATATTTCCTGCCGCTGCAGTCTTGTCTAACCCCAGCCATCCCTCAAACTTGTAATCTGTTGATTTTGTCGCCTGTGGTACTTGAAGATGGCCAGCGATGGACTGGGCTCTCCTCGAGGCGCTCGATGGGTCTGACGGGGGCGCCATGGTATAATTTGTAGTACTAGCTCACTATTCTCAGTTCTGTCTTGCAATTAGATTCTTCAAAACGCCTCTGATCGTTGTCGGTGATGCTGTAGACTTCGGTGGTGCTGTGTTTGGTACTGTGACGATAGCAAGGCAATTCTGGATCCAATACAGCCAAAAGACTTGTATATGCGACTTAGACAAGGGCTATATGGATTCGTAAAAGATATGAGCGGTTCTGGCACTTCAAATATAATAAGAAGAGTCCAGCGTTCAGAGCTACTTAACCATGTGGGACATTTCAACAGGGATTTAGCAATGCCGAGGCATTCCCCGCGTCACGGAACGGGTCTAAGGCTATACCGCCGATCCGAGCCGGAGATAAGAAGCCATGCGGGTATATATATCCCTGAGTCTAGCTCAGATGTTCTCCATTCACAGGAATTAGACATTGAAGAAAATAGAGCGTTAGGAGTCTCATATGTCCGATCATTGTATGTGTAATTGTTTAGGAGCTAGGCTAGTTGTAGATAAAGTTGCGGCTGTGTCTTCCCCAGAAAATATACCGGCCCGATAAATAATCCGTTATCAGTACTCCTGCCACCACTATCAGACCTAAAGCTTGAACCATCGACCAGTGATTGTTGTGCCTTGGGACCGCTTCACGAATCATGGCTGCGGTACAGCAACGCGTCTTAAACTGGCTATACAGCGTGCTTACAAGTGTATGGACTTATTTTACTTACTTCATATTCAGCACTGACGAAAACAGGAATACCAAGATGTCAACCGGACATACCATGACGTGGCCCAGGCCCTTTCACATTACTCCAGTTTAAGTCCAAAGACAGAAGTTTATAGTGAGGCAGTCTATTCATAACCTATTGGATTCAAATGCTAACGGACTTCAGCTTATGAAAACGGCGTATCCGAGCTCCTGCTTCAACTATCAGGCACTTTACCCGTCGCATTTCGAGGGACCACCTATCGATTCCCAGTTACAGTATGGATACCCCACCAATACCCACGGGCTGAGCCTGTGGTGTATGTTTCGCCCGCAGAAGGGATGATGGTGAGAGCTGGCCAACACGTTGATCCTCAAGGGCGCGTTTACCATCCATATCTGGCTGGATGGGCAGAATTTCATGACGTGAGTGGCATTCTCAGGCAACAGCTCTCATACTTGTGTATAAACTGACCATATGGCTTAGAAATCTAACATACTCGACTTCCTCGCTATATTACGAGATGTGTTTGCGAAAGAACCTCCTGTGGTCTCCCGGCAATCACAGAGTACTCCTGTTGCTTCTCCACGACCGCAATCGATACCCCCACCAGTTCCACCTCTTCCACCGGACATGACAAAATCTCCAACCCCTCACCAAAACGCTGGTGGTGCTCCCCAGCCTCCACCACCTCCCCCAAAACAGCATGAACCTATCGCACAGCGACCTCAAACCCAGCCTCAACCACCACAAACAGGCAACTCAGGGCCGCCATTGCCCCCTCTCCCTCCATCTTCCAATGCACGGGCAGCTCAGCCACCCACCCTTCACCATGAGCCGTACGCCTCCAATGCACCTCAACGCCAAAGTAACCTCCGTTATGAGTCTGCTCCTCCACTGCCTCCGCAACCTCAATCTCATACAGGACAGCACTACCAGAGCCCACCCCCCGACCCCCGACAAGCACCTCCCCTCCATGGCGCACCATACGGAACACCCCCAACACAATCTCACTATCAACAACCTCCAAACCAACCCCAGCCACCACCACAATACCCACAACAACCTCCCACCCCCCAACCGCAGCCCAAACCCAAGGCCCCCATCCCCGACCTCCTCGACGACACCACCCCCCTCCCCGAACCCGCCGCCCCTGCCCCAGCGCCCCCCATCCCACCCAACCCCCAAAAAGACGCCCTCCTCCACACCCTCGCCGTCGCGCTCCACACCGCGCGCCAAAAAACCGCCTCCCGAAACATCGACACGCAGCACTCCCTATCCGCGCAACACACTGCTATGCTCACCGCTTTACACGCCCTGCAGTCTGAGACGGCGCAACTTGAGGCCCTCGAAGGGGCGTTGTCGTCTAATACAGCGTCGCTGAATAGCTCCTTAGCGTCCGCCGACGCGCTGATCAAGCGCGCGCCGCAGATGACGCCGCCGAGTATTGATGATTTGCTCGTGGCGCCGACGGCGGTGGCGAACCAGTTGTATGATGCTGTGGCGGAGGAGCGGGCGCTAGGTGATACAATTTTCGTGCTTGGACGGGCGGTAGAAAAGGGGCGCGTGGCGCCGCAGACGTTTGTTAAGGTTACGAGGGGGCTGGCGAGGGAGTGGTGGTTGAAGAAGGTGTTGGTGCGGAAGTGTGCGAGGGGATTGGGATTGGATGATGGGAGTGGATGGGGACGGGAAGCAGGTAGGGCTTAGAGAGCGGATAGTTACGTAGGAATGTCATTGTTGTTATGGTTTAAGCCTTCGTTATTATATATTTCTGCCTATACAGTTGAGCTGTCGTCGTGATGCGTGATATCGGATAGTTCACACCTAAGAGTCATCCCACAGCTTCGAGAGACAACGATGTATTCATCCACACCACCATATCCCGACAGCGCATAGCTTCTTATTCCTCCCAGTTTTCCAGAGCTACAACTAGCTCCTTTCAATTCCCCGCTCACTCCAAATCCCCCCTACTCCTCCCGAGACGGCAAATCTTCGCCAAGCTACTCACCTCCGTTATCCTCAGTGGCTTCGGCTCTCTTAACTTTGCCACACTTTTTATAATCAGCGTCCCATCCTCGTCGTTACTACTCTCAGTATCCACCCATGCTCCTATCCCTGCCCTCCCCACGTTGTGCCTCGCTGGATGTTCTTGCAAAATCCTCCGATGAGCGGCAAACTGTTCGGGCCCATTCGCCATGGCAATAATCTCCGAGATTCGGAGGTTCTTAGCCTCTGGTAGGGGTTCTGTCGGAGCACGACGCTGTGTCATGCTATCCTCCGAAGATGATGAGATTGATCCAATCGCGAGAGGCAGAGGAGACGCTTCATAGCTGCCATAACTCCAGTCGAAAAGCGTACTCGGCCTTGACCCGGAATATGATGATGACGGTATCGGCAGCCGTGATGGATTTGATTGCTGCTTTGAAGGGGGTTGTTGACGAGAGGCTATGCCGTTTGCTTGAGTTTCTGGCCTCGATGATGTCTGCATTATTGACTTATCATTTGGACTTGATGGCTCCGACTCTCTCGATTCCGTAGCGGTGGTCCAGGAATTAGAGGCTGACGTTTCTTTTGTCATTCCCCTATAGGCAAAGGCAGACACATATTTTCCATCCACCATGCAGCCTGTGCGAGATCTTTTTCTTTCTGCCAAACACTTACTAAATGCACTCATGGTTTTATTTAGTTGGTTCGTGGCTGGGCTTTTCCGTCCAACCTTGACTTGCTTCTCTCTCACCACCTCTTTAACCCCAAATATTTCTCCGTTAGATGCGTGTTTAGCCTTGCCCTTGTCGTTAATCTGGCCCCTAAACAACGCTGATGGCCCATCCGAAACGGTCAAATTAGCATCTGCGCCCTCTCTGGTTGATTCGAACATTTCGACACGCTCTCGGATTATCGGCGCAATACTCTTGCGGGAAGCCTCCTTTCTATGGTAGAATGGTATTTTGAATGCCAGAGATTTGGTCGACTCCTGTTGGGCTTCTGATTCAGATCCAGCAGCTGTCTCAAGTTTCAGCTTAGCCGAACGAGGTGCTACATGCATCTCCAAGCTAACTTTTGGGCTTGTGACAGATATTACACTGCTATCACTGGCAGGTTTTGCAAGGCCCAGACTTTTTGAACCCCAGGAGGAAAGATGAGGGTGTGGTTCACCCATTTCTTCTCCCTCCGTCTCTTTACCACCGCGTCTCTGCATGTCAGCCTTGCTCCCCGTGACAGTGCTCGAAGCGCTATTATAGTCTCCCGATCTGATGAATTCCCTCCCCTTTGGAATAGTATGCTTGTGGTTTTGTCGGGTTTTTTGAGACTGTTCCAGAAGGCGAATGCGCATTTGCACTAGGCTTTCTTTCCGGTCACCAGGACGCCCTGCCTTCACCTTGAGGCCTGTTTCTATACGAGCATTGGTATCTCCATTCACTTCAAACAGTAAGGTTTGAGAGACACCAACCCTTCCTTGCCACTTTCGATCCTCCTTCTTGCCTCGTACAATGGGAGAAGCCTGGCATTTCGAACCCGTGTTATCGTGACTTTCAACAAAGGGGTCCAGCCCACAGCTATTCATCGGAGACACCCCTTTTGCTGGTATCCAAGCCCATATAGTGCAGGGATGTATCGATTCCAGCAACACAGTCATAGATTCGCGGTGAGAATCGGATCCTGATCCTCTTGTCATATAAGTTCATGCATTGCCAGTCTTATGACCCAGAGAGTGATGCAGAGGGACTCAAAAGCTTGAACCCTGAAATATTCAGAGCCGATAACAGCAATGCCCGCTGTAGAGATTCCAAGCAAGAGGATGAAAATAGGTGGAACCAGTCCGCGATATAAAGCGTCGTGGGGTATGAGAAGAATGTATATCAGGATATAAGGAACCAGAACCTCGAACATCACTTGAATCGTCGAAATCGTATCAAAGGCTTTGGAGAGCAAGTCTGTCGCAGTAGTCCAAATAGTAGCGGAGAGCCAGGCTTGGTAAATGGGGAAGCTTGAGGTTGTGTTGACATTCTGCGGCATTGGTGATTAGATTAGTATGCTGAGTTTCCAAACACGGAAGGCACGATGCCACACACACGTAACATCACTGCCACGTGCAAGTCGTTGAGGTTATAACCAGCAGAGGAAGGAGCGATCCCGTCGCTCCTGCCTGCCCAAAAGGAGCAGGGGCGATCGATATGTTCTCTCCTAGCAGTTGTCCCGCCCGCGGTATTCACGACGCGGAATATGAGAACTTCCGTAGGGGTGACACTGCGTTGCATGTGAGTGTAACTCAAGACATGTCCCTCGCTGATCAACCGGCCAGTGTATGACAAAACAATCCATCAGTACAGAATTGGTATCATGCTAAGACGAAATCATAAAGGTAGCCCAGACTCATCCACATAATCAACGGCCACAAGGCTCCCTGGTCGACGAGAAGCATGATTTCCATGATGACCCAAAGGCTCTCGTTATATCGCCTTTCGGAAAGCTGGCGGACAAATGCTCGCGCCGCAGTGAAGGCGACATGGACTTTGCAGAAGGTGAGCACATCCCCAAATGTTATGGTGAACGGGACCCCGCGGATGGTTATGACGAAGTTGAGCGTCGGCATCGTGGTTGGTTTCGTGGTGTTCGGAAGCTCTCCAATGCAAGAGTTCGTGGTTGTAAGTTGGTGCTTAGATATTGCTGAAAACTATACTTCGAAGGAAACAGATATATATTATCTGCTGAATTCTTTCGCGCCATCCAGTATCGGTGTCGCCAGCAACACGATCAAACACGCCGTTCTTATACAAGCTCCGTCGCACAGCATCAACCCCTCCTCCCACAATACCCGGCACAATTGTCATAGCAGTAAACATCGCCATTATTCTGCTGTCACATGAATGCCCAGCAAAACTACCGGGCCTTAGATGGCGCGGAAGATTCTCCGCTGCATCTGTCCAGCGACAGTGTGTCAACTGTGCCTATATCCGCCCACTTAAGGTGGCAATGATGCTATCGAGCGCTTACAAGTGGGGTCCCAAGGCAACTGGCAGCGGTATGGAGGGGTAGGGCTAAGCTATATTTGGAGGAGTGTAATGGGATTTTATTCGTATTCGTATTTTACTCGAGTTATGGATGTTTGGTGTTGTAAGAAACTGACATCGACAATGTGATATCATAGCCTCGGCTGCTGGGTCTAAGTGGGACGACGACACATCCCAGCAACAATCAACTTTAATATAGCAACATATATTGCTAATGAGCGTCATTTGCTACATCGTCGAAGACAGGGTGGATATATGATCATGATATATTATAAAGGAGTGGCGAAAGAAAATCGCAGTTGTTAAAGATTTAGATAAATTATATTTATATTTATATTTAAGCTGTAATTTTATGATATCATTGTATAGAGACGCGCTCGCTGAGGCGCAAGCACTAACAAAACCGTAAGAAAAAAGAGAAACATGGTATCTTCAACTATTGATGCTTTGACTCCATCAACCAAAAAGAAAACATAAACATAGCGCACGAGAACACCGACGCTCAAGTAAACTCCAGGTAGCCCCTCTCTCTGTGCTCCTCCTTCCCATTTCATAAGGCATTATCAGAATATGTCGTCTCGCTCAGTCGGACCTCCCCTCCCAGCAGTATGAACCTCATATGTCCTTTCGATCCTCACACCCCTGGGGCTAACCGACCCACTCATGCGGTCTGTCCCGTACGATCCAGCTCTATTAAGTGTCCCGTCGGCGCCTAGATCCTCCTCGCTCGTGCGACTAAGGTGCTCCACCGGCACGCTGGCCTTGCGGATCGATTGGGCTAGCCGAGCTGACGAGGACTTGCAGTCAGAGCCCATGTTGAAGCTGCTGAATTTGGGGGTGCTGCCCGGGGGGTGCACGGGCTCGTCGCCGTCGATGGCGGCGGAGGCCCAGACGGAGGAAAGGGGGAGGAGGACGGCGACGAGGCAGATTGCTACGGTGCCTGCTTCGTAGAAGGTTTGTTCGGGGAAGTAGTCGAGGATTGCGAAGAGGGCTTGGTGGAGGTTAGTTGGGTTCTTTTTGGTAAGGGGGATGAGACTTACAAGGAACTATCATCGTGCATCCAGCCATGATTGTGATGATCTGCATCGGACCCCACTGTTTGAGCCCCATCTTCTTCCTTTGATATAAAGTCCAACCTAACTTGATGACGAAGATGGTACAAAAGAACCAGAGTGAGCCCGTCTCAGTGATTAGGCTTGCCCGGCCGAGCATCAGCGTGTCGGACTTCACTATTGCACCGAGAATCCCTTCCACATTGCGGATGGTAAGTGCGAAGCGGAAGCTGACTGCAAGAAGAGATACAACTATTGAGAGTGCGGTGACGGGCCAACGGATGCGACTGCTCATGGTCTTGCATACCACATTTGTCTGGAGAACGAGTGAGGCCTCGATGGTCATTAATAGGAAGAAGGTGAGCAGGGCAGCGGCCACGCTATTTGCGTATGCGGATGCTGGAACAGTAGAATAGTCGTAGGCCAGATAGCGATACATCTCTGTCCAGGGGCCGATGTAGTATAAGATTTGAAGTAGGGAGCGGAGGAACGAGATTATTAGAGAAAGGGCGTTCAGCACGAAGATTGGAGATTTGCGCTTCGACACTCTCGTTGTGAGCATGACAACCAGGAACATGATCAGCGAGGCGCCGAGCTGGCACCCGTATACAACGCATATTTCGCTGTTTTGGGTATTGAACTCGTTGATCATCGGGATAGTGGTAACCACTGGGGTGCCATCTGGTGTATATATTGTGATGTTCTGCTTAGTGGCATCGAAGCCTGGGGGGAGCTGTACATTGGCGGACGGCATTCTGGATTATGAGGGTGAGGGCACCGAATTTCGTGTACGACGGCGCTGGTGTGAAGAGAGTGTGTGTGAATGGAGGTCCTTGGTACTTCGTGATGGAGATTGATATCAAATTAGAGAGACGTTAAATTCGACGGCGGCTGAGAGATAGAAATACTCTTTCAAAATCCAATCCCTTCAGTGTCGAAGACACTGTCTCCCTCGATATTCAGTCCAGCAGTCAAAGAGGCCGGGATGAATAATATGAAGCCTTAAACAATCATCTCAGGGGCTCGCAACACGGTATGAAGAGGAGTAATAGGATCGGGAACATGGCAATATATTTTCATATATCAGGAGCACTGTCCCAGTCATGTTTCTCCGGATATATATCATGGCCGCACTGATATATGATGTAAAATAGATGGATCTCGAGGGATCGATCGCATTGCCGGCGCTATCTCCAGAACAATAGTAAGAAGCTATCCCGGCGATGCTGGCGGGTCGCTTAATCCTTACTATTGTTCTCACGCCCCTGTGCATATCTAAATCGGGTCAAGCAATGAAAACGCAGGGAAAGCAAGACCTAAGATCTAAGAGCCGGATCTTTTGCAGTTTAAGGACGAGACATGAATGGAATTTGACTTGGGCTGATTGACAGGTTATATATTTGCTAAGGGCTGATGGGAAGTGAGGATGACAAGACAGCTGAGATGGTCCAACTCGGACACAGCCTTGCTATTGTTGTGTTGGACTTGAGAAAAGTAGACTGAATACCTGACAGACTAATTGTATGAGATCGCCATTTTCATAGATATCATGAAGCTATCAAAGAGATATGTGAGTCCTCTAACGTTAACATGTATGGAAATGTCATCGGCGTTGGGACAAATACCATCGTGATCACGTGTTCATGGAACGATGATGGCTCCTTCCTGCTGTTTTGAGAAGCCCAGCCTTGCCATATACACTTGGCAACAGTTTTGTTACATTTTCCAGATCTTGGAGTAGAACAAACAATCATCTCATCTGCCATCATATTTTGTCTTTGCGTGGTTATCTTGAAATATGTTTAGGTGGTTATGATGTTACGCGGTTCACGGCTTTGGTGCTCACGTAGTAAGTGTACATCGGTGAGGTCGCCATGAACACGTCGATCTTGTACAGCCCTTTGAAAGCAATGCATGAATGCTGTTTGCTATTCTGTTCACACCGCCGCGTGCTTTAGCTTTGATGTCCGCATAGCACGTCCCCTGTCAAATTGTTGTATTGTCTGAGTTCCAATGGCCGCCGTTCTGTTAACAGGCTATGATCGACGACCAGAGATAAGCAGTTTGCTGCAATACTCGCGCGGCTCGAAGCATTGATAATTGTTCTCGAGAGTTCTCTCGTGGGGGGCTTGGGGATACATGTGCTTCCGCCCAGTCGAGGCCTAAGTCACACTCGGGGAGTGAAACATTGGAACCCGAATCTCGCCGTCTGCATCATACCCAATGAGTTCTATGGTCACCGCGGAGACTTCACACATCAGAACTGTGAATTTTGCGACATGTCAAACAAGTTCCCAGTGGCTTTTTGGTGGTTGTGTGCCGTGGAGCGCTGTTGGCCAGTGAGTCCGGGCGTAAAGTCACAAAGCGACACGCCTCAGTCCGCGCTTCCGCGCAATATTGAGCCCCTGCATTTCACTATCTGAGTGGCTGGGATGATTATCCCGCACTCCGCGACGCTGCAAGGAACCACGGCGCATCGCGAGGATGGTAAGCGACTGAATCGAGGCAAGGGTATGGCTCCGAAGAAGAGACGCAATCTGTTGGATCAAGTGATGCCTCGTACTGTGCATAGTGACGATTGATCACATATCTCGCTATGCCCCCCAATGTTGGGTGCCAATTTACGTCTATACCTGCCAGTGGTTGCTGGGCGACTGCCTACAGATGCTGCACTTTCTTTGGGGGAGCGGGATTTCTCAGTACTCGTGACTTTGCAGCTAAGGGCCAAGAGTCTCATCACCGAATGCTGACTGGCCATGTAAGCAGAGAGAGAGAAGGGCTTTTGCTCTGGTCGGGTACCTGGCGGTACAGCGGCGAGTTGGTCGTGGTTGTTTGCCGATAGGTGCGGCTAGGGCAAGACCTTGTCCATAGACTCCAGCACTTCCGGACCAAGTTGAGACGGAGCCGCTTTGTTTTCTCTGTAGACGCCCACTTATTGGGTTCGTTGGGGGTCACTGGCGCTCACTGGTACCGTCTGATAATTGATCCAGAACTCCTGATCAGCCGTCGAGACCGAGCATCCTGGCAGGCGCGATGTTGATGGGGCCTTGCAGATCCTGAAACCCCACGAAAGGGTTACCGTCTGTGCTTTCTGTGGGCTTGTTTCAATGCTAAAGCAACGACCAGTCGCGGGGCTCAACAGCGGGCCTCAGGGGCCAGGATAGTGGAAATTAAAGCGCTCGACCATGGCTCAATCCTACACAGACAAATCAGCGAGCACGGAATACTATGTGCGAGGAATAAGCTTTCAACCTTCCAACGGGACCCATAATCGATGTTTCGACTAAACATCTCGGCCTTTTTGAACCGGTCCCACGTCCTTTTTTGTTCTTTGAAGGCCTGCTAGGGCCAGGAACCAAGGCCGAGACGATCCCACTTGGTCAACCTTGTATCCAACGGCAATTGCACACAAAGCAAAGTCCACATTTCTTGACCCAAATTTCCAGTTCTGGGCTTCCAAAACGTAGAAGCACTTGAAGTCTGGTTGACATTTAACACTTTGTGGTACACTACCGCCGTATGGGTATCTTCTCCGTAACTTAGGCCTCAGTTAGGTCACCCACGGAATCGGAGTCGGAATCGAGGGCTGGAACCTAGCCCGTAGAAAGTCTTTATTAACAAAACCCACATGCAGTATCAAACAAAACGAAACACAGCGTCTCGCCGTGGATGCTACCGCCTTTCAGACGAAGACGAGTCAGGTAATCGAGTATCTGTACAGCAGTCAGTGGGGCCGATATTGACATGTGTTGATTAAAGGTGAATCACTGGATCCCGAATGCTCATGATACCCCTGTTTTCCCCCCTGTTTTTCACCCTCTTCCCCTGTTCCGAAGAGTTTGTTTCTGTTGGCGGCTGCCCAGTCAGGAAATAAGTTACCATAGGATGGATAATAGGATAAAGTGTTCATGATGTTGTGGAACCGTCTGAGGGTGAGATGCAGGGTATTCGTAGTGTGCAGTCAGGTCGGGTCAGTGTGTGCATGGGAGGCCTGGTCTGGCTGGCTGGGCCTCTCCTTTACCCCACCAACCCATTCAAATTCACTCTTTCGCCTGGGCTTATTGCTTATCAGGTAATCTACTGTACCTGACTGATATATATACTATCTCTCCCACCCACACATTTGCTTCCTTCTTTTCTTCATCATCTTACATCTCAACCTCCTTTGGCCAGAGATTGATATCGTTCCCTCTTTTTGTTTTACACTCCTTGTTGCTCATACGATCATTCATAGCCTGTGGCTACTGATAAAAAGTTCTATACATTCACATTCATTGACTGAATACCCCACAATCTCGACGATTGCATATTCCAGAAACAACAAACATTCAACTTTGCTCCTGATTCGATCCCAGTTGACTGGTTGATCTCTCGATACCACTGTCCTTTGCGAACATCTATACAAATCTGAACATACAACTCTCTTTAGCTGGCCAATACTACTACCATCTACAAACCGCACTCTTTCAAGATGCGCTCAACCACCACCAGTGCCCTTGTGGCAGCTCTTCTCGCTATTGCTCCTGCTGATGCTTTCTGGCGTCTCCCCTGCAGAGCACCGCTCCTGTACGAGCGTACCGATCCGATTGTCAACCCAGGCGGTATCTCCGCTCACGCCCACACCATCATGGGAGGTAATGGGTTCAGCAACGACATGACCTATGCCGACACCCAAGCCTCAACTTGCTCGTCTTGCACAGTTACCAAGGATTTCTCCAACTACTGGGTTCCCAACCTTTACTACAAGGGACCAGACGGCTCTTTCACCAGTGTCAATCAGGTCGGCGGAGCTCTGATCTACTATCTGTAAGTCAACAACCCCTCAGTTCGTATTCTACATATACTAATTACCAATTTATAGCCAACGTGCCGATCCCAAGGACCCAGAGTACGACCAAGGCCTGCTCGCCTTCCCAGAGGGTTTCCGTATGCTTGCGGGAAATCCTATGCTCCGTTCCTTCACCAACACCCTGGAGCAACGTGCCATCAGCTTTGCCTGCCTTGGAACCGACACCAAGGAGACCAATGAGATCCCCAACATCAACTGCCCCAACGGTCTCCGTGCCCAAGTCTTCTTCCCATCTTGCTGGGATGGCAAGAACCTCGATTCGCCCGACCACAAGTCTCACATGGCCTACCCTGATCGCGTCGATAACGGCGTTTGCCCCGACTCTCACCCCAAGCGCTTCATCTCCCTCTTCTACGAGGTTGTCTGGGATACCCCTAAGTTCGCCGACAAGTTTGTCAACGGCAAGCACCCCTTTGTCTTCTCCAACGGCGATGAGACTGGTTACGGATACCACGGAGACTTCGTTAACGGCTGGGATGTACCAACTCTCCAAAGGGCTGTCACCGAGTGCACCAACTTGAGTGGTGTCGTTGAGGACTGCCCAGTCTTCCAGTTCTTCGATGACGCGAAGGTCGATACTTGCAAGATCCAACCCACCATCAGTGAGAAGATTCAAGGCACTCTCGCTGCTCTCCCAGGCTGCAACGCTCCTTCCGGAGTGGGCGCGAATGCCGTCGCTTCTAAGGACTGCGCCGCGAATCCTGCCGTCGTCGACTCCGGCAGCACCGACAAGGCCAGTTCCATCGCCTCTCCGGTTGCTTCAGCTTCCGCATCTAAGGCCCCCACCGCTTCTTCCGCTTCGACCGGCCAGAGCTCCGCGGCACCAGTCGCCAACCAGGCACCAGTCTCCAGCAATGCACCAGTCTCTAACAATGCACCAGTCTCCAACGAGGTTCCTGCTGCCAACCAGAACAATGTGGAGTCACCAGACGTTGTCCAGACCATGACCGTTTACCCCGTGGCCGAGGCAAAGCCAACCGCAGTAGTCGACACCGTCGAGAAGAACCAATGCGGCGGCGTCGTCACCGTCACCGTCGCTGAGGTCACCGTGACCGTCACTCAAATGGGCCAGGCGCCTGCCACCAACGCTGCGGTTGTCGATGACTCTGTCAAGGTCGATTCCCCCAAGGGATCTGTGCCCGTCGCCTCTGCCGCGCCAGTCAAGGTCGATTCTCCCAAGGGATCCGTGCCCGTCGCCTCTGCCGCGCCAGTAGAGGAGAAGCCAGCGGCCTCAACCGTTGTCCCGATCTTGCTGCCTAGCTCCACTGGTATCTACACCAACGGCACCAAGCACAACAGCCACAGCCACGGTCCCAAGCACCCCCACCAGAGGCCATCCGGCGGCTTCGCGCGCCCCACCGGTGCTCACCGCCGTGCCCACGCTGGCCACAGCAACTAAGACACCCCTCGTCTTATCTCCTCTCATCATCTTCCACTTTTAGGTGTGAGAGATGTATTTATACCTTCGACTTCTCTGTTTACACTTCCACCGCTATAAGGGACGCCTCCTTGGGCCTCACCCTTCTTCACTTCACTTCACTTCTTTCTGGGATGCGTTTTGCGCACCAGTGACCCCTTTTGGGTATTCATCGTTTATACAGCATAGGCTATTTATATTTGGAGGATCGGGATTTTGTTATTTTGGATGTCTCTCTCCCCCCACCGTACTTATTTTTCCGGCCTTGGATCTGCCTGCCTTTTTTTTTGGTGGTTTGAGGTTGGGTTACACTCGTTTGAGACGGGTGGGTGGTATACACACTTTTTTAGAGGATATGGGAGGGAGCATTATTTTGTATATTTATTTGGGGGTGGGTGCACAGAGAAGTCGAGGGGGTTTGGGAGAGTTTGTTTATAGAACGATGAATGTTGATATACACTCGCTTTGTTAAGAGATACTACTTATTGTCTTTGCTTGATAATTGTGACTGTTTGTGTTGTAGTATGTATCTGGGAATTGATTAGGTTATGTAAAGGTTAACCGCCCCCAATGAATGCACATCAGATCAACACAAAATGAAGCCGAATAGTTGGTTTTCACCGACACCATCAAGTTCACAAGGCTTCATTGATTGAAGAACAGCCGCTATTATTTCCTTTGCTCTTGCTACGCCACTTCCTGGCACATGAACAACAAATGCCCCGGAAAACCCAATCCAATACCCGCTAAATAATTCATGGATATACGCTCATAGAAAACGCCCCTTTCCCCTTTCCCCGTTCCATTCTCGCCTGATCCCCAATCAGAAAAACCGGGCATCATCGCACGTCCGTGATTGTAGTGATCCCCAAAGCAAAACGCCCCGAAAGCACAATATCAAACTAATTCAGAGCCACCCCATTAGGAACCTTCCCTGTTTCACCAGTCCTCCATCCCCCAGACATAGATTGCCGTTGGTTAGTTGTAGTATTGGTCGCGGAACTTGCTATCCGTCTTATTGTTCTTCGGCGCAAGCTCGTGCCATACTTCGATGCCAACTCTCCGTGCCGCCTCGACTGCATCGTGGTAGCAGTTCGTGCAGTTCTTCATGTTGACAAGCTTTGGCTTATTCTCGCGCTCAAAGAGCTCGCGTAGAGTAGATCCAGTGGCCTCGGTGCGGGATAAATCAACTTCTTTCAGGTTCGGAAACTGGCGCAGAACCGCGATGATAGTTTTTTCCGGGAGTCCGATACGCTCGCAGAGCGAGAGGGTTTCCAGCGCCGCAGAAGGTGCAGGTAACATTTTGATCCAGTCATTGTGGGTGTCGGTATGTGTGGGACCGATGTGGCCTACTTTTAGTGTCTTGAGGGAGCCAGAGGTCAATCCAGGGTTAGCCATATCATTGACTATGGCAAAAAGGTCCCCGCCTTCAACGCTGAGGTACTCTAGCTTCGAGAACGGGAAGACGAACTTTTCATCGGTGTCAAACCGGTGTGAAATGATGCCGACATCCGCTGCTTCTAGATGGGTTAATGAGCTTGGGAGCACAGGCATTGAATCAAATCGCGTCCCCAAAATATCTAGGTGCGTTAGTTTTGTCCAGCTGGACATATCGGTCACGTAGGGAGTTGCCTCGTATGCCCAGCCTTTAATTGAAGCTGACTTCATATTCGGTGATGCCATGACCAAGTCATTCTGTTCATGTGAGATTTTGCGCCGCTATGTGGGAGCAAATAAACTTACATATGCCAAACCCAGTCTTCCGGCTGTCCCATAACGCATGCTCTTGTGGGCTACTGAAGATTGAAGAACAATAAATTGGAGATTTGGCATTTCTGGCCAGGAGCATGGGCTATCACGTTCATATACCGCATGAAACTCAACATGTTCTAGGTGGGTGTAATGGGCCATAATCCGCTTTACATCAGAAATATCCACCCAGCTTCCTGACGACAGAACCAGCGTTTTGAGATAGTGCGACGGGACCGGAAGCATCGCCGGGATATTTGCAGCCTGGGAGACGATATTCAACTGAAGCCGCTCTAGTTTGTTGCGGCACTGGATCCGCTTTATATAATTGCGGCACTTGTCCCTATAATCATGCGAAGTTATTATCGCACTACGCAAGTTATAGCCGCTGTGCTCGGCGCGTTTTAACCACGCCGTAAGTGCTGTCTCTGACATCTTATTGTTGAAAATTTTCAAATCCTGCCATAGCGGTGGGTAAGATTCCATGGATTTCTTCCAACCCTTGGACACAGATAAACAACATCTATATCATATTAGAAGCCACACAGAACCAAGGCATTGTGTTATATGAACTTACCCGCGAGACTTCAAATCCAAAAAACCCCATATCTGTAGAACAATCTCTTGGGGAAGTCGTGGCAGGGGGTCAAGACGATTAGCTGCCTGTGATTGTTTCCTCAAGGCTTCGTAGTGTTTAGACAGGATCTTAAGCAGTTAGCTTTAGAGACTTCAACAGACAACAAGTGAGTCCATACCTTTCGATCTTCGTTGCCTACAGGTACCTTGTGAAGCCCGCGTTCGAGAATCTCTAAAGCTTTATCGCGCTGCCCCATAAGTTGAACAACCTGACCACATCGCAAATACCCCTTACTAGTTAGCATACTTCGGGAAAATAGGGAGTAAGCCTCAAGTTTACCATGGCCATATCTGGCAAACGCTTGATGATTTCACGGCCATCACGTAGTGCGTGTTGGAACTTTTCTAATTTGATGTATACAAGGCTTCTCTTGTTCAGTATAGCAGGCACTAACTTTGGTGAAGACGACTTGATAGCCTATATAATACAAAGATCGTCAGTTATCAATCGATATTACGTGACTAAAGGCTCCGTCGCAACCAACAGTTGCAGTAGGATGACGCTGCATAAAGCGTACATTGGAGGTGAAGATATTGGACAAAAAATAGAGAAACCCCAGACATAAGTCAGAGTAGCATGAGCCGCGAAATAATGACTAAATTAAAATAGACCTACCTTGTCGAAGTGTTCCAGAGCACCAAGGTGGTCCCCTTTTTGGAAGCATTTGCTTCCAAGGGTATCATGATCCATGGTTGAAAGTAACGCCGTCGACCATACAACCTTCACTTTGATGCAACTGTTGATGTCATCTGCCCATGATTCACCGGTAAGTTTGAGAGTGTGATTTTGAACGAGTGAGGTTTTGTGAAGTGCAACCCGCGTACCGCGTAGAGTAGCGACTAGGGGAGGGACGACGCGATGGGGGAGAGACTTCGAGATCTGTCGGCAAATCGTTTATCCGAATATACCTCCCAGGCAAGGCTATTATGTTCGTAGCCTCATTGAATTGGTTCACTTGCTTAAAGAGAAGACGTCCACCCAAGAGGTTTATGGATTAAAAAAACTTCCTTATTGACCTGAACCTACTTGTGGCTCTGGCCCATTGTCTGCAGTATGACAAGCATCGACGAGCTTTTCAAGGTTTGTCCTCGGTTCAATGTTATTGGAGTAGTGAGGCTAACTTCACGCCCAGAAGCCAGCTATCCCAAGCCACAATAAGAGGAAGTTGGAAACCATCCAAGACCCAAGTACGTGCTATTCGGGAAAATAAATGCGTTTAGATGCTGACTGATAGCAGACGTCCACTACAAGTCCCCGAAACTATCGACCAATGGCACCGCCAGCGGGAGGCCCCAAGACGAGGACAATGACGACGATGTAGAAGCAGGGCCATCGAGGCCTCCTGATGACGACGAGGACTACGGTCCAGATATACCAGATGATGAAGATGGGCGCTTCTTTGGTGGCGGAATCACAAAAGACACATCAGAGATATTGGACTACATGGAGGGGCAAGAGGATGCGACCATTGCACCCGAGAAGATAGACATAGCATGGGTGAGGAAGCTGGCGCTCAATTTCGAGAAGAGGATATCAAAGAATGCAGAGTTGAGGGCCAAGTTTGAGAACGACCCACAGAAGTTTATGGGATCTGAGGCGGACCTGGATGCAGACGTCAAGGCCCTCTCGTTATTAGCAGAGCACCCCGAGCTATACCCTGAGTTCGCCAGGCTCGGCTGCGTCAGCTCCCTCGTCAGTCTACTCGCGCACGAGAATACCGACATCGCCATTGACGCCATCGAAATCATCAGCGAGCTCACTGACGAAGATGTCGAAGCTGACGCCTCCCAATGGAGCGCCGTGGTCGACGCCATGCTCGAATCCGGCCTCCTCGACCTCCTCACATCCAACCTCTCCCGCTTCGACGAATCCCACGAATCCGACCGTGCAGGCGTCTACCACGTCCTTAGTGTCCTCGAGAACCTCGCTTCACAATCTACCCACGCGGAAGCAATAGGCCAAGACCCCGCTGTCCTCAAATACCTCCTCGCTCGCATCCAGGCCAAGGAGAACCCAACAACGCAGAACAAACAGTACTCTGCCGAACTCCTTGCTATCCTCCTTCAATCCGCGGCCGCTACGCGTGCGCATCTCCTCACTCTTAATGGCGTCGATACCCTCCTTCAGCTGCTCGCTCCGTACCGTAAGCGCGACCCCGCGCATGGCACGGAGGAGGAGGAGTTCGTCGAGAACGTCTTCAATGCACTGACATGCGCGGTTGATGACATAGCAGGCAAATCCGCGTTCCTCGAAGCCGAGGGCGTCGAGCTGGCCCTCATCATGGTGAAGGAGGGCAAGATGGCGCGGCCGCGCGCTTTGCGGATGCTAGACCACGCCCTTGCAGGCCAAGGCGCGGAAGCATGTGCGCGCCTCGTAGAGGGCGGAGGACTAAAAATCATATTTAGCGTCTTCATGAAGCGGGCAGATGGGTCGACGACGGAGCATCTGCTTGGTATCTTCGCGAGCATGCTGCGTTCGTTGCCGGCGGACGAAGGGCCGCGCATTCGGACGCTGGCGAAGTTTGTGGAGGGAGATTATGGGAAGATTGCGCGGCTGGTGGGGATGAGGAGGGAGTTTGCGGGACGCGTGGGGGCGGTGGATGAGGTGATTAAGGAGGAGGCGAGGGGGTTGGATGAGGAGGAGAAAGAGGATATGGAGGGGGAGTGGTTGTCGAGGCGGCTGGATGCGGGGTTATTTTGCTTGCAGACTGTGGATGTCATATTGGCGTGGTTAGTGGCGGAGGATCAGGGGGCGGAGAGGAAGATCAAAGAGTTGTTGGCGGAGAGGGACGAGGGGTTGAGTGTGTTGGGGGGTACGATTAAAGGTATGTAATCTGCGTTTCTGTGGTATGCGAACGAGGCTAACGTTGTTTAGAACAACTGGATACTATGGGCGAGCTGGAGACGGATGATCAGAGGACGACGAATGATATGCTGAAGACACTGCTGCAGTTCGTGGTGTAGGTAGCAGGTAGCCCGCACCTTGATGCAATATATATACTGTATTTTACAACATCAAACATCGAACCTACCTTACCTAGGCTCATTTAATCGTATGATCTAAGAAATCAAGTGTACCAGAACGTTATATGCGTGTTAATCCGTTGAACCCAGAATCTATAAATGCAATATATCCTCGCCTCTACTAGGTTTCTTATAATATACACCGTAATAATCAAACACCTCGAATTTACAGCCCCTTCTCAACTTGCATACTTCCAGCGCTTTTCTCTTCATCATCACCCTTGACATGAGTATTAGCTGCACGCTCTGCAAGCGATGGCTGATGTTGCCACTGCTTTGCTGGGATTCCCTAGAAATAATTAGTATATTACGCTCTGAATACAGTGGTTGGCATCGTACATCAGCAAAGAATCCATTGATCTCTTCCATCGTTCTGCCTGTGACTTCACCGACGCAGAAATATACGTATGATAGCGAGACAAAGCAAAGGCCTGTGTAGACAAACCCCGTCTTTGGGCCGAGATTTGCGTTGTAGTACTGCGGCGGGTTAGCACGATCTTCCCATAATGTGACATTCGACGTACCAGGTAAGGGAGAGTAAACACTGTTGCCCATACGGTGATCTGTATAAAATTAATATAACCATAAGGGTTAAGAGTGGCATAGTACTCACCCAGAAGCAACCAACGGAAATGGCGTAGATCTTATTACGATTTCGGCCCACTGCCATCTCAGAAGCCTATAAAATGTTATGGAGAGTCCTTGTTCGAGACACTGCTCACTTACTATCGTCCATCCAAGCCTATGATATTGTCAGTATGATTGAACATATGATATAGAATGATTACTTACGGGCCCCATGCAAAGTTGAAAGCTGTAATTTCAATAATAATGAATGCGAAGATGACTTTTCCAATCGTCGGCGATGGCGTATTTCCAGGTATTCCGAGGCAACCGACAACAAAGATAGAGACTGTCATAAGACCTGTAGTAATGAGGAGAAGCGGGCGCCTTGGGAGGCTGTTGGCGAAAAGCACAGCTACAAAGACAACAACTACCTGAATGATCTACCAAAATATCAGAATGTGACAACATATATCTTGGGAAAGGGTGTTGACTTACAAAAACAATCAATGTCATTAAAAATGGATCCTGAAGGCCAATTGCTTTTGAGAACACAGTTCCGAAGTAATAAAACCATTGGATGCCATTAATCTGCTGCGCGATCAACGCACCAGCAGAGTACACCACCTTGCGTCTCTCAATTGGATCTCTAACGAGATCCATCCAAGATGATTCTGCAGCCTTCAGAGACTCATCGTCAATATCTTGTTGCAGGACACTGAGGTCTTCGTCTGGAGTATACTGCTCGCCACGATGAACAAGTACAAGAGCTTTCCTGGCAGACTCCTTCTTTCCTTTGCGGAGTAGCCAGCGTGGAGACTCTGGAACCCACCAAAGTCCGGCGAGAACAATGACAGGGAAAACGACTTGGACACCCATTGGTACACGATACGCCACGGTCGAGTTGATTCCTTCGGTACCACGATTGATCGCGGCGGCAATAATTTGTGAAATGGAAATAACAAGCTGCCAGCACATAAGAAGCTGGCCACGAATAGCTGCAGGTGCAATTTCCTAAATAATGGTTAGAATTGATTTTCCCCACATGAGTCGGAACTTACTCCTATGTATAATGGTGAAGTGGCAGAGAAATTACCAACGCCATAGCCAAGAATGATGCGGCCTCCCATGATGTACGACGTATTATGGTCGGTGACAAGCTGGAGTATAACACCAATAATGATTGCTATGGAAGCAATTAGGAAAACGCCTTTGCGGCCAAGATAGTCGTTCAATGGCGCAGCCGTTAAGGAGCCAAGGAGTTCTCCGATGTTGATAACCGATGTCATTAGAGAAAGCTGCGAGGATGAAATCTCATATGAACCATCTGCTTTTTGGGTCCCGAAGTGTTCGACGAAGATGTCCATAGCGGACACCCCTGTGAAATAGACTCCGTCATAACCATAGAGACAAGCCCCCAGGGCTGCGAATGAGCAAAAAAGCCATGCATATGGATGCTTAAGTTTAGCCATTATTCTCGAGGACAATGGTATAAAAGATAGGTATGAGAGATTTCTTAGGAAGTGATATCCCAACTCTTGGGATGTATGCAATGTGGAGTGAACGAAAGTGCCAGGTCCGCTAGCTTTATAACCCCACGAACTTGCAACTACCCCTTCTCCGGATTCTGGGGTACCCCATGGGTGCCGCTAAAGCCGTGTCTAATTGAGCAAATATAAAAAAGATGGAGACATTGTCATCCTAAAAAGCAGCGATAGCGTATGTTTATGGCACCTTGACTTGGAAGTTCTGGATTTTCTATGGTTCGGCTTAGAATAGGCATCGTTCCCGTCAAAGTGGCAAGCCGAAGGGCGGTACCGATTGGTCATGGGATTTTCTTCGGCATTTGCATGCGCGCCGATTTGCTGTTGAATTGACTGCGGCATTTTGAAGCGCGCCGATTGGCTACAAATAAAGGCCACGGCAACTGCAATGACGCCGATTCGTCTGTTGAGATACCGCAAGTATCACCGGCACCTCACTTCATCCAAAGCTCGACAATTGCAATTATGTTACCTTATAGTCTTCATATTTCTAGTAAGTTTAACAAGGATCTTTTTCTATATGTACTATATCTGTAATGTCTCTATTTCATACGTCCTCATAAATAGTTAATTGTTTTCGGACGGAACGACCGTCACTACCATTCCACAATGCCTTCAAAAATATCACTTACTACTTCCATTCGGAGACCTTCCGAAAACACAGCGGCGGCAGATGCCATCCCTATCCTCGTCGACAATGAATACCACCTATTTCACTTGAGCACACCTCCTTCGACAATCCATCATCCGGAGAGATTACGCTCCTCATGGAGCCACCTCCGATCCAAATGCCTCACTCAATGGGAACGGGCTGAGCAACCAGCCCTCTCTCCCGGAGAGAGCACACAGTCACCAGATGCAGACGGAGTATGGACCGGATCAGCAATACTTGGTCCTGATGGAAACATGCATATCTTCTACACGGGGTATAATCTTGCCCAGGGAGGAAAGCAAGTTATCATTCACGCAACCTCGAATGACCGTATCGGCTCTCAATTCACCAAATCAACACAACCCATCCATCTCAAGTCAGACGGTGGCGCCCGGGCAGCATTCGAAGATATAGATTTTAGGGACCCGTTTGTACTGTACAACGAGGATGAAAAATGCTACTGGATGATTGTGGCAACAAGGCTGGCTGAGGGGCCACACTGGACTCGCGGCTGCCTGGCGTTACTCACGTCCGAAGACCTACAAACATGGTCATTGGAACCCAAGCCTCTATATGCGCCAAATGATATGATGTGCCCCGAGTGCCCTGAGCTATTCCAGCTACCGAATAAGAAATGGTACCTTGTGTATTCGAGGTTTTCGGCGCCAAACGCAGGAGTGGTATATCGCGTCGCCGACAGCCCACGCGGTCCATTCCATGCCCCCAAAGATGGCTCGGGTGGCAGACTCGATGGTAGACGATGGTATGCTGCAAAGTCTTGCCCAAAAGCCAACGATCCTTCCAAGAGAGTGTTTTTCGGCTGGGTGGCAGATCAGTGTGTCGCTGATGGAAAATGGATGTGGGGCGGCGATATGGCTATGCCGAGGGAGGTGATGGCAAAAGAAGACGGAACACTGGTCGTTGAACCTATCCGTCAAGCTCTCGATACCGTGTTCTATGCGCAGCCGTCGACAAACCTCACAAACACCGAGTTTGAAGCTGTTGGTAGTACTGCCACGAAGTCATTCGAGATCAAATGCGAACGGCCATATATGATAACATTTGGTATCGTGTCGAGCTCGGCAACTTCATTTGGCCTCATATTTGGTAGCGACAGTGATCTTAGCGGGTGCTATTTGCGCTTCGAACCAACCTTCGATGGTAGATATACAGTGTCGCTTGCTACGGCGCCAGCTCCGTTTGATGATTTCTGGGCAGACCAATACAAGATATACCTTCCAAGGGGGGTTGATGGCCCAACGATTGTCAGGCATGATAATATTAAGATAGATAAACCTGTAACTATCTTGAGGTCTAGAGATGTCTTGGAGGTATTTGTTGGAGGTCGCTCCCTCAGCTACAGACTGCCCCAACAGTCATCGTCGACGAAGGGAGGAGAAACTAGATTATTTGTGGAGGATGGAAGGGTAGAGTATTCGGATTTCAAGGTGATTGAGGGGGCAGACTATTAAGATAGATGATGTACAGTATGAGATAAACGAAATATACTATCATTTAAATAGTTGAGGCTACTTTGCTTGCTGTTGCTACATTATTGTTGCTACATTATCCCACTATGTCCATGTGTGAACACCCGTCCCCATAAATCTAAGATCCGATTTCTGACTCCCTGTTCATGTTTCCCTCACAAGCCGAGAAAAAATGTCAATTGTATCTGCGCCAACCACGGTGACCTTCGGCAAATGGCACGGCGTGTCCCAGGAGTCAAATGCCGCCCCGCCCTCGTCGCCTCACCCGTCCGAGAGCCACAGCAGCCTCACATGAGGCGACTCCTCCCACTCAGGCGGCAGCAGATCTGAGACGTAACAGTTCACGTCGCTCAGAGACATGTTTGGCAAGTCGACATATACCTCGCCTATCCCGAAGATCAGCACGACCGCCGACCACCGACCGCCTGGTAACTATAATTTCGATGTGCCCTTCTTCCTGGGCAACTTCAGGGCTGCGCACTGAGCCAGTCAAAGTTGCTGAGGTCGAGATTGGCTAGATTCTCGAACGGGTCGAAAGTATTCGCAAATGTTAAGTCAAGGGGACTCGCAGCAACCATGAACAAATCGTCGAGGTTAATTGAGAGAGCATGTTCCATCCCCTTCAGTATAGCCCCCTCGAGACGGTTGACAGCATACTTCATTGGCCCACAAGCCTTACTCATAAGCCGCAGAGTCCATAAGTAGCGGTTTAGGTTCTCTCTCCATAATGTCTTCTCGGGCTCAGACCGCGAGGTGACTAAGAGTAAGGTGGTGAAAGATCCGACGAGAGAAAATCCAAATGGCGATGCTGGTGGATATTAGATACCATGTAGATGAAGAGACTGAGGAAGCTTACCAAAATACCAAAATGCCTCTAGATGATCTGGTCTTAGGCGGGACACAAATGTTATCGCTTCTTGAGCTGTCTCATGAGCTAATGTCCGGGTGTGTGTTAATATGTCGACGTCTAAACATAGTGGTTCGAGTGCTGTAGATCTTATTAATCGACGCAGTATTGTGGTTCTAACAGTGTAGAAGGCCAAGCTGAGGTAGCCTGCTAAAATTAGCACTTTCCACAAGGATTGCGGATCTGAAATCTCACCATTCGGACAGAGTCTAGAGATGGCCTCGTAGTTCATCTGCAGCGATTTAGGAAGATTTTTATGCCACGCATCTAACAAACCAAGAAGTGGCATAGCCTGGGAATATAGGTAGGAAGTATCCTGGTTTTTGCTTGCCCTGAGAGTGTAAAATGTTCGCATCACATCGCTCAGGATCCGAGTCAGCTGGACCATTTGAACGACTCTAACTGCACCTGATAGACTGTCAACTCGAACCTCGCCATCTTCAGAGGTATAGGATTCAAAATCCGAGATGTCTAGGTCAACTACCATCCATTCATCGTCCGTGATAAGGCTCGGTCGTCCATGCGCCAAGGCTGTCCATTTATCTTGCATGTAAATGGCCCATGAAAGTCTTTTCCGTAAACGTTTCTCCCAGTCCGGAATAGACCATGATGAGGCGTCCAGGTGCAGACCAAGTGCTTGGCCAATACATATGAGTTGGCCTGTACAACCCCAGTTCCAAGTATGGTCCGGGTTTAGCGGGTCTTCAGGCTTGCATTGTAGTAGCAAAATCATAGCCTCAATACTGGCAAGCTTTGGGCGGTGATATGAATTCTGAATAGCCTGCAAGGTGAGCTTTCGCAAGCTCGTTGCGTCTGGCATAGACCGATTGGAAAGCTCGCGGTCATAGTCCCACCATCCGAGAGCAATCAGATACATTGCTCCGAGTAATGGGGCGGAAACCGATTGATATGACTGAGCATATTTCTGGACGAAACCTTGCCTATGTAGTATAGGGAAAGACGGATGCATAATTCTCCAAAATAAATCCATAAGTCTTGGTCCGTGAGGTGCAACACAGGCTTCGATGTTGTCGTGCTCGCTCTGGAGTAGTTGGTAACCGATTGCTTTGCTGTCGTGCACAACATGAAAGGTCAATGGATACTCCATTCCCTGGTCGCTTTGCAACACTTTACGGATCGAGTGAGTCTCCAAACGGAACTCTTGGTTTGGTGCATCATATGGACGGTGCCGCTAATGATAATCAGCAATTGCTCCCTGCTAAGGTCTTACCAACGTGCAGACAAACCATTAAGATCGGCTCCATATCACTCGTGAGTCCATACAACTCAGAAAAATTGCTTGGTGCAAGTCCAAGGGATGCATCAGTCTCATCAAACTGGACATCTAGTGGGGCAGAGGCTGCATCTGGCATCCTGCTCCCAAGCGTCGGTAAGGCCCTGGGCTGACTCGATTGCCTCGCATCGAGATATGCTGTTGGAGCTACATCTATACTATTCGCCAAACCACTTGGAGTCCAAACTGCTTGACCCGCATCCAATTGATAACCCGGTGCGATAGGCCGTAGTCCTGTGACCTGTGAACTTGGCGGGGTTCCAACTCGCATTCGTTGGCCCTCATTGCGCACTTTAGACCTCCGAGGAGGGCCCTTGCTAAACGTGCAGTCGGCTTGCCGGGCCTCACAACTGGCACATACGCCGGTGGTTGTGCTGTTGATGATGCAACGTGATTTACGGTTGCGACAGGAATCGCATGGCCGGAGTGCACGCCGAGATTTTCGACCAGAGTCTGTATGGGTGCTCTCTTCCATTTAAAGGACCAACCCCCGTTCAGAGACAAGATATGTAGCAGTTTTGTCCCTTTGTAGCCCCATTTAATGATGTCTAATGGAAACTTTGGTTTATGTTACCTGTATTAGCCACAACATCATGACTTATGGGGGGGGATTGTGAGCGGGGGAACAATCTTCCGCGCTGTCTCAAATGTGAAATTCGCACCAGCTCCAACACTACAATTCTTCATAAAGTTATCATAATTATATTTGTAAATAATTGAGCGGTTCTATTTTATCTAAATCTCCCATCAACGCCAGAGTAGCAATGGTATATATATATCCAAACATTATCCAAAATCTACAATCCAACCCATTCCATCACCTCGCCTCCTCCCCCACCACCCCCTCTTCCCCTCCATCATCCACCTTAACCTCCCTCTTCCCCGCCGCCCTCTCCGCCCCCGTCTTCGCATTATTCCTCGTAACCAACCCCCCCGCCCAAATAAATACCGGCACCGCCCCCGCAAAACTCAATATTGCTAACGACCACCCCATCGTTCCCCATCCACTCTTATTATCCACAAACCCCGCCCAAATCGGTCCCACTAGACATCCTCCAGCGAACGCCATAACGAACAGCCCATATGCCTGCGCATATGCTCCCTTCGCCCCAAAGATTCCCGGGCTGCGCACTTCCTTCGCTTCAACAATATATGTAATCTCCGCCATCAGTGGGGGCATAACCGCCGCCAGCGCCGTTCCCAAAAGCGCCAACAACGCACACAGCAGAATGACCTGCCTCGTGGAATTATGATCCACGAATCTCAACAACACCAAACACGGAATCGCGCCCAAAAACCCCGAGACAGCGAGCCACCGCGGACCGTATCGGTCGGCGATGGCGCCGAAGAGGGGCGCGAAGAAGCCAGGGATTAGGATGGGCAAGAAGATGAGGCCGGCACCGGTGGGGGACCAAGAGAAGGTGCGGGCGACGAATAGGGGGAGGACGGAGTCGAAGGCGGTCAGGATGGAGGCTTGGATTAGGCAGGCCCAGAGGGCGGCGAGGAGGCGGCGCGAGGAGAGGAGGGTGAGCATTGGATGACGGGGCCGGGGCGAAGGGGTTGCGGGAGGCGGTTGGGCCGAAGTTGGTGCTTCGTTGGTGGTGGAGGCGTCGGTGCTGCTTGTTACACCAGGGACGTCTAGAGTTTTCTCCGTCGCCACCGCGGCAGGTGAATCCGTCTCTCTCGCCTCTTCCGCCGTCGTTTCGCCCACATCAACTGCCGGCTTAACACCTACCACATCATCCCATTGCGCCGCAATCTTCTTCTCAATCAACGCCAACCTCATTCCAATATCCAGCGCCAAAAGCCCAAAACACACATAGTAAACTTCATAGTAACCACACCTCTGGTACACCACCCCTCCAACCAACGGTGCAGCAATAATCCCCACCGACATCGAAATCCCAACATACCCCAGAAGCTGCCCAATATCCTTCTGGCCGACTGTATCGACCATCAACGCCATGCCGACCGTCCAGACCACACCCGCCGCACACCCCTGCAGCAGCCGCCCAACAACCATCAGCGCCACGCTCCTTGCAAGACAAAGCATCACCGTCGCCCCTGTCAGTGCCACGAGGCCAAACAGTAGCGGCAGTCTCCGACTACTCGTGCGATCCGCATACCACCCCGAAATGGGCGCCGACACGAGCAGCGCGGCGCCGTAGACGGCAAGCAACACGCTGACCCAGTGCTGGGCGTCACCCTCCGGGACTCCAGCGCGCGCGGTCAGGGCAAAGGGGACGACGGGCACGATGACGCCGTAGAGGAACATGTCGCTGAAGACGGCGGCGCAGAGGGTGAGGATGATGAAGAGTTTTGAGGAGCGGAAGGCGAGGAAGTGGGGAGGGGGTGAGGAGGCATCGGCGCGGTGGCCGGAGAGGAAGTTGTGGAGGCGGCCGAGGGACATGATGGGCGGTGGGGGTGAGGTTGGTGGTGAGAGTGGTGATGGTGGCTAGACGATGGATATCCCATGTGATATATAGAATGGATACGGCGTCACCAGGAGGAGAGTATATGAACGAGGCTGGGTTTGACGTTGGGATTGGGATATAATTTGATCGGATTTATTCCGTGCCGTTGGACCACCCTTCTAACGGCCTTTCATTATGTACGAATACAAAAATCGAGTATTCCGAGGTCTTTGTCTTCCATCCAATATGTACGAATACGAATATATGTATTCCTGAGATTTTGATTTCTATCGGATCATTTTCGGGAGCTAAAAAACGCCAATAATTGGCAACAGTCATTCGGAGTAGAATTGCCCCTTCCCCCCGCTTTTTCCGTGGCAGTGGAGTTATAGAGATCATGTGACTTGAGTTGCTGGAATGGACGGGAGGTTCGTAGGTGAATAGAAGTGATAACATGCGATATATATTCATATTTGTTGCCAGTCTAGAACAGTATAGAATGCCACACGTGCAATGACAACCCTATAATGTGTGTGCACGACATGGTTGATGCATTGCCAGGAGCCTCCTGTCTCACATCTCACGCCTATTTCAACGGTAGTGCGTTGTCAGCCCTGGCTTGGAAGAAAAGGGGCTTTTGAGGCTCTTCATGCCGACAAGTGCTGATGAAGATGAAGCCGTGCTAGAAAGGATGTCTTGTCCTACGTGACAGGTTTTTTCGGGAGTTTCGGATTCCCAATGTTGATGTTGGATATAGGGAGTCTTACATTGTGGTACTTCATACATGCAGCCTCCTTCAAACACTCGAAACGCTATTCAATAACTATTCAAATACTGTACAGCAAGGTATCGTCCACCGGTGAAGCAGTGTATATAGATATTTTTCCAGGATGTCGTATAGAAAGATCGTAATTGGAGACAATAACAACCACGGATCCCTGGAGTCAATTCCCCGCAGCGCAGAGCCTCACAATCATCACGAAAATTGCTGCTTCACGACCACTCATTTGAGGTGCGCTTAGTAAGCAACGCCCGTTTTATCCTTGCTTCCCCGAAAGTCGACATGGTATTGGACGCGGATTGAAGCATCGGGGAATCAAGAAAAGGTGGGAATATGAGGCTCAAAGGGAACAAATCATCCAACCCCCTGTAACCTAGTTTGGCCGCCGCACAGCCCCAACCCCCCCCCGGCTCAGGAGCCATCCGATCCACTAAATCCACTAAAAGCACCAAGTCCGGCATGTCTTACCTGTCTCTCGTTTCCATCATCCACTGTCATCAAACCATCCCACATTCTCACCATGAGCCATATTCACCCATGATCATAATACCATGGCCACAATCATTGAGGTGGCGATTCTGTGAGTGATTTTTTCCAAAACTAAACTTCACTGCAGTTGTATCCAAGGGAAAATACAACTATAGCTGCCTGCACTGTACTCTACGTCCCGTCAACTCAGTCTCAAATGGGAGGCTAAATCTCCCGCCAGCCTCGTTTTAACGTCCCAACGTAACACCCCCACCATGCAAGACGTATCGCGTCTCATGGTGTGAGGCTCTTTGATTGTCCTTTTCTCCATATCATTTCTTAATCTCGTTTTTACGTCCTCATTTCCTGTCTCGGGAAAACTTATGTCACACCGACCAGTGGGTCTGTCTCAACTAGCTCCCGGAGGCTCAAATGATCATGGTCCCTTGCTGCTTCGATTGAGGCTCTTCTCCGACTAACAAGTGGACTCCACTTTATATAAGTTGCCCCTCATACCCTCTCAAGGGTGCGACTCTCATAATAGATTTCAGTCTCGTCTCTAAAAACAACATTCTCTGCGATGCAATCAGCCTCCCGTCGTCCATCTTCAATACGTTTGGTGCATATAAGTGCACCCTGTTCATCGCTTCCTAGCCGCCCATGAATTCCCTGGAATCATTGCCAAACGAGCTATGGTGGGCTATTGCATCTTCATTAGAAATCGAGGATGTCATCAGCCTGTCTAGGACATCGAGGCGGTTATATCAATACGTTTTTAGTGACCAGGTCTCTAGGGCTGTGGCTCAGGTTAGTGATATTCTTGTCGTCGAGACGCTCGTTTTACTGTGTCTGTTGCTCACATTCTCTTGGAAAGTCCAAAATACCATTAAGCAGAGAATTCGTCAGGGCGACACAAAGAGGCACGAGCTCGGCGCAAGCCTTGCGTAAATGGGCCAAGAAGACGGAAGCATTGGCAACGGCGAAACCGTACTCGGTCGCCATCGTTGGGGTAGGGCAAACTTATATGTACTCCAAAGGTGCTCTGTGGTACATGCACAACGGTACACTGCGTCTTCTGGAAACACGGCAATCCCCTATCGAGGAACCAGTTATTGATCTATCTGGTCTTCTCGATAAGACTGCTTTTAAGGCGCAGTCAAAGGTTGCGGGATCGTTCTCGTTCCTTCATTATCATGAGGGTGTTCTGTCCTGTTTGTTCAGATACGCTCACCCAAGACGCGGAGGCTGGCTTATTGCCGTGGACGTTAAAAAACCGGCTATTCTCCTCAGCACTGAGGTAACTTCAACTGAAAAACTCTTTGCGCGTCATGATGGGGACTATCTCTATTACGGAGTCCATATCTCCAACGACTATGACAACCGCAAGAGGTGGGTTCTTCATGGGTATGATTTAAAGAACGGCAAGTTTCTGGGACGCAATAACTTCCTCTATGATCTAATTGGTGGTGAGATTGGCTCTACTATCTGCTTCGAAGTCGTGGGTGGCTTTTTCTACGCTGTTTCCAACCAGACAACTTATGAAGTGGAAGAGGTAGACTGGACGTCTTTCTACCATGGCAGACGATTTCCACTCAACAATCCATCTGAGAAGAAGCTAGAAAAAACAGAAGATCAGTGTATGTGGCGCCGCCAGCACCTCGAAGGGCCTCTAGACGATCGCTGGACGAGCCTTGCACTTGCAATCGACGAAACAACCGGCCAACTCACAATCGTGGAGTCACGCAAGGAGTGGCTCGAGGGCCGCACCGTCGGCCAAAGAACAGTTTACAAAACCAAAGTTGTTTTTCCCAAGCGGCCAGTCACGAAGAACAACAGCAGCAGCTCCCCCCAAGCTAATGCTGCACCCGCACTGTCGCCCGCCTCACCATATACGTTTCAGCCATTCGGCACAGTTCCTCTCCAAGTGCAGCACCCCACGGATTACCCCTCCTCCTCATCCTCCTCCTCCTCCGAACACCAGCGTCGCAAAGAAGATTTAGCAGTACTAACCCAAGACCGCCTCGCGCTCACCATAACCGCCTCCAACAAACCGCACTTCTCTCCTTCCCAGGTCCGCCTTCCCAGGAACGTGCACGCAGAGTCTATTACTCCGCCAGGTCAGCGCTCCTTCGTCATCAGCAAGACGTCAGCGAGATGCTATGATATGTCCGCCAGCACGTTTGTGGATCTCGTCAATGACATCCCGCACCCTGATCCAGGAGTGCAGCAGTGTCTGCGCATCCGGGCATGTTCGCGCCGCCGCAAGGGGCCCGCGCGTGGGGGTGACGGTATTATCGCACCTCTAGCACGCGATCCGGAGACCGGCGAGCTGGAGGAGGAAGAGGGGTTGGATGAGGAGTATGAAGACGGCCCCGTCGAGATGTGGCCGCCGGCACCGGATGCACAGGGGAAGTATAGCGAGGCTGGACGGGACCTCCACGTGCTGATGAATCCGCCGGGGTATATGGGTAAGGTGCACGGGACTTTTGATGGGACGGGGTTGGTTTATTCGACGGGGGGGGAGGGGGGACAGAAGGCGATTGTGTTGGTGAATTTTGATCCCGCGGTGCATCTAAGGGGATTGAGGAAGTGCTCGATGGATGATTTGGGCCCGGGTGTTGCTGCTGTATCTACTACTTCTCGGGCCTCGACGGCCCAGGCATCTAGCGGAGGAGCATCACCTAAACGGCCTAACTCCTCGATTTTCACCACGGCAGAGTTTGGTATGAAGGGGTCCTACCACCACTTACCAAAACGCGCAAAGACAACCTCCTCATCACCTCCTCCCCCCTCCCCAGCCGCAGCACCAGCACCGACTGCAAAGCACCCAAACTGCTCCTGGCTCCGCCGCGAAGCAGCAATGTACCTCTCCATATCACGAGGCCTCGATTTCGGCTTATGACTATCTAGCGTAACAGTGTGCGTAGTTCAAACAATACAAAATACAACATTTTCTATACCCTTCCCTCCCCCGCCCCTCTCCCCGCGGCTTATCCCGCGCGTGTCGTTCGTGAGATGCACAGTTCGCAGCAGCAAGCACAGTACGTACATGCCACGCCCGCCGCCGCCATAACCTCCCCTCCCCTCCCGTCCTCCCACTGTACAGATCCCCTCTCCCAATGTGACCCAAGCTCCCCACCCCGCGCCTCGGCACACAAATCCGACATGCAACTAAACTGCGCGAGTCAACACCCCAAAACGCCCAGCTTCGGTGAGGGAAAAACGCATCAGCCAGCACACCGACAAGGCTGATCCCAAGGCAGACCACATCTCGGAAGGCTCTCACCGGTGCGGCCTGCTTGTGGGTGCGGTGCGGTGGATATAAATAACCTCGCCTTGCAGGTATGTAACTAACTTACGCCCTAAACTGGCCGTCTCTTGATGTAACCACTGGGGAGGGTGGATGAGTGTGGATGCAGGGACCCCTCACCAAGCGATGCGCGTTGAGACGAGGCTGCGAATATGCAGGTCTGCGATTACGCCAGCACGGGGCATGATGCACGGTTGTGAGATGGTGGATGAATGGATGGAAGGAGAAGAAGCTCTTCTGGGTAAGTATATGCGTTTCCTGTCCCCCGCATAGGGTGTTAGAGAAGGAGGGGGGGGACAAATCCCCGTCGGTCTGGCTACCTACCCTCGTACTCGTGACACCTAAAACATGCGGCTCTGCGGCCTTGCTGGGTTGAGTACAGCCTGTTCAGCCGTTAGAGAAGACGCCACAGGCAGGGTATTTGACTCAAAAATAATAATGAATTAGGATGTGTGTGGATGAAATGGGGCATGTAGATAGCGGACAGTGATGGCACACAGGGATTAGTGTGTAATCTGTTCACACATGCGCCTCAAGGATGGAGATGCCAGATGCACGCGATCTGCATTTATTCACCGGCTGCAAGATTATGGGTGGGTGAGTGGGTAAATACTACATTAGTATTAACGATACGCTGCCTTCTATCACACCCCCGCGCCGCCGTCTATCCCAATCCATCTCGGCTCATCCATCCGTGTATGCTGCATGCGTAGATGCCACCCCCCTTTCCCGCTCCAACCCATGCCCCACAACGCCTTTGAGACTGCACTTCACGATGTGTTCGCACACCGAGGAAGCTGCATAACCAACCACCCCCCTCCCTAACATTCACCCTAACCAACTCCCCCCTCCCATGTCCTGACCTGCCAAGCCCGCGGGATCGACGGCGCAGCCCCGTGTTACACCGTTATGTATGTAATGTATATTTTCCCCTTCTCCTCCCCCACCTTCTTCCTCGGACCAGGTGCGCGCGGCACCGGCCTACGTAAGGCTGGGCGCGGATCCTCGGTATCTCTCGTCGTGGGGTGCCGCTGCTACCCTGTGGGGTTGCACAGCCTTGTTTGAGAGGGGTGTGTGAGCGACGCCCCGTTATTACTTATTTAGCTGCACGTAGTTACCTAGCGGTCTGTTAGTGGTGGGGTCTCGAGGAGATTCTAGACTGGGAAGAGCGGGAGCGGGATTGGGCCCCGACCGACCGGTGAGGAGGGAGGATGGGGGTTGAGGGCGGTGGATTCCGTGTCCAGACGACATGTCTGAAAGTGGAGTATTCCAACAAGAAGTAAGGGGGATGATGACTTACCAGGAAACTGCCCCTCTTTCGAACCAACTCTCCCCGTCCACCATTCATTGTCATTTTGCGTCCTGTGAATAATCTCGATCACATCGCCCGTGGCAAAACTCAGATCCCCCTCCGCCTGCGCCTCGTAGTCATACAGCGCCGTCACCGTCTCTGCGACAGGCACTCCGCTGAAGCGACTTGGTTTCGGTTTTGGTGGCGGCGGCGCGGCACCCTTTGCCTTTGCTGCGGCGCCCCAGTTCCCACCTGTCGAGTTGGCGCGGCCGACGCCGCTCTTAGTGTCGCCGTGCGGGGCGAGTGATGACGAGGGCCCGACTGTGTTGTATGCTGGTGGGGGGATATCGGAGAAGGACGTGCGTGTCGGTCCCGGCGAGGTAGGCGCCTGATACGGCGAGGCGGATGAGCTGCCGGGCTTGTCTTCGATGGCGAGCTGGCTGGTGCCGCTCTCGATGCCGAGACGGCCGGCGGCGGCGCCTGGGCCGTACTTTGGGGGTCGCTTTGCGCCCCGGGTGCGGAATTTTGTGATGGCAAGTGCTTCTGCTGCTTGCTGGATCTCGCCGCGCTTGGCCTCGAAGGCCTCTTCGATGCCGAGGGTGAGGTTGAAGTAGCCAATATCACAGCCCTGCATGCGCTCGTGAAGGGTGTAGAAGACGTTGAGCTGCATGTAGTAGAAGGATTGGAATAGAGGGATGATGAACTCTCGCTCGAGGCGGAAGAGTTTGGGGAGCTCCTCCTTCAGGAGGTCGTTGAAGTAGTTGAACTCTTGCGTCGCCTGTTCGACCTCGTTCTCTGCCTTGTACATAGCCTTCTCGTCCTTCATGGACTTGTCCTTTTTGTCCTGGAGCTTCTTGAGTGTGGCGCGGTGGCGGTCGAAGTCGAGCTGCTTGTGCTCACGCTTGAGAACGCCCTTGCGGATCTGCTTGACTACAATCAAGAGCTCTTCGGCGGGGTGGACAATACGGGTTTCAATCATCTGCAACTCCGGTTCCAAGGTGACCTGGAGCTCCTTGACGATAGCTTCATATTCTTCGCACGCTTGAATACCTTCCGGGTTGCCCTCCGAGATGATCGAGTCCGGATCCGATACTCGACCGGATATAGGTTTGTAGATTTCTGCTATGGCCTGCGAGAAATTGATCTGGTGGGTGAGCATGCCATTGACGGCGTTCGTGTACTTGCGGGACTCCTCATGGAGCCTCTTGGTCTGCTCCTCGAGCTCCTGAAAACGGCGTTCTGCGTCTATGAATATCGGGTCCTTGGTTTGCTCCCCAAGATTAAATCTCTGCTTAAACACCTGCGGCGCCTGTTGTTGTGGTTGATCAGCTTCAGCTCTGTGGAACCCCTCACTCGGCGATCTCGAGACTACATACCCTAATGACGCTCTTCTGGAAGCCCTTGAAACTCATGTCGTCGGATGATGTCTGCCACAGGGGCAGATATTAGTGCTTTGTATGTACAATACAGCAAAATCGTTGTGCAGTATGAAGCGCAACGATTGAAATGGCCCAAGTGGTGGGAATAATGCAAGATATGAGGTCTTTAATGGCTGCCGAGGGGCGATGACGAGGATTGCTCCATCTGCCGTCGTGGCTGAGCGGCTGAGCTTTGAGTGACCTGGCGCCGCAGTAATGAAATGCCCGCGAACAGCCAAGATTTGGTAGGTAGCAGGATAAAAAAGAGTACAGTAAGACAGGTGCCTTGGAGAGTCGTGTGTTTATATTCGTCAACAAAAGCAGTATTTGTGAGGCTTTTTGTGTGTTTGTATACGATGTTAAGCTGTGAATTACGTGAATGTGAATGAGGGAAGCTATCAAACCAAGTTTTGCATATTAGTTATGTTATAGTATGTTATAGAGTGTACTATTCAATCCCTCCTTCCCTATCCCACCAGCCAAAAAGCAGATTCACAGCACAGCCCACCATAACCCGCCACAGCCCACCATCGTCATAGTTTATACACTGATGTTGCTGAAGAGTACTTTGTCAATATACTGTAATTGTACTGTAAACACATGTCCCTACGGGCTTAACTGGTGTCACAACTATGCTCAATAAGTTCTCGGCGCTCGGAATAACCGGCTTTCCACTGTTGGCCTTTATCGACCAATCACCGGTCGTCGCCTAATATCATTTGCTGGATCTTTCATCGGAGCTCCTTTGCCGCTTCCACCACTTCCACTCCCGTCAGTCATCAAAAAGACCGGAGTTGACCTTCCTTCTGCCAGAAACAATGGCAAATGTAGGCTCATCATCGTTGCGACAGGCCGCGCGCCTGTGTGCGAAGAACATCTCTTCAGCAGGCCTGATTAGAAGCTCTGCTTTACCACGAGCAGCAGTTGTGGCAGCTTCAGGGCAAAAAGTCTCGGGCCGACGCTACGTTTCCGAATCGAAGAAGGATGCTGCGCAGGTGAACGTCGAGTCGGCCATCAAGGCCGACCAGAAGAAGTTCGTCCAGGAGATGGGGAAGACCCAGCTCGAACAGCCGATGCATCCCACGGGGGCGAACGCGGATGCTATGATGGATCCTATGGCGGGTATGAATTTGCTATCTCCGAGAGATGTCCGGCTTTTTTTATTGACCACGTATAGGTGTCTTGAAACAGGCTACCATCATGGATGGAGGACAGAGGCCCATCTATCTCGATATGCAAGCCACGACTCCTCTTGATCCCCGTGTTCTCGATTCCATGCTGCCGTTCTACACTGGACTGTACGGAAACCCTCATTCGAGGACGCACGCGTACGGTTGGGAGACGGATAAGGCCGTCGAGCAAGCCCGCGAGAACATTGCGGCCTTGATCGGTGCCGATGCGAAGGAAATCATCTTCACATCGGGGGCTACGGAGAGTAACAACATGAGCATCAAGGGAGTGGCGAGATTCTTCGGAAGGTCGGGGAAGAAGAAGCACATCATCACATCGCAGACCGAGCACAAGTGCGTGCTTGACTCGTGTAGGCATTTGCAAGATGAGGGCTTTGACATCACATACCTTCCTGTCCAGAGAAATGGACTCATCAGCATGGAGGAGCTTGAGGCCGCTATCCGCCCAGATACCGCTCTCGTCAGTATCATGGCTGTCAACAACGAGATTGGTGTTATCCAGCCTCTGGCTGAGATTGGCGCCCTGTGTCGCTCCAAGAAGGTGTTCTTCCACACCGATGCTGCTCAGGCTGTTGGAAAGATCCCAATGGATGTCAACGAGATGAAGATCGACTTGATGTCCATCTCGGCACACAAGATCTACGGACCAAACGGTATTGGTGCCTGCTACGTGAGGAGAAGACCAAGAGTCAGACTTGACCCCATCATCACTGGTGGTGGCCAGGAGAGAGGATTAAGAAGTGGCACACTTGCGCCACCATTGGTTGTCGGCTTCGGCGAGGCTTGCAGAATCGCCAAGCAAGATATGGATGTAAGCATTCCCTTTACTACTTGTTACCCCCCCCCTCTCCTCCTTATATGATTATATGCTCTCATATGCATGGCTTTCTTAGCGGCCTCCCCTACGGGGTTGAAGCCGTCATGACGTCTATAGCACGGTGAATGAAATTTGGACCTCATCCAACCTTGAAAAATTCAATTCAGTCGTCAGGAACCTAGCTGACCATCCCCCCAGTACGACACCAAACACATCAAGAAACTCTCCGACCGCCTCCTCTCCGGTCTCATGGCCATGGAACACACCACCCAGAACGGCGACCCCAACCACTTCTACCCCGGCTGCGTCAACGTCTCCTTCGCCTACGTCGAGGGTGAATCCCTCCTCATGGCCCTCAAGGACATTGCCCTGTCCTCCGGCAGCGCATGCACCTCCGCCTCTCTGGAGCCCAGCTACGTGCTCCGCGCGCTCGGCAGTAGCGACGAGAGCGCGCACAGCAGTATCCGTTTTGGCATTGGCCGATTCACGACAGATGCTGAGATCGACTACGTGCTCAAGGCTGTGCAGGAGCGTGTTTCGTTCTTGCGCGAGCTGAGCCCGTTGTGGGAGCTTGTGCAGGAGGGAGTGGATCTTAACACTATTGAGTGGAGCCAGCATTAGTTGGTTGGTTGTTGTGTCGTGATAGGGAGTGGGGGATTGTGTTGAGATTGTACGAAAGACAACGTTAGCAAAGGGGGGGTTATTGATATCCATGGGCGTTTATTGAGCACGTATGGGGGGGGTTACTGACGCAATATGTCTGCGTGTGTGGTTGGGTGTGTTTTTTGTAGTGTATGATATTTTGGTATTCGATGCCAATATGGCGAGCGAATAACGACACCACCACTCCCCATAATCAAAGAAACTGTAAGACTCATTCGAAGCGAAGCACGCATTTGTTGAACTCGCTCGTGAATATAATTTACATGCCCTGTACATTCTAATTCTAAACCGTGTGACGCCTTCAAACAACGTAACATCATGAACCCATAAATGTTGTATTATTGAACACCAGGAACACCATTTTGCGCCTTGGACCCTACGCACGTCTTCAACACCCTCAATCCCTGTGTCAATCAGTGGAGAATGGTCTAAGAATCCCATCTAGCAGCTTGTGGAAGGTGCTTCATCGTCCTCACCCACTTCCATCCTAGCCTTGCAGCGCTTAACATTATAAGATATGACGTCATCCTGTCATCCAACCAATCATACCCCTCCGTTGCCCCATGGCATTCTCACCAGACCCTGGAAATGCCATGACGTAGCTGCTAAACGTGATGGAATTCTGAGAAATGCTGTGCTTGTTTACCCCTCCATGCACATGCCGCAAGATCGCCAGGGTGTTGTTCACGATTCCATGAATTTCTTCAAGAAAGAGGGGGAAAGGGGGAGGGGGTATATAAGGGGGGGTTTCTCCTGAGTTGGATGCTCTTTTTTCTTTTCATCTTCATCATCTTATAAGAGATTCATATAAGCATCAACAGCTTCACTTTACACGCATATCAAACTCAACAAACACACACACATACAAACACAAACCCCCAAACAAACCCTCAAAATGTCCGACAACAACACCTCAACCATCCAGTCCTACATCGACTCCGCAACCGGCACCGTCCAATCCGCCCTCGGCACCCTCACCGGCTCCACCGCCGACACCAACGCCGGCCAGGCAAAGCAAGACAAAGCAACCCTCGAAGACGCCGCCAGCCATGCCACCCTCAAAGGTCCCGGCTTCACCGCGACCGCCGACGGAATCGCGCGCGACGACCCCAACCGCCAGAAGGGCAGCTGGAACCAGACCATTGGCGCGGGCAAGGAGGCGCTGGGCGGGCTCGTGGGGTCGGAGGATCTTAAGCGCGCGGGACAGGAGCAGAATCTCCAGGGGAAGGGGCAGGAGGCGCAGGGGCAGTTGAATGATCTTGGAGGGGGGATTGCGGGGAGGGTGAGCGGTGCGGTGAGAGGGGTGGTGGCGGGGTTGACGGGGGATAGGGAGGGGCAGTTGGAGGCGCAGAGGAGGCATGATGAGGGAAAGGCGCAGCAGAGGGGGGCGGAACATGATATTCAGAAGCAAAATCAGTAGGGGGTTGTTGGGGAAAAGAAGGGGGGAAGAATAGGGGTAAGAATAGGGGTAAGAATAGGGGGGTAAGAGGGGAGGATTGATACCATGATGGAAGGGAGTAGAATTTTTATTATGATTGTTAAAGCCGAGGTTGGAAATATTAAATACCCATTTTTGAGAAGAGTTTTTTACAATTCTGATTCTGCAAAAAGTGAAAACTCTGTTAATGTTTTAATTTCCGCAAAAACCTGTGTGAAAAAGATATCCATTCTATAACATGGTTGAAACAAGTGAGAACCCCCCCATGTAATTTTAATATTTTAATGAAAAGTCGTTAAAAACCAACCAAAAAGGAACCATAAAAAATAAGCAGTTTGAAACAAAAAAGGGACCATAAATAATAAGACCCGAAACAGCGAAGATATACTTTAGTATCTTTAGTGTCTTTAGTATAGACGGACCCACCGATGGATCAATCAGAGGCCGCCGTAGGGCGTTTGTAGGGCATAGTGCCACTGGACGACCCCGCTGTAACCAGATATTAGACTGCGGGTTGTAATCTCCACGTGCGTTCTGATAGGATAACCACGTTAGGAAACATACGCAGTAGCATCCTCACGTAATTCCTCAGCGACGACGTAAGTGCGTATGAATATTCTGTGGTATCGTAGTATTGTAGTATCGTTAGTTTTCTTATCGTTAGCACACCACAATTGCACTATACTCTAGAGAGATAGTATCGCCGAGCTCACCCAAGAGTCCAGCCCATTCACTCCATGCCGGATCCCACAAAGCCGAGTCTATCCATCCATTCAGATCGCTTCGGCTGGAGTCTATCCATCCCGATCATACCATCACCCTCCCAAGCTGACTGCAGAATGCAGTAATGCGATAAATGCAGTAAAAACGCACCCTCTCCCAGCGCAATGACGTGTCCCTCTGCACATCTCCCACCACAGACCTGATGATCACCCCTCCGCCCAACAGCTGTGCGACACAGAAGTCGTGGACTCCCCGCACTGGCTGTGCATTTAACCCATGAGACCACGAGGTTGGATTCTCTTCTCTCACCCCTTGCCCTGCCCGCCCGTGATCTCCCAGTATGCAAGCCAAGCGTAGGGTTAGAGTGCACAGTAACCCCTCTTCATCTCATCTCCACGGCGGGGGAAGGAGCACAGCGGAGACGCCGCATAGCAAACCGACGCCCAGCGACAAGCTCCGGGAGCCAATCTGCTAGTTTCGCCTGGGCAGGTGTGGTGGGAGCGGGTGAGCGCGCGCAGGTACTTGGTTACATAGTGTCGTTTGAGGGGGATTGCGTGGTGGATTTGGTGGATTTGGTGGATTTTGGGTGGGCAGCGTTACAAGACAACATGTCACTAGAGGGTAATCGGCCTCTTGGTCTAGACCACTAAGCTTGAGTGGTGGGGGAGGAGGAGGTGGATTGATCGTCTGAGAATGATGGGGGGGGTTATACGGGTATAAGGGTAAGGATGACCCGGGTTATGGGTTGATTCTGGTCGTTCTTGCCTGTTTGAATATATTATAACGAAATTATTCATTGCGACTTCCGAACCAACGATTGCTCTTCCTTGACGGACTGGATTATTAGAGTGTCTTAGAGTGTCGAGAGTATATATTGAGAATTGGGGCTTGAAGCGTCATACATTCTGTTACAGACATCATCTATACTGTACAAACAGCCATTCGATATCGAGAGAGGAGTGTAGACATATCCACTATCTTCGAACGAACATTGCACAAGAGGCAATTCCACGCAAGAAGACTACAAGAACCGGCATTTCGGCTCAAGCCAATCCCTCACAAACCGCAACGAGAAAACAGCAGCATCTCAACTGTCCAAAAGGACCACAAACCACATCTCAAGCCACCCAATCCCACACCAAAAATCACACCATGTCCTTCCGCAGCAACCCCCTCTCCGCCTGTCCCACCCGCGCCCTCGCCCTCCAACAATACCTCCTCCTGCACTCGGAACACGAATCCCTCCGCCTCTCCCTAGCCACCTACCCCATCGACACCCTCTCCTCCTACCCCGCCTCCACCTACCCATCGACGCCCTACTCCGTCGCCACAGCCGCGGCTTACGACGCCGACGCGAGAAAGCTGCACGATGTGAACCAGCAGATCAAGAGCGCCTTGACGGAGTTGCTGAATTGTGAGAGCGTGAGGGGGGATAGGTTGTACAGGGCTTGGGTGCAGAGGAGGTTGATGGAGGCGGAGAGGGAGTTGAAGGAGGGGAGGAGGATGAGCGCTAGTGGGGGGAGGAGGATGGAGGGGTTTGGAGAGGTGAGGGTTGAGGGGGCGAGGGCGTGAGGGGTTTGGGGTGATGAGAAAGCGGGGGGAAAAGTTTGGGGGGTGGAAGCTGGCTGGCTTTGCGGGCATTGCTGGTGTTTTTTGTTTGATAGAGAAAAAGCTGGGTATTTTTTGGGGGGAGAGAGGGGAGGGGGAGGGGGTGGGTGGAATAATTATTGGACGTGCCTGTGGCATGGGATGGAGAGCATTATCACTTGCTGGACGATGGTGGATAACAACCTAATGGACGGCGAGCAAGCACCACAGCGCGTTTTAGCGTGGATGCGGGGAGAATTATTAGAAGCAAAAAATTAATAAAAAGTATTAACATTACTGTGTTGGTCACCTTGGATGATGTGAGGAATGATAGATGTTTCAGGTTTGGGGCGGGGTGATGCTGTGGGTATGGGATGGTGTTGTGCTTGAAGATGGTAACGGAGGTATCATGCTTATTATATTCTAGTTGGTATCATGGTATATATGGTCACATATCACTATGGAAAGAAGTACGAATGTGAGAGATGATGTGATTATTTGTGCCTGGGGAGTTTAAAGCTGGTATATACAAGTGCAACACAACTATCTACCCAAACACTCGTCCTCCAACCTTCCGCCTCAGGGTAATGGAAACACCATGTCTTACAGTTGCCTATCGGCAAGCCTAGATACTACGACCATAGTATTCGTGGGTAGCATATACCATCAGATTAGCCTAGGTCGAGCAAGATATCATGCACCGCTTCCCCCCCTTCCCGCCCCCCTCCATCCTCTCACCCCCCCGAAAGTTGCGATGCCAGAGGCGTTCTAAGCATTCAATCACCCCGCCACCGTTTAGGTGTAGACGCGTAACCAGTAATCATCGCTTTATATCTGCCTCGCCCTTTACAGGGGAGTAGTGGGGCTAGTTGCTAGATAGACCTGAGCTCTGTACTGGTGGGTTGTTCGGGAGGCTAGCCGGGCGGATTCGTTTCAACCGTGCATGGTGAATGTTCTGGCCCGGTCGGGACGAACGGTTACGTGTCGTTACTACCACAATAACGACATGACTGAAGCCATATCTAACATGCCAGGCTGCCCTGCTATGGGCCGTCGGGGGTTATCGAAGTAGGATGCCCATCCCAGTAATCATTGGCGCGATTGATATCTAAATGCCCCAGTTAGAGTCTTGCACACAAAAGCGAAGTAGGGGAATTCCAGGACGGCATGGAACACATCAGAAAAGTTGAGAAGATTGTTTTATGCGGTGTTTCTAGTCATAGTGAGGATTCCCCGTGGGTATCGGCCCATCAGCGAACCCAGACTTCTATGGCCCCGCTGAGTCATCACGTGTGTTGTCCATTGTAATAATAGACACGAACGAAGGAAGAAGAATCAAAAGGGTATTTGCCATACCTCAAGTACACATCCCCTATTCCGGTCTGAACCGACCTCTCCTCTCGGTCTTCATGCCCTCCACCCTCTTCCTATCCTCCTCGAATCGCTTGAGCAGCTCTCCCTGCTCCTCCTTCCTCCTCTCGCGGCCCTGGAAGCGGTAGAAGTCGCCCATAGATTTCCTCTTCGCCTCCTCCTTCTCTAACTCCTTCTTCCTAGCTTCATCCGCATCGTGCTGTCGTGCGGGACCGGTCCTTCCACCGCGAGTAACGGTGATAAATCCATCTTCATCCGGAACATTGCGCTGGCGCTTCGCCAACCTCGCAGCTTCCTCTTCCTTCCTATTCCACTCCGCCATGAAGTTGTCCACCGCAGACTGCAGCTCATCCTTGGGGGGATATGTCAACTTCTGATGTGCCATGTATCTCGACGATCCCAGTGCAGGGACACCATTGACACCCGCGCCCCAGACAGGGTACTCTCCGCTCTTATTCGCCTTCTTGATTGCCTTCAGCGCATGCTCCACACACCGCGCATCCGCCAGAACAGCGACGGCCGTGCTGCCACTACGGTGCAAATTCCTATCCCAAGCCTTGGGCAAGGCATCTTCCGCCGTCTCCGCATTATCGACAGCATCCGCGTGTTTCCTCTTCTTGTTCTTCGCGCTCTGTACTAACTTCGTCTCTACTACAAGCGGAGCATTCTGTCGCTCGTTCTCGAAGATGACAGTCTCGAACCTGCCAGCGCCAAGCAGCGAGGAAAATATTGAGCGGATATGTTGCTCTGTGCTGTCGATTGGGATGTTAACGAGGAAAAGGCTTCGTGAATCGGAGGCCGTGGGGATTTTAGGTGCGTGCGGGCGGACGTAGATGCTGTGTACGGCCTTGACGGCGTATGCGCTCGTCTCGGGTATGGATACTGGGAGGATGGAGTATTCTCCAATACTAGCGATTGCTTTTGGCATCGTGGCGAGGCGTGTGCGATTGAAGTCGCGATGGTGGTCCTGGGTGAATGGTTTGGTAGGCTGCGGAAAGAAATCACCAAAAGTAAAATCCTTATCTTATCAATAATCATGCGCCAAGTCAAATGCGGTTAACTACCCGAAAGCTGGGGTTTGAGCTTCTATTTTATTCATATTTTTGTCCAATGTAACAGCACTATAAAGCTGGAATATTTTGTGGTGTAAGTACTTGAGCAAAATGAGCATCTTCAAGTTATTATTGCAATATGATGCTCTTGCGCTTTGCTGGTGGAAATCACGAACAGCCAGCACACCAGCTAGGTTGTCCCCAATTACACCTTCTCAGGGTCACTGATGCCTCCATTGGTTATGATATATGTAGCCTCGCGCTCAGGGCAGTCTACTGGAGTCAGCATACAGGTATAGTACATTTGGACATGGGGCTTACTTGGTGAATCAATGATCTTTGCAACTCGTTCTTCTCCGCGACCTTTGCGAAGGAGAACCCTTGTCGTCGAGGCATGCGCGAGAACATGGCCGCCAACAGGTTTACGCCCATCAGTACCGGAAAATAGAGCGCTGGCTCCAGGGTCAGATTGAACTTGGTTTGTCTCCGGGCTGTCAGTCTAAATCACATGAAACTATGGCTGTCGAGCTTACCATCACGACGCAAACGTTGAACTCTTCGGCCAGAGCTGCAAGACGCTTGAGGAACTGGCCGAGGGCTTGCTGACGCTCTGCAAGCTCGCCGCGGCCGCTGTAGTCGGTTCGGAAGAGGGCCATGACACTATCAATGACCAGAAGCCGATATTCGCCACTGCAGAAGTTGAATGCGAGAACATCCAGAAGTTCATACTGATGCTGTATGGTATTAGAATAGGCTCTCTCAAAGGTGCTCCGTTGACGAACCTCGCTGTTGAGGCTTCGAGACACACATATGTTGTCACAAGCTTGCTCTGGATCAACTAGAGAAGAGATGAGAACTGAGTAGCAGTGCAGGGCAGGGTTTCCCAGGTGACATACCACCAAAGCGCTCAGCAATCTGCGCAATTCGCTCTGGACGGAACGTGCCTTCGGTATCTGCTTATTCTCAGTTCTATCCCTGTGACAATATGGCAAGAAACTCACCAATCCATGCAACCTTGCCTTCTGCGCCTCCCATTTCCTACGGTTCCTTCAGTAAGTTCTCTGTTGAAGCAATGGGAGGGCATTTTATTACCCTTGGCAGCTGGGCCATGACAGCCATAGTGTGACAGATCTGTGTCTTTCCACAACCTTGGACGATTCAGTATCCCATCAACGCTTTGTGAAATAAGAAACCTACGGAATTCGCCATATATTTCACTGATGCTCATAGTCTCGAAACCCCTATGGCTTATCAACAACGTCTTCGTAGTATGATCCGATAGCCATACCCAAGGAGAATCGTGTCAAGCTGCTTGCTTCCCGTGCTTATCTTCATGCATTGCTTGCGTTTGACCGCCAAGTCAGTGGCAGTCACAAAGCCGTTCGCGTCCGGCTACAAGAAATATTAGCTGGTGAACTGTATCGTATATTCGTGTCTATGTTACCATCATTTTCGCCGCAGCTTCTTTAATTTTGAGGACTTTGACCTCAGAGAGTCCCTTGATTCGTTCCATCTTCTTCCTTGTCATAGACAAAACGCCCTGGTAAAGTAAGAATGCTGTGCAATGATACAGGATACATTGTGGTTGCTCACAGTCACAGTGTGGATGCCATTCAGCTTGAGTTTCGCAATGTCCGATGCCGATACACCTACTGCAATGAGAGATGTCCAGACCATTCCAAAGGTTAAGCAACTTACCATGAGCTTGAATGCTATCAATGTCAATGATTACAAGCATGCTCTGGGAAACGTCAGTATTGGCTGGACGGGGTGGTAGGTGGCTGTTCTTGCCTCATCACCGCCATCGATATCACCGATAATTGAGGCTGGAGCCATGATGGTTATGAAGATGCCTCGTTCAGAAGAATTGTCTACTTATCGAGACACTTATGGAGCCTCTGGGTCTCAAACAGCCTCGCTGAGATCTGAATCTTTGGGAAAACGAGGCAACGAACGATCAAAGAATGTTTCCCACCAATATCAAATCATAAAAGTGAATTACCAGTCCTACAAGTATAGAAATAGGGTTATAATAACTATAGAGCTTGCCTTGGGGTTCTATTTAACCCTGAATATGAATTTTTTCCCGAGGAATATTATGGAAACGGAGAAGAGATGGAAGAGCCGAGTGGGATACCGCCCAAAGACAAAACGAGAGGCCCAAATAGGATAGCGCCAGGCTTCCTCATGGACGTGAGGCCGCACACTCGGAATCCACCGCCATCCTCCCTCCCAGAAAGCGATGAACTGCCACTCTCTTCCTTCATATTACATCTTGTAGGTAACAGATAATAAAAAATCCTATTACCTGAGATTTCCAGCGTCCATCCATGTTATATAGCATGTGTGTCATTCGAAGGCCCGAGAACAAGGCTTCTGGATGCTTGAAGAGGGCAGAATGCTTGTCTGTATCATCAACATACGCGCATTTGTTGAATCCGAGATAATTCTGAGGGAGCTCTCATAAGAGACAAAACTGAACGAATCCATAATATGAAGGGCAGGTATCATAGTCAACTATGGAACATGCAAAGACAATAAAGCTATTGGGTAGCACAGAAATATTCCAATCAGTTCTTCAGAATGAAATGCAGACGAACAGCATGCTAATTGCTTGTCAACAGATGAACGGACAAGTCAAAGACATACGAAACAAGATATTATTCGACTATATGGAACATAACATTTTTGACAAAAATACAAACCGTGGTGCCCGTGCCAGTGGTACTGTTGCGGCCATTGAGACAACGGCCGCTGGCATGTTCGCCATATTTGCTCGTTCAACACCTACATAACAGGACATAATGATTAAAGAGTTGCTGCAATCGAGGACGGTGTCGGGTCTGATCTCTTCTGGTTGATATCTCTGAGAGTACTCCATATACAATGGGTGGCGACTTTCTGGCCTATCGCGTCTCCGAGAGTCTGGGTCCAAGCAACTGGTACGAAACAGTACTCCTGTTGGCTGATCAAACACGAACAACCATGTAAATGGAAGGGATATCAAAATACCTATACAAGTACATGCACTTGCAAGGAGACAGGGCGTTCTAGCGGCTGGCAGCTCTTACAGTCGCACAAACTCAGTGTTTGGGGGCTGCTCCCGCAATTCTTGGCGCCAGAAAGGACATGCAATAAACCTCAAAGAAGCCCTTTGAGTACGACTCGAGCAGCTTGCTTTTCTCATGCCAAAAGCCGTACAGAGTCGAGTACAGCGAAGTATGCTCTGGACCACGAATGTGGCAACTTCTGGCAACTTCGAGCGGCAGAGTTGTATGTACTTTTGTATGACGCAGCGAATGTCATCACAGTCACGTTTTTGCTGGGTCATGTCGCGCCCGGTCGCTCCTTCAATGGACGGTAAGCAGCTTCAATTGGTCAACCGCTGTTGGGTTTGCCCCTTGTTCCCGTTTGGCTTTGTTGCTATCACGACCGCTAATCCTATGCAAGGCAAGTGCGTGGCGTAGCTTGACGAGTGAGAGCTTGGAAGTTTCGGTCGCATTCGGTAGAGAAGTAGCGGAGCGGGAAACCGCAGCTAATACCCTTAAGAGATTTCTCCACGAGTTCCGAGCACTCTTTCGTTTGCACATCTTTATCAACAATCAACCGATTATCTTGAAGTCCACGCGAACGTTGCCGTTGTCGTTGTTGTTGAATAGGAGAGAAGGAGAAGCAGAAGACGTCGAAAGAAGGAAGTTGGAAAGCTAGGAAAGGACAAAACAAGCTGTTGACCAGAAGGAATTACATTGAAATGTAAGTTGGATGATTGTTTTAAGCTTTGTCTGTTTGCACGACTCCGGAGAGAAACCCCCTCGCCCACAAGGATCCGTGGATGCCTGTACAGCCCAACGATATGCAGGAACAACGCAACTGCAGGTCGACCTGCCGCATAATCAAAACTTTCGTGGCACCACTCGGATGTTTCGACAAAGCTTCGCTGCCACCCTCGACACACAAATTGAGCGGTATGATGGCGTAACTATACACTACGGAGGTTTACTCTTGCGGTGAAGAGATCCAGAATATGACAATAGGATCGACAAACATATCGATGCCCTTGCACTACACTACGTTGGAGGACATGGCTTTTCTTAAATTATAAATATTGCAAAAAAGCAGATGCTAACTACAAATTCTCCAGATCCCACTCTACACATCATGTCGTCTCTCTCTCGCCGCGCCTGCTACAAGTGTGGCCAAATTGGCCACACAGCAAACGAGTGCTCATCCGCTGAGCGTCTCTGCTACAACTGCAAGCAGCCTGGACACGAATCGAACGGCTGCCCGCTCCCACGCACCACTGAGGCAAAGCAGTGCTACTCTTGCTCTGGCATTGGACACGTCCAGGCCGACTGCCCAACCCTCCGTCTTGCTGGAACCTCGGGTCGCTGCTACTCCTGTGGCCTCCCAGGCCATCTTGCTCGCGACTGCAGCGCACCACCTGGCGTCGGTGGCATGGCTCCTGGAATGGGTCCTGGCGTTGGCCGTGGTGGATTCGCTCCTCGCGGCGGATTCCAGGGTGGATTCGCCCCACGCGGAGGAGCTTTCCAGGGCCCTCGCCCAACCACCTGCCACAAGTGCGGTGAGCGCAACCACTTTGCCCGAGACTGCAAGGCTCAGGCACTGAAGTGCTTCGCGTGCGGCAAGTTCGGCCACATCAGCCGTGACTGCACTGCACCAAATGGCGGACCTCTCAACACTGCAGGCAAGACCTGTTACCAGTGTGGCGAGGCTGGCCACATCTCTCGCGACTGCCCGCAGTCCCAGAGAGTCCCAATGGGATTGGATGTTGATGGCAACCAAATTGTCGCCGGAATTGCGCCAATCGCCTAGATACAATGAACACCGCTTCACGAATGGTTCCGATGACCTGACATAACGACTTGACTATTTTAACATCGGCCTTTTTTACTTCTATTTGGACATAAATACGTAACCAACACTCGCTGCTCCATTTTAATACGCAATTCGGTATTGGCATCCTCATCACGAAATACATTCTTGGCTTTGCATGTCGCGGAAACGTCTTTATTCACCGGCGCCTGGTCTGATCATGGGTGTGGCTTCGACTTAGAAAGGAAAAAATTGTCGTCGCCCAAAAAGCTCTATTACGTTTTTGCTTTGCGCACTTTTTCTCGTTTTTCGTTACCGTTATTCATTTCCTTCTTTACGACTTTGCAACAAAACCCGGGAACCTGGTAGATACCTTTTGACGATATTGGCACAATTTGATCCAGTGGTTTGGAACTGAACTGATCTCCGGAGAGTAAGGGGAGGAGGGGCAGGGGAGAAACCATATGGAGGCGGCCATGGTATGTGGTGAGGTGGAAAGGGAAACATTGGACGGGCAGAGGATGGAAGGATTGGACAGTGGGCTGTGAACGGGAGAATGGTGTAGATAGACCTTCGCGGTGGTAGTGTGATAGTATAGTAGGTCGTTGAATCAATGCTGAGATGCCCAGCGGCTTTTGTGGATTCCATGCCTTCTTTGGGTGACGGCTCGGTGAGACTGATCCAGCTCTTGAAACATGTTTCAATGGGCCGTAGAAGACAACAATCGTACGATGTTGAGAGTTCACCGCCCGCAAGTCTGAGAAAAGGACTCAATATTGTTGCCCAGAGGCAAAGTAGAGCCCGCAAGCCTTCCATGGCATTTAAGTATTCACAGCAACTGTTGTATATAAATAAAGGCTCTTAATCACTTAGGATTATACTGATCACATTGTAAGCTTTCAACGAGCTGTTTTATTAAGAGCTTAAGCAGAGGGTATAAATTCCATTCATTAGCTTCAAGTCCACATACCGATTATCAGCCGTTAAGGTCCCTCGTAAGAGTTTTGGAAGGCGCGAGTTAACTAACATGTTCGATTGATGAGTGGTCGTCTGATCTGGGAATATCTTCATCTCTGTAATACCTTCACCATTATAATACCAAATACCAAATACCAACACCTGTCTCCCCGCCCATCACAAACACATCCAAGACCCACAAGAACGCCATGGATGGCATTTTGAGAAACATAACCACCAAGTCTTGCTTCCGACGTCTCCGGCCGACCGAAGGAGATAATGTCGGCGCCTTCCACCACCTTGAGGATGTCCTGGCCGGCTGGAGATGGAAGGCGATAGCTTATCTGGAACTCCTCGGATTGCTATTCCTTAACGTTCTATTGATACATTGTACTATTGCGATGCTTATTTATATATACTTTATGATCACCTCACTCTATGAGGAATTCACGGGCAAGAGAGAGTTCGCGTTATGGCCATTGTATGATTCCATTCACATGAGTATGAGAACGATTCTAACTTCTTGGAGTTGCCCAATAAAGTTATTCTGCATACCGCCGCCACAACCGATCGAGCGTATGTTTGACTACTACGGGGCACAACCATCAACTCGGCATTATTGAATATCAGTACTCTAACAAGAATACATTTTGTTACAGTCCCACCACCCCCATCGCATCTCCCATCTTTCAATAACTCCATTACCATTTTCCACAAGTCAATTCATGAATGTGCCATTACGCCCTCCCTGTACCCTCGTCCGCTCTACGCACACATCCTCACCACCGCCCCTCCCCCAAACGGCGCCCCCACCCTCCCTCTCTCACTCGGATGCACAGGAAGCGGCACATCCGTCGTAGGCGCGATACTCCTCCCCGCCGCCTCAACCACATATTCCACCCCATCATCACTCATATAACTCGGCGGCCTCCTCGGCGCCTCCCCATCCTCCGGTATTTGCTCATGGCTCTCCCGCCTTGGCGCCGCCGCATTGCGCGCCCAGAATAGGCGATCGGGGTCCACACGCACGCTCTCTCTCCACAACCCGTATGCCGGCGGCGGAGGCGCTACGGCTTTCGCGTTGGCGCTGGCGTTGGCGTCGCTAGGGGTGGTGCGGGAATCGATGAGCGCCTCCTCGTCGCGGCCGAGGGTGACGCGGATGGGCACGGCGGGGGTAGCGTAGCCGAGGGGTGAGAAGTGCATGCTTTCCATATCGGGAATGAAGCCGTCTGTGGGGCGGGGCTTCAAAAGGAGGAGGACGAGGAGGACAAAGGAGTGGATGAAGAATATTGTGAGGCCGAGGATGATGAGGATGAGGAGGACGTGGAATTCTTGCGAGATGTAATGGGTTGATAGCGCGAGGCCGAGGTCTTAAGGGGTTAGCTTGAGGGTTTTTGGGTCGTGGGGGGTGTATGAAGTGGACTTACAGAGTGAGAGTATGGTTATGAGGAACATGCCCGATATTGTACAGTGCGTCGCCTTCCGGCGCAGAATAGGGCTCGTGATCCCTGAAAAACACGACGCTCTATATTGTGTGGGAGCTCTTGGCTTCCTCTGCCTCCTGGTCTTCTTCTTCTTCTGACGGGGGTCGCGCCGTGAAATTGCTTCTACAAGGACTAGCTCCTCTCGATCCGCGCCGCTGAATTGGCGCATCCGCTCTGCGGTATTCTGTCTCGTTGGCGGGGGTGGCTGTATAGATGTGCTCGGCTGGAGTGCGTGGAAGGTGTCCGGAGTTAAGGGGCGGTAGTTGGCGGGTGAATGCTCGACGGGCGAAGACGAGATAGACGCTATTGTGGGGGAGACGTATGTGGGCGACCTCGATGGGGATGTTGTCGAATTGCTGCGAATATGGGGGAGATCAAATTGGGACGGGGAGAAGGTGTCGAGCATTAGACGGGGGGTTTTGGGGCTTTCGGGCACTCGCGGGCGAGGGCGCGGACGAGGCGCTCGTGTGGCCCCGACCTCGGATTGACCATTGAAGAGTTGATGGATGCCCTGGCGGAGTGTCGTGATGTGTGTTGGCCGGCGAGAACCACGGCGGGGTTCTCGGCGGTTTGAGTTATCAGGAGCAGACATTGTGATTATGTTAGGTGATGGGCCGGAGGGACTGAGCACGGAGCTTGACGAAGGCCTCGGTGGATAATTTCGAGAGCTTGGTTGAGGAGCTTGGACTTGTCGAGATATAAGTGTAGTGTTGCGAGGCCACAACCGCGTCCGCTTTTGTCAAGTAGCGTGTTTATCTCATAAGGATCCAGCCTGTCAGCAAATCGGCCTGCGCGTCGTTTGGTTGTACGAGGTCGACTCGTCCAGTGCTTCGCGGAAAGGTCGGTCGACTGGCAACCAGGCCAGGATAACGAGTGGATGGTGAGCGGAATCCTGTCCGACTCTGTTCGTACTTCCCCAGATCGCTAGTCCCAGCTCAACAGACGCACTTTGTCGCAGTGATCAACACGCAGGAGTGGGCAGCGACACGAACAAAAAAAGAAAAAGACAGACTGAAGGGAGGATGGAGAGGGAGCGAGTGAATCAACCGCCAACAGAACGACGAACACCTCCCAACACGAAACAACAACTAGGAAAGCAGAGCAAGCTCAATGGACATAAGATGGCAGGAGACGGAGAGGGAGAGTGTGTGGAAATACCAGGTCAACAAACCGGCTAAGTAAAAGCAGGTCCCTCCAACTGCGGCTGGATGGGCATGAGGGGGGAAAGAGGGTTCCAGGAACCGTCGACATGCCTCCTCGATCAGCGCAGCACGGATTGCACATAGGTCCAAACATCATATTCTGTGGGCAAAGCGTCTGGATCGGCCATTGCTTTGCGACACGTAGGGCAGGCTGGGACTGCGGGTGTTTGGGGGTTGATTACGGGGGAGCCAGTTGTGGTGATGGAGGCGGGTTGTGGTTGTTTCAGCATGCTCGCTTCAAAACCCGTGTAGGGGTTCGCGCGCGTTTGGTTGTCGGGGATGGTTTGATACGAGGAACAGGGGGGAACAATATATTTGTGATTTCACATGCGCGGTATATGTCAGAATAAATCAAAAAGTTTATTGCCAGAGATTGGGATTGCCAATTCGTGTATAATACTCTTGTTATCTTCAGGGATGGTAATGTGTATTATGTGTCGTAAGCAAGTCACTTTTGTGCCGCCTCTTCTCATTTTCCCGCGCTACGGCATCATAAAATTTGCGCTGTCCAGAAAGAGACTCTCCTCCGTCTTGAACTTCCCTGTGGTATGTAAGATGGAAAGGCCGCATCTAGGTCTGGACAATTCCCCAGTTACAATGTACCCAGGTAATCGAGGGTAAGGTGATTCCATATCACTCCCCTGATCTATAGCCTCGGTATGTAACCGTGACGCTCCCACATGTCCTCACGGGCTCGATATATGCTTGCCAATATACAGTACAAGATATCGAAGCTCCCGGCGAGCAGATTACTCTTATCATCGTACACAACTATTCGTAATCTTCTGGGATCTGTAATTCCCCGCGTTGCAACCCTTGCACCTTGGAGCGTGGGCTCCTTCTCATCCATTATACGTCGTCGCGTCAACCGGTTATCACTTCAGTTCGCCGAGGAGGAGGTTGCGATCAGATGAACCCGTGAGAACTACAGAACGAGTCAGTCAGCAAATGTTTGTAGAAACAAGGGCACGACGGGCTTGTCCCTGTCTATTCACATGTTTGGAGGAGGGTAAACTTACTGATTGGTTCAGGTCCCGGAGAGAACTCTACGCAATTCACCGTTCCCTTGTGGCCTGGCAACTTATACAGCAGCTTCCCAGTATCATTCGACCAGACCACAGCTGTGCCGTCGCCCGCGCCAGCCGCAATCTTCTTGCCATCCTTGTCCCAGCTCGCCCGTATGAGGTTCTTCTCAATTCCTACATTCGCGCCATCAAACGTCTTGACGTTCCTATCCGCTGGCGCAAACGGGCGAATATCCCAGGTCCTGACCGTGGAGTCCATAGAATTCGACAGCAGCGTCTGCGAATCCGGGCTCACTCGCAGCGACGTAATAGTATCATTATGCCCCAGCATCGAGTACACCACCGCCTTCTTCCTCGTATCCCACACCTTGATATCGTTATCGATGCCGCCGCTGTACAGCTCGTTGCCCGCCTCCGACAGCGCCACAGCCGTGATGGGGAAGTCCGTCTCGATGAAGTCGACGGCGGACTTCGTACGCGGATCCCAGATCCCAATACACCCGTCGTCGCTACCACTGATGAGGAGCTCCTCGCCGCGCCGGCTCACATCCATGCAATTGATAATCTCCTCGTGTCCTACGTGTCTTCGTATCCTCATCCCCGTTTCAAGGTCCCACGAGGCCAGGTGCATATCTGCCGACGCAGAGAACAGCACCCGCGAGTCGCGCGACCAATGCAAGTCTAGGACAGCGCCCTTGTGTCCGTTAAGTATACCGTAGTTTTCGCAGTCTCCGTAGGTTCGCCATAACACTTTGTGTGTCGTCAGCTAGATGCGCATGAAGTTTGGGGTTGTATACGTACTTATTGACCGGTCCATGGACCCAGATGCTATGTAATTGCCCTCAGGGTTGAACTTGGCCGCGAACACTTCCCCAGAATGCCCCGTCAGCTCCATCACGGGAGCTTGTAGCCCGCTCGTACGTGGTTGTGCTTGGATGAGCGCGCCATTGCCAGCGTTGTTCTTGATTGCGAGTTGTGTCGAGTCCCGCCTATTAGTCCTCTTCACCACGAGTTGGTTGGACCCGAAATCCTCTGCTGGGCGCTTTTCGGCCGACATGTTTTCAGTGCAGAAGATTGAGAAGTCGCGGGAGTTTGGAGGAGTTGGAGAAAGTTGTTGCGTGAGGGTCGTTTGTTCTGGAGTATTGGCTACCTTGCGTGAGGCGCAACAATTTTGAGAACCCACGAAAGTCCCAGATTCGCGCTAGTAACTTTAGTAGCCGGGTTGCTTTGATGGGGCTTCAGCCGCGCCAACGAGGCGGACAGCTACAGTAGTTGCCCACGCTACTGACAACGTCTCAATCTTTGATATAACCCTTTGACGTACGCACGAGGTACTTGCACCAACGATGGCGTCCAACAAAGCTGCAAGAGTTGGCGAAGAGTAAGCAATCATGCAATCCTACAGTTGACCCGAATATACGATGCTAATCCTCGAGTAGGGTGTGGAAGTGAGTCTTCAACTCCTTGAACTGTGAAAGCAACGGCCCATTACCGCCGAGCTTCACATACCGTATGCGATTCTATATACTGATTCAATACAGGAGCCGTATAGATAAAGTCAATGCCGAGCTTGTTACCCTCACATACGGCACAATTGTTGCGCAGCTATGCCGCGACTATGAGGGGGACTACGTCGAAGTGAACAAGCAACTAGACAAGATGGGCTACAACATTGGACTGCGCCTTATCGAGGACTACCTAGCAAAATCGAATTCGATGCGCAGGTGTTCGAACTTCAAAGAGACAGCCGACATGATCTCAAAGGTGCACCACCACTACCCCCACTTGCCGGACCCCTACATGATTTTGGACACCTACTCACACCCCTCCAGGTCGGCTTCAAGATCTTCCTCAATATCACACCGACAGTGACAAACTGGACGACAGACAGCAAGCAATTCTCGCTGATCTTCGAGGAGAATCCGCTGGCGGACTTTGTGGAGTTACCCGACGACGGGCGCGCGCAGGAGGAGCTCTGGTTCTCGAATATCTTCTGCGGGGTACTGAGGGGCGCTCTGGAGATGGTACAGATGCAGGTCGAGGCTCATTTTATAAGCGACGTGCTGAAGGGGAATGATACGACGGAGATGCGGATATCGCTGATACGGTACATTGATGATGAGATGCCGGCGGATGATGAGTGAGGGGTTGGTGGTGCTTTTTGTGGAGTTTCGGCGCTAGATATAGGGGTGGGGATTCATGACATGGCAGGGCTATGGCGACGGGATGGTTTTTGGTAGGTACGCCTTGATAGAGCTCCACCGAATGAAATCATGTTCTACAATACTGGGCTATGCTTCCACCTCTTTGCTAGTTGGTTGGATAGTTGTGGTTGTTACGCAGCCTCATCGGCTGTTGCGTACCTTTTTTTCCTTTTCACGTTAATGCTATGCATATATAGCTGGTTGTCTACGTCGCCCGCGTAGCGAGACTTTGTTGGGCCTGCCATGTTGATGGATGATGAAGGTCTAGTGCGATAACTTTTGATAAGCTCTTCCTGTCCCGCTGGTTTTCACGCTCAGCAGCTAGGTTACAAAAATTGAGGGCGAAGGAAGGCGCGATGAAGGGGTAAACGAGCGACTAGACTAGCTACTCGTGAGAGCGGAAGGAACGACTAGCCTGCTAAAGTATGGAAGGCACGATTGGTCTGTCGATGTGAGAAAGAGCGAGAGGCGTATGTTATATTGAGTAAGAGGTCGAGGGAGCCGGATGATGCGCTCAGAACTGAATCTTTCGGACTCAATGCCGGAGAGAGACATGCAAAGTAGAGAATATCCAGATGGCAAAATACAATTCTCAATTCGAGAGCCTCTTTACCCCTTATATTGTGCCATACTCAAAGAGCAATCACATACGTCCATAGACTCAAGAGAATTGGGCATCCCGTCCACTCTACCATACACATGCTTATAATTCAATGGCTTGATACTCTCAATCCACGATGAGAAGGAACCATTTGGAAATCCTACAAGATAATAAAAAATACTCCCCCGTATCACCCACCAATCCATCCATATCCCTTCCTGTCCCTATCCCAGTCCCTATCCCATCCCTTTCTGTGACGTCGATATCCTTATGGGCACGGGAGTTGTTGCAACAACGTTTTTAGTGACTCCATTTCAGGAACAAACAGCATCCAAGGCAGGCATATCTCAGATGGCCTATGGAAAACTATTCTGTCGCCGGAAGCTCAAAGAACGAGAATAGATCAAAGGTTAGATAGATTTTAAATGTCGCCTATTTATAATTGAACTGCTTAACAGTAGTGAAGGGAAACAATGTCTACGAGGTGTTGGCGATTGATAGACCCCGAAGAAGATTTGGCCATTATCCTGAACTGCTTATCCATTTCGCAGCATACCAACGAACGAATCATTTGGGTCTTGCTCGACTTTCTGCAAATATGTCATAATCAGGGTGCAAGCCAGGTTACGCTCCGTATAGACAACACTCAAGTCCGCATTATGCACCGTGATATTTAACATCTTGTCAAAGGCTCTTCTTACAAGCACTGGGATTTTGTCAGCTTGTATTCGTAAGTACTTGAAAAAAGTTGCGACATACCTGAGAATACCAGTCGTTCGAGTATTTGCAAGTTGTCCCTGCTTCACAAGTTCCCGAGCCTGTCCATCCAATTCCAGCGCTGTTATATGTTAGCACTTAACTCCGCAATAGAAATCAATGAATTTACCATTGCCCCCAATGAGCTATAGTTCCTCCCGATGGTGGGGTCGAGCTTGTCGTAGCAGCTGGTGGGCTAGTTGTGGCTACACTTGTCGGGCCAGTTGAACCCGTCGAGCTTACAGGCGGAGGGGTATCGGCGCAGGTAGTAGAAATGCAGAACCAAGCCAAGTCAACAGTCTCGTGGATGGGAACAGTGTGTCCCACGCCTTGGGCAGAGTAGCCGACAAGAGTTGAGCCATCGCCGTATACCAACTTGGTATATCCTGATTGCGGATTGTTGGCAATACTTTGCGTTTGGGAGACGCCAAGAACATTTGACCATTCCTTAAGCTCTTCAGCAAGGTTGGGATAGAGTAGAATGGAGTCAGCAGTTCCGTGCCAGCTGTGAAGTGTCCGTCAGTATTTGAGCTTGAATATTATATGCTTAAACCCAGGATACACATACAGTAACATCTTGGGCCTTGGACCCGTATATCCAGGGTAATAGCCTCGTACTTGATCTCCCCACTGTTGGGCAGTCTTCACTAGCTGTCCATTTGCACATTGGTTGTTCCAACCCGGAGTCGCCATATTTGCAGTCGATCCTGCGACGTAGAAACATCCGTCTGGGACTCCAGAGTATGCGCTGCCGGCTTTGAAGACATCGGGGTATGCACCAGCGAGAACATTGGTCATCATTGCGCCTGAACTACTTCCAGTGACATAAACTCGGCTTGCATCACCACCATAATGGCTCACGGCGTAATTAACCATATTTACGATCGTCTGGCTGTCGCCGCCGCCGTTGTGGGTAAGAGATGCAGTTGAAGCTACATCCCAGCAGCCGCCACTAGAAGGCGAATTGGGGTATATAACAATGTAGCCATAGGTATCAGCATAGTTGGCATACTGGGATCCAGAGAAGTATGCCTGTGCTGTTCCCTGACAGTAGTGAATAGCTACGACGATTGGTGCCAATGTTTTCTTTGTCGTCGGAACGTAGATATACATCTTAGCTCCCGTGGGAGTCGAGGTGAAGCCAGTGACTTGTTGTAGAGAGGAAGTGAGAGCATTGGCAACTCCCCCCAAGGCAAATGATGCCGCTACTGCTGAAAGGAAGCGCATTTTTGCTAATAATTATGTCGCACTTTCAGTATGGATGACAATTACTGCACTGCAGAAAAAATATCTATGAAAAGGGAGGGTAAGTCATCACTTATACTTAATACTCTTCTGCGTGAGCAGGCCCCAATAATATTGAACTATGGCACGATGGTGCCCTTCCCCTTCGCCCGAGCTACTCATAATGAAACATTGGGGTGAAAAAATGGGCGTATAATCACATTGGCTACAGAAAATGTATGCATCAGCTATGGGTTATCGTATGAAGAGCTGGAACAAAGTGGCCATGTATACCTGCTGACGCCAAGTTAACCTTATCACGACTAGGAAAGGGGGGTTTCGGAAGCTACCTTAATTAATCCAACCTATTGGAGAATCGGAGAGCCGATTAGAGAAAGCAGGAACAACAGGCTAAGATGATCCTGTAGTTTAATGCGGGGCTCAGATCTCAAGAGCCAAGCCGGGCCTCCACCCCGCATTTAAACGGTGGTGACAAACGAAGGATACTACGCACAGCGCATTTAAAGTAGAAAGTAATAGATTGCCGTTGTGGTTTAAAAACCGAGATTTGACAATTTAGCCTTCCCCACCGGCTAAAGCAATATGCATTGACTGTAACAGGAAGTTAAATTAATTAGATTGCCTCCACTTCCGCGTCAGGTGGATGGACGACAGTGAGAATACCAATCATTGGAGAAGTTGCAACACAACCCAGAAACGCATGTAGTTGCTCCAGTCCATCCACTTGCACTGCCTGAAGTTATTAGCTTAGTCGCTCTAGGATCTAATCCACCTTGTCTGGATCCGCATGCTAACTTTCTACTGAAAATCGGGACCTTATCCGAATCTGCCGACGGTACATCATAGCCGGATTAACTGTTTATTCTGCGTGTTTTGATTTTAAGCTCGGTCAAACTTTTCGGTTGTAGGTATATAATTAATTAGTCGCATATTTTACATTGTACGATGATAGATTGAATGAGGGGTTTTGTTTAATTTTCAATGTCCTCGCATGTTTGGGGCATGCTAGGTAATGGAAATGGGATATAAAGCGAGATCGTGCGCGAAATTCTCAGAGTGATTATACTCTTCAAGATAGCCATAATTTGACATTGATGTGCTGCATTTTATACATAAAATTGCACTTCTATATGCTATTGTCAGCTGCGCTGTGCAGCTCAGAAACGCTGTACCGGCATAGGGTAGCGTATAGTCTCAGTGTTGGTCCTCCTCTCCTTTCGCTCCTTAAAAGACAAAATATCTGACTAGTTTATCTCACTACAGAGCATTAGGCATCCATTCGCACCGTATTCCCCCTGCAGAGCTCCCACTGTATGCGGACCGGCTTGTTTCTCAACATCCTCACTTTTAACGAGTGTTTCGGGCTGGATTACAACCGCAAGGATAGTAACTTAATACGGCAAGGGTGCGAGGCAGGTACATTAGATGGTAAGGCAATAAACGTCTAAAGATAGAAGGAACGACTAGCCACTAGGGGGAAAGGCGGGGAAAGAACGACTAACTATTGAAGGAAAGACTGGCTAGATAAAAGTATTAAAAATGGAAGGCACGACCTAGTAACCCCATTATATAAAGAAAGAACGAATATTTCAATAAGGAAAGGAACAACCGAGTAAAGAAAGAACGACCGGCTCTAGAGAGAAGGAACGACCATGCAAAGACGGAAGCCTAGGTTATAACTAACACTGAACAGGCCAGAGCAGGTAATGTTCGATACGAGGACCGGTCTATCGCTGTTGGCGCAGATGTAGTTCGAGGCCAGATAAATTGCCATTTAACCATGTGATAAACGTAGACAGCTAGTCAAATACCCAGTCTTTCCGATGGGAATGTTGAATAGCACTGCCGCCTTGCCATCCTTGTACGGCGCGTCAACTCTGAAATAGCCCTTCCGCTCAAGCTGGATGATGTCACCCATCCTGCAAGTGGCCAAGTTAGCATCACAAAAGGCGGCAGTCCAAAACTCGGTCTCCTCGGTTAAGAAATCTTCCCAGTTATCATCTTCGTCTAGCTTGTCCTTTGTCAGTAGATAATCGAAATCCACCAACTCCGCTGGGATGAGACTTTGACCCTCAGTTGAGAGCCATGTGATCTTTTTCTCAGTCTTCTTGACATCACCTTTGAGGTGAAGTTCGAGCTCGATGTCTATAACGGGGGAACGATAGTCCAGTGAGAAGCGATTGATCTTCCGAACGATTGCGTTACCCCAAGCCATGAGAGTGATCTCCTCGTCCTGCTTGAATAGCTTGGCGTCCTCCTGATCAAGAATTAGTTGGCGGCTGTAGGCAACTTTCTTCGTCCCTAAAGTAGAGTTCTTGTTGTGTCTTGGCCTCTCTTCCGTATATGCTTTCTCCGGACCTCGTTTGATAATTGTAGCTATGACAGTCTTTTGTTGGTCAACAGCAGTATGTCGAGGAGCAATTGAGTCGATTTCCTTCTTGTTAATATTCCAGAAGATTGGCCAATCCATGAGAGTGACGTTTCGACTAGGACCTTGCTTCAGAATAAAATCCCGTAGTGCTGCGATGGTTATCCCTCTTCTCAGAACACCGCGAATCGTCGGCATACGAGGGTCGTCCCACCCTGACACTCTACCGGCATCTACTAACTTGGTCAACTTCCGCTTCGACAAGAATGTTCGCTTGAAGTCCAAGCGAGCGAAATCCCATATATGCACTCTACGAAGGTTGAAGCAATCTATAAACCACTGATATTGTGGGTTACGGTCGGCAAACTCGGTGGTTCTGAGTGCATGGGTTACGCCTTCGGGAGAGTCGACGAGAGGGCAAGCAAAATCGTAGGTTGGATATGCCTTCCACAAAGTACCAGTGCGGTTATGAGGTGTATGATTGCAGCGGTAAATGACCGGATCCCGCGTCGCCTTGTTTGGATTGTCTATAGATATCTTTGCGCGAATGCAATTCTCTACCTGTGTTCCAGTAATCATCCCTTCAAAAATGGCGATGTTCTCCTCGACGGTCCTGTTACTCCGTGCGCTCGCCTTGCCAGTCATTCTCTCGTCCCTCATGGTATTCTGGTCAGTATCGTCTGCGTATGCGTTGTCTTCTTTGATCATTCGGACACAGTACTCGTACAGGGCCTGGAAGTGATCGCTCGTATAACTCGTCTTGTCCGGTTTGATGCCCAAAAGATCCAGATCCTATATAAAGGTACCCTCCTATTTCGATTCGATGATACGAACTCTACGAAGGAGAAACAAGAATTTCAGGCTCAGTCGTGAGCGAAGTAATCATTTAGCAAGGCAGCCTTCGCATGGCCAATGTGAAGGTATCCACTATGTAAAGTCAGAAATGGCCCTGGGAACTAGGTGCTAGGTATCAGGTATTAAATAAGGAGACATACGATGGTTCGGGAGGAAATCTTGTGACAACTTTTCCCATCTCAGCATCTTGGAGAGCGATACTGTAGCTAGCAGTATCCCTACTTTGAGCAGCCCTCTTCGCCTTTGCCGCGTCATCCTTCGCGATGAACTCTTCCTGGAGTTCGGGATACGACTGCTTAACGAATGCAAACCAACGATTCACATTTACAAAATTCGCCCTCTTCAGTAAGGCCTGCGCAACCCACAGTGTCGAATCAGCTTGACTGAGGGTGTAACCGTCGATGTATGATCGCAATGTAAGATATTTGTCTAAGAAAGCGAGGTGAGGTTAGATTAACTTGAACTCTTCCTTTGACAGGTCTATCACAAGTCGGGGCATGTCTTCCTCCTTCATCTTGGTCTTGCGTAACTATCCTCGAAATCTTTAACATGTTGCAGTTGGCTGCGGATAAGAAGATTGAGAGCTGGGTTGAGGAGGTTAAGATTAGCCCTGATAACTTGAGGGCGTCGCTGGCGAGGCTGCACAACAGTGATGTGCGTTACCGTTTTACGTTGACGGGTTATGAGGAGGTTTTTGGTGCCTAGATGGGTTGGGATTTGCTAGCGAGGGGCGGGGAGATAGGGAGTAGCCCGGATTTGTATACGAAAATGATATTAGTGTGAGATTGATCTGCTAGTGCCATGGATCGTGAAGTGCAGATAAACCCCTGTGGAGTGCTACAAACGGCTTTGGGCGTTTATAATATCTAACTTATATTCAACTTATAGTGTCCAACTTATAGTATCCATACGCCGTCATACCTCTAATAGCTATCCTGGTCATTCCAATACAGCGTATCATGAAACACCTCCGGCCCCGTCGCCCTCAACTCCCACCCAAACTTAAGATTAATATACTGCATAAGATGACTCGCAACCTTAATATACCCCACATCCGTCGGGTGCCACAGCGGCCCAATATCATTATGCTGCAGGATCCCAGTCGTGTTGAAGTAGTGCACGAAGGGCGCATTAGGGCGGCCCGGCTTACAGGGCGGCAGCCACCATTTTAGGGGGTTGCGGGGCGGACAGGTGTGTTGGCTCGAGAGGTATGAGGCGCTGTTGAAGTGCTTGTATACGTCCCAGATCTCGGTGACAAAGGCGGGGCCTTGGATGTAGGTGTTGCCGGACTTGCCGAAGCCGTTCCAGAGGGCCTGTTGTGGGAGAAGTAAGCAAAGAGATCCGAGGAGTGTTTTTAGGGAGGGAGAGGGGGGGGTTGGGTTACGCTTATGATAATCTGGGCTTTTGGCCACACGTTGTGCACGCCCTCGACAAGCTCGATATAGCTGTTGTAGTAGTCTTCATTGGTGACATTGTTGGCGGTGTTGTTATCATTTGTGCCGAGATTGATCACGACGATGTCCGCAGCTGGATGCTTCGAGAAGTCCCAGAGCGGCGGGTTGGTTCCGTAGATGTTAGTTGCTCGTCCGCCGGTATCTGACGTGCGATACCATTGGTATGTCTGTCCACGAGGGTTTCCCCAGCACTCCTGGTCCGTGACGCAGATTCCAGGGTAAGCCGTGACCGAGTACTCCGTGTCGCCGAGGCCGGCAGCTAGACCATAGGCGTAGGAAGACAGGCCTTCATAAGTGCCGTACATGCCTGAGGAAAGCGAGTCGCCGATAACCTCGATCCTGCGGTTGTAGTCTTTCAACTTGATGAGGGAGGCGCCAGCCGCTACGTGGACTGATTTGACTTGCACGCCATATGCCCAGTTTGTGACGCGGAGCTCAAACGTAGACGGGCTGATTGGGGAAGTCAGGTCGACTCCCTCTGTGCTTGGCGAAATGAGAAGATGGGTGGCATTGGTGGTGATGTTGCTGAACTGCCAGTCCTCGCCATTGATCCGATATGCAACAAGCACTCCGTTCGACGTATGAGGCCCAAAGGTAATTGCAACCTCTTTTCCGGTAAATCCGAATTTTAAACCAGGTACACTATAGTAGATGTTAGTAACGGCTCCTACTCTTTTAAGACCTTGAGGGTGAGGGGGTGAACTTACGACCACCAGGAGATATGATCATCGTCCCAGCGTCCCTTATAACTTAATTCAGCTGCATTAGCAGGATAAGTTCTCCAATTATGGGAGCTCGCCTCCGTGACAGTGTTAGGATAATCAGTCACTCGGACTTGACCATTTTGTAGGATAGTAGCTGACACGAAGCTACTCAAGCAGCACAATGAAACAGCCCACGACTTGGAAATCCACATGATGTCTCAGCACTGCGTAGTCAGGTCCCTATGCCAGGTGCGAGCCTCACCGATGCCGATGGGCCTGCTTTATTCTTAAAAGGCATAATGCGGGGAAGATCATCTCTTAGCCATCGTGGTTTCAATCTCGGTGGCACAGCTTCCGAGAAGCATCACTATAATATAGCGATACGCACTATGGAAAAGAAGAAATGGCTGCAGATTATATATTACTTGGGGTGTAAACGGCGTAGCTTGGAGGATAACGACATGGGTCCATCTCCGGACGACCGAGACAGATTAAACATTATTGACACAACAGTACTATAACATTAGGATTTGTGATAGTACAGCACTACCACACCACTCCTGTTCGTCGCCTAAAGTTACCCCTGAAATCGCTGTGACGTCGGACAAAGCTTCCCCAGGTTCCGTACCCAAACGCTAGCCCACCTAAAAATAATCACAGCCTCGTCCCTCAACCTCGCAACATAACCACCAACGATGGCGGCCGCGATACCATACACGTACATTCAATGCCCCTGTACGAGAGACACGCATCATGATGGCGATAGGGAAGATCGCCAGGACGATGAGGACTTTGTCGATTCCTCTGAGGAGAGGGCAGAGGAAGACGACGACTTCGACCCGCACAATCCACGCGCCAACTACAGCTTATACCCCATCGATCACCTGCTTTACTGCGAGATTTGCGCGCAGATTCGATGCCAAAGATGTCTAGTTGACGAGATAGTGACGTGGTTCTGTCCGAACTGCTTGTTTGAGGTGCCCAGCAGTACTGTGAAGAGCGAGGGCAATAGGTATGTTTGCCATATCCCACACTTCCATCCCCCACGCGTCCGTTTGAACCTATATCTAACCACCTGAACTTTATAGATGCACACGATCCTGCTTCCAATGTCCAATCTGCATCGCGCCCCTATCTCTAACCGGCCAAGCGGCCTCCAACACCCTCCTCGGCGGCGCCGACTCCTCACATTGGGTCCTCTCCTGCGCCTCCTGCTCCTGGTCCTCATCCGAAATCGGCATCCAATTCGACCGACCCAACGGCATCTACAGCCAACTCTCCCGCATCCGCAACGGCGGCCAAGTCATCACGCCCCCCAAAGAACGCGCCCTCGGGAAAGACGCCACCGATCGCCGCCCGGGAGAGCGGCGCTCCACACTCTCCAAAGTCGCCGAACACGACACTCCCGAATCCGAGGTCGATGAGGAGGAAGACACAGATCCCACACCCGAAGCCCGCTTCGCCAACCTCCGCGCCTTTTACCAGAACCAAATGTCGTCTCATGGCTCCGCGGAGCGCTCTGCATTCACAAACGACTACAGCTACGCGTCCCCCAACGCGCTCTCCCGAATCATGAACCTCTACACCTCCTACTCCTCTCCCACGCCACAAAAACGCATGACCCAGATCCGCGAAGCCCTGAACACCTCAGAGGGCCTGCATCCCATCCCCGACCCTGCCTCCGAAGCCGCCACCATCCTCAAACTCCGCAAAGAAGGCTGGGCAGGTACACCCTCCACCGAGCAGCGCGCCGCACAGCCTTTTCCAACATGCGACATCCACTCTACCTCTGAACTCCGCCCCTCGCCCTACCTCCTCCGCACGAAACGCACAAAGCGGTGTCGCACGTGTAAACACATCGTCGTGCGCCCCGAAGCTAAAGTGCAGACCTCGCGCTTTAGGATGAAGATGCTGGCTGCATCTTACATTCCTACCTTTTCCATCAGGCCTCTTCCTACCCCCTCCGCACCCGCTGCTGTGGCAGGCGCGACGCAACTTTTGCAGCCGGGGACGACGCACCAGTTTGTGTTGACGGTGCGGAATCCCCTGTACGAGCGCGTGCGCGTCACTCTCGCTGCGGCGGCTAAGACGCCGGGGCGTGTGGCGCATGGGGTTACGCTTCTGTGTCCGCAGTTTGAGGTCGGAGCGAGTAGGGAGGCATACGCGGATATGTTAGACGAAGCACTCGGTGGGGGTGAGGCGAAAGCGGGAACTGGAGAAGGAGAGGCGGGGAAGGTGTATGAGCGGGCTCGGAACGCGGTGGGTGTTGTTGTTGAGGTTGTGCCGGGGGTTGAGGAGGGGTTTCGGGACGCGAGGAGTGAGGTTGGGGACGATGAAGAGGAGGAGGAGGAGGCGCTGGAGATTCCAGTTAGGGTTAGGGTGGAGTGGGAGGCGGAGGGAGGGGAGGAGAAGGATGGAGGGGAGGGGGCGAAGGTGAAGAGGGAGTTGGGGTTTTGGGTTGTGCTTGGGGTGGGAAAGGTGAGGAGGGAGTAGGGGAAGGGTGGTGATGTTAGAGTAAGATACCCATTCGACTGTCGTAGATGTCATATAAAGCAAATTTCTGTCGAAAACTTCCCATATGCTGCATCTATCTTCACAGACCCCAAAAGCTCCAAGACTTGCCAAGATAAGCCCCTCTGTTAAGCGCCTAGACACACACCAGGCACACATTTAATAAATCACACAACAGATAAGTAATGATATTAGCAAAGAAGTTCATTTGCACACTATCTACTTATTCGAGTCATAGCTCAGTAGCTAAATGTACAATACAAACTCCGCCAGTGTAAAAAACATGACAACTCCATTACTCCATTACCCAAAATGCCCCCAATCATGACCTTGCGGCACGAGAGAAGAGCGCGTCACTGACGGCTACCGAATTGAAGGAATTATATCTACGCTCGCCTCGCCTATTCACACTGGCCACTGCCTCGTTGACACTTTTTAGTTGCGGAAAAACCAGTACCTGTGTTTGTTAGTTAATGATCAAAGGGAGTAGGAGGTATGGATAACTTACTCGGCGGCATATTGAACTTCGAATGTGGCAGGCATTCCCTCGCATGTCTTTGGCGGATTACCACCAGCAGTGTTGAGGCGGTAGACGCTCTCGAGGTTGCCAGTTGCGCCATCCACAGCAGTAAGCTTGAGCCATGCAACAGCACCATCTCCCTTATTGCCTTGTCCCTTGATCGCGCTTGCTGGGGCAGGCGCACTACCAGCCTTGCTACATGGCAGCGTTCCGATCTGCTGCTTCGCAGTATCCAAGTTGAAAAAGGGGACACCGGCATCGGTGAAGAAGTGCAGGCCCGAGACCTCGAGGTTGGCGGGGTTCGGGGCGGCGGGGTTGGGGCCCAGGTTGAATTGCAGGGCGAAGCCGGGGAGGGTGTTGAGGACCAGGGGCGAGGTGGCGGCGACGCACGAGGCGTTGTAGAGGGTTGCTACGGCGCCGATGGCCTTGGGGATTGCGGTGGCGTTGGTGGTGTCGCAGGTGTAGTTCTGGATGCCGCGGCCGATGGCGACGTGCTTGAGGGTTGTGCCGGCATCGGGTGCGGGTAGGGGTTCTGTTGCTGCGGGAGGGGTTAGAGTGGTTTCTCGTGCGATTGGAATATGGGTTGACTTACAAGCTGGCATCACGGCCTTGCTTAGATCACAGACTGGTGCGGAGGCCCACTTCCTCCCCTCTCCGACCTTCTGGGCGAGCTGGTTGAAGTATGTGGAGATGAACTTGGAGTCCGATGGTTGGGCGGGGAGCCAACCGTCGTATTTTGGAGCGGCAAGTGCAAACGGCGCCAGCGCAGCTGCGATCCATAGCGAGTAACGCATGGTTGATATGTGCGAGATGTTGTTGATTGTTGAGGTAGATATAAACACGGCGTAGGTACAGTTTCAACTTTCAATGAGATAGCCCAAGTAGATAAAATAGATATAAACGTAAGAGACACTCAAGGAAAAGACCCAACAGAGGAAAGAAACTGAAAATAGAGGAGGATGGTAGTTCAGAGGCTGATGATCGTAGACAGACCTACTTTGGGCCGGATACCAGCTCTGTCTTATACGCAATGACTGGCATGGTGTCCTCGGAGATCGTGAATATCGCGTGGCGCCTCTTCGACGACGCTCCACACCCCCAACAGCTCACAGAAGGGTGCTGAAAATAGGGCGGTTGGCCATTTTGCTGCCGCGCGACTGGGATCTATTCTTAACGAGGGTCTATTTGGTCAAGCGTCCGCCTAGTGTCACAGAACGGTCAAGGGCCGATCACTGCAGGGGAGAAAGACTGCCGCTGACCATCATCATTGGCCGTCTGACGATGTTGTGGTTGTCGGGATGGGATGTGTACCCCTGAAGGTTGAAGCTCATGACCCCTGCTTGATCGGTCATCAGTGGTCGGAATCATATGTAGTGGGGTTGTTAGCTGGGGTTGCCCGGGAATGGTGCCTCCACAGAGTGACATCGGGATCTACCCCCGGATTGGCTTCTTGATAGACGCTTGGGCCGCCGTATGGCCGGCCAGCCTCTCTCCAACGAGGAAACAGGCAAGGCGGGAAACGCTTCGCGTCTGACGATTGTGTTAGTGCCGACTCCGCTCCGTGAAACAAACACCGTGCTTTCTCCCAAAAACTTGGCCCGGATAAGATTCGTCAGTGCTTCTGATAGAGTAATCGACAAGGTGAGTATGAGCACAGTAAGACCTAGGCAACACGACGAGTTTGAGCCCTTTCCCCTTCTCCTGGATATGCTTGCCAACCGGCCCGGATGCCCTGCCAAGAAAGTACAATCTTTTCCTTGGATAGATACAGATTTATCCTTCGAGAAGCAATATTCAATCTGTAAAGCGACACGCCGGACGGATAGCAGCCGCGATGACGAGTAATTGGCCTGTGGGTTCAATGATTGGACGGCATATGGGGCCGCCTTTAGCAAGACCGCTAGAGACCTATTGTTAGGAAAAGCTTGGCTATCGCTTGTGGCAGCCGGCGCGTATATCCAATTAGTCGACCCGCTCTACTAAGTATGACCCCGGCAGTCACCAATAGCACAGCGGCACCCCCAAGATAGATTACAGAATCAATAGACTGGCTATTAATGCATCGCAGTTGTCGGCGTCAAAGTCGATGGGCGACAATGTTTGGTCCATCCCAGCGACCAATGACCATGGAATATGGGGTCTTCAGCTGTCTGCCTTAAGCTCTGTGGCAAATATATATATGTAGCACAGCGCCGCCGTCTTGGCCAGGCTTTTGCGACTTTGCGCCTTTGCACAGACTTGCTCCCGCGATACACAAGTGACCTAGAGAATGCTTGACTTCTCCCAAGGTTGACTTTACCCACAACAGAGGGTCCAGCATGCCCCGCATCTACCATTTCAACGCATCTACCCTTCCAAGCTTCAAACAGTAGCACACGTTGCCCCGAAAGGCAATCCGTTACCCCTCACTGTGATATCTCTCGACTGTGCGTCGGTGTTGTCCTTGTCCTCCTGGAAACCTGCAGTCTAGATCACTCGAGTCCGGTCAGCAATGCGCGATATCCAGTGCAGTTGTTAGTGAGCTTGCGTTTCAAGAGGGAAAAATATGCAAACTCATCTATGTCTGGCGACTCTGAAACGCGACCGTGCTGAAGTTCGCAGGGCTGCGAACAAGCATCACATTGAGGAAACAAGCCACGTCCGTGCGTCGAAACATGAGGATCCTGGAGACTCAAGGAGAGCTCGTCTGAACTTGACATAAATCTGATGATGCCTCTGAAACGTAGATCCCAGACGAATTCTCCGTATCACTGTCCGAGCTCAATGGAATGGAATTTTGGTGATACCTGCAAAACCTTGTTCGGTGTTCAAGGTCGTGCGCAGCCTTTCAACCTGGACTACTCGCGATAATTGCACCCGACTCACAAATTCCATATCTCACGTAATATTCCCTGGTTTGACATTGATATATTTGAGTTTCAACATTCTGATGAGAAACAAAAAGTAAAACGCGCCCGTAATTGTCAATTCGTAAGCTCTGTGATCTGAAGTTCAAATGTCGAAAACTTGTGGTGATCGGGCACCAGCAGAACCCCAAGTCAGGTGACTTTAGGCTTTCGGCAGCCATCGGAATCGCCCAGGGAAGACCCGGACGCCAATCGTCAGAGTACCCACGGCAACAGAGCTTGATGAGCTTCAGCTTGGACACATTTTATTTTTCCTCCTCCTCCGTCATTTTTTCATGGCGAGGCGATGAGAACATCCAATGCCAGACTTCTGAATTGAGATCTGCCTTGTTAATGTTGCTGCCTCTCTTTAAACAGCTGCCTATGGCGCCGGTATCGCCAGCACGTGGGTCCGCCCAGGCACGCCAGCCCTGTTATCTGGAGCTAAGTGTGTTGGAAAGGGTCATATTCATGACTGAACGAAGGTGAGTTACGCGGACAACTTTCAGGTAGAAGCTTCAACACAGCAACAACCGTGTCTTCACGACCGGTATTTATTTCATTCAATTCCACCTGCATTGGAATAACTCATACTTCTTTTTCTACATCATTGATACCCATAACATTTCCTTGCCACACCCTCTGAACGCGCATGATCCGGCATTTCCGACCTACACCATCCAACGCCCAATATCCAACACCACCATCAGTCATCATGGACTATTCACCAGATCTCAGCAACAGCATCACGATGCACCCGCATCTGTTTCATATGCATCCGAACCGCCCAGAATCTACAAGATCAGGCCATAGAACACCAGCCCCTCACGATAAGGATGCCTCAACAACCGCAATAGACCTTGAACATCCTGAGGGCAACGAGCCAACTGCTCGACACGTCATGAGCGCCACAGATGTCGAAGGGCAGCACCCGCCACAATACACCCGCGAAAACGATCCATACAATCTTTCTGCGAAGTTCAAGTCTGAGACCGAACTCGAAGCCATCCGCGCCAACTCATCGAGGAAGCGCGATGGCTTCGGGCCCTTGACGCTGAACAAAGATTCAGCGAGAGCGAAGAAACTCCAGGGCTTCTACAAGACACAAAATGAGAATATCGAGCGCCTGCTCAAACCCGTGGACCATCACGTTGAGGAGGCTAGGCAGGAGGCTGGAGACAATCACTTGAAGTTCCAGATTGCAATTTACGGGTCGCTGATTGCCAACATCGTGTTGTCCGGCCTACAGCTATACGGTGCTATTGCATCCGGATCGCTCTCTCTGTTTACGACGATGGCAGACGCGGTTTTCGACCCGTTGTCGAACGTTGCCCTGATTGTTGCCAACCGCGCTGTGTCAAGGGTTGACTCAAGGAAATTCCCCTCTGGAAAGGCGCGATTGGAAACCGTTGGCAACATCTCTTTCTGCTTCATCATGATCGCCGTGTCTTCCATCCTGATTGCCTTCTCTATTAAGGATCTCGTGACAACCAAAGATGCAGAGACCAACGGCTTTCACCTTCCCGCCGTCGTCGCCGTCGCTGTTGCATTCATCACCAAGTTTTGCTTGTTCCTATACTGCTGGGCCTTGAAGGATAAGAACTCGCAGATCATGATTCTCTGGAAGGATCACCGCAATGACCTCCTGATCAACGGCTTCGGTATCCTCACCTCCGTCGGTGGCTCCAAGCTCAAGTGGTGGATCGATCCTATGGGCGCCATCATTCTCTCCGTTATCGTTTCCATCATCTGGTTGCGCACCGCCTTCTCTGAGTTCATGCTCTTGGTTGGAGTTACAGGACCCGTGGACATGCACCAGCTTCTTACGTACACATGCCTTACTCACTCTCCTGACATCATCGCCATCGATACCGTGCGCTGCTACCACAGCGGACCCAGGCTCATCGCCGAGGTCGACGTCGTGATGGCGCCAGAGGCGACCCTGAGGGCTACGCATGATGTGGCAGAGGAGCTCCAGATCAAGATTGAGAGCCTGCCAGATATCGAGCGCGCGTATGTCCATGTGGACTACGAGACTACGCACAAGCCAGAGCACACGTTTAAGAAGGATATGTGAGGAAACGGCGCGTGGAAAGCTGGGAAGGGATTACCATCGGCGGTCGATAGGGACGATGGATTTGTATTATATAATAGCGAAATGGGCACGGTGTTATTTTGGCGCCAGGGTTGTAGCAGAGTCCTACATATAGTAGAGACCTATAGCAAGTACAAGAAAAAAGCTAATTTTCACTCTAATAATTATGTCCTCGTGTTGTAGATATGTAATCATTGAATGACAGGTCGCAGTTATTAGTATCCATCAGTAGATAGTACGGTGTCTATGGAAGTGCCGAGCGGTGTTACATACGCGGCAGAATCGTGGGCGGTGAGTCGAGAAAGCAAGGAAGTCGCGGCTTATACTGTGGCGGAACGACGGAGCGGAGCCATTGCATCACGAATCCATCGACGTGGCTTCAAACGCCTGCCTGGCATCAACACCACGACCGCAACCAGAGAGGTGCCGTGCCAATCCGCAAGCTCCGCTGACTATGGGCACATAAGCCCATCTGCGCCAGCACACTCAACAAATTCAGAGGGCTGGGAATTGGAGCTGTCACACGATGCGACTCGTAGCTTATGCTGGGGTGAGCTCCGAGTGACCTGGGGAGTTTTGGGGGAATAGGCAACTAATGGATGATTTAGGCTTCGACAGCTCTAGCTGCGGGAGTGATAGTACATGCTTTCAATCAGAGGCCGAATTTCTATTCGGCGTGTGTTTATTTGTCGCAGAGCAATTTGTCTTTAATGGTGAGCTAGGCCGGGACCCCTAATCTATCACAAGGCGCGGACTAACCATCTTACTGTAGGTCCTCACAAACCTGGCGCTCTTCGTCGTCGCATCTTTCATATACTGCCTCCAGCGAATATGCTACGGCCCGTTACGCCCAATCGAAGTCGAGCAGCTCTACGAGAAGGGATGGTTCGCCATCACCGAGACATGTCTGGCCATGACCATATTCCGCGATGAAGTCGGGGCCTGGTTCCTCGTCATGTTCGTGGGATTGATGGCCGGGAAGGTATGGGGATGGATTGGAGAAGGAAGGGTGGAAATACTGGAGCAGCAACCGCCTGCAAATCCGCGGCTGTTCCACATACGACTCTCGATCTCTCTGACCATGTCCATTATCTACGACGCCTGTCTGCTTTCATATGCTATAAACTCGGTCATCCAGCAGGCTAAGCCGAATATGATGGTTATGTTCCTGTTCGAGTTTGCGATTCTGACGGCGTCGTCGTTCTCGACGGCCCTGCGCTATGGAATCTCCTTGATCGAGGCGAAGGTCATAAAGCTACAGACGCAGGAGATGCTGGAGAGCCGGAGGGCCGAAGTTAGGAGGCAACGACAGGAGATGATCAGAGAGAGAGAGGCTGCGGCTGCTAGCGGCGAGCCACTATCAACTGAAGCAGCCGAGGAGCCATTGCCCTCGGAAGATGATATTGAAGAGATGGACATCGAACCACCTGGATGGGAGACGAAGGGTCATTGGGTGTTGACCCTTGACCTCATGACTGGTATGCAAGAATTCATTTGGTTCACTCTTACTTTTCCGTTTACTGATGTGCTCTTTAGATTTCGTCAAGCTGGGTATCTACTCTGCCTTCTTCTGCATCCTTCTGACCTTCTACGGTCTGCCCATCCATATTATGCGCGACCTATTCCTCACCGCGCGTTCGTTCCTCAAGCGTCTTAGTGCATTCCTGAAATACAGGAATGCGACGAGAGATATGAACCAGAGATACCCCGACGCTACCGAGGAAGAAATCCAGCGAGAGGATACCTGCATTATCTGCAGAGAAGAGATGACGCCCTGGTCTGTCACAAATCCAGCACCCGGTGCTCCAGCAGCAGGCGCTCCCCCCCCACCTGTTGCCCGAAGCCCGATAATCAGCGAGCGGTCCCGACCAAAGAAACTACCGTGTGGACACGTTCTGCACCTTGGATGCTTGAAGAGCTGGCTCGAAAGACAGCAAGTTTGTCCAACGTGCCGCCGACCCGTCGTCGATACCAGACCCGCAGGAGCCCAGGCACCAAGACCACCAGGAGCCCAACCCCATCTTCCCGGCCAGCTTCCCCTCCCGCAAGGCCCACCCGTTGCTGATAATAGAGCACGGGTACACGTCGCTAGAGGCATCAACATTGGACCCATACGATTTGCTTTTGGTCGCGACGAGATGATTGATTTTGGCCCACCGCCGAACCAGCAAGCCTTCCCGGGCGTGCCACCGGGCCAAGCCCCCATCCCGCCCAACGCGCGCGTCTACGGATTCGAGATGGGCTTCCCCCCTCCACCCCAGGGAATGAGACACCCCCAAGCCCCTCAGGGCATGTATGCCCCGCCTTCGGGAGCAGCGAATGTGCAATCCCAATTACAACACCTCGAGCAGCACATCGTCCAGGAGATCCAGAGTCTCTCCGTCGCGCAGACGGAGCTCGTCCTCGTCCGCCATCTGCAAGCTGAACTACTCCGCCTGCGCCAGCTACGTGCGCCTGATCACCAGCAGCCTCAGCCGGAAACGCGAACGACTGTCGGAGCTGCCCCGCTGTCGTTTGTGCAGCGCCATGAGCAGTTTGCGAGTACGACGGCTATTCCGAGCGGGAGCCCGGATTTGCCTCCTGGGGTTACGATTCCAGAGGGTTGGTCGCTGTTGCCGTTGCAGAATATGGATACGCTGTTACAGCCGCAAGCCGGGCCTTCGGGTGCACAGGATGCGGCTCCGGCGACTGGTGAGGTTAGTTTGCCCGCCACTGGGCTGGCGGATCTAGCAACGCAGCCGCAAGGGGCACCGGTCGTTGGGGAGACCGGGGTTACGCCAACGGATACGAGTGGTACATCGCTTGTGGCCGATCCTATAGTAGCTCATCCAGAAGCTGCTGCAGATTCTAGCCCGGTAGAGATGGCAGCTCCTTCAGCAGCCGCCGCAAATTTTGCTCCGGTAGAGGTTGTGCCTAATCCTCTGCTGGCCGCTCCTGGGCCCTCTATAGAACCGACTCCGACAGTGCCTTTGGTAGAGCCATCCTCGTCTTCAAGCGAGGATCCTGAAGCTACACCTAGTACGGAGGAGACCGATGAGGCACCGCTACCGGATTGGAGCGCGCCTTTTGTATTCCCTGGACAGCAGGCGGGTGAGGCGGCTAAGGGTGATGTAACAGCCGCTGCTGTTACATCACCCTTAGCTGCGGACCCGGTGACACTTCCCTCGTTGGTGCAGGCGGATGAGGTACATGAAACTGTGAGAGCAACTGATGATGTCGCTGCGAATGGCTCGGTTGCGAATGGTTCAGCTGCCAATGGTTCAGCTGCACCTAAGGAGGCGCCTACATCAGAGAAAGACGCGAAAGGAAAGGGCAAAGCTAAGGCCGCGAGCGTTGAGGAAGTCGAGGAAGTCGAGAACGCGTAAGGGACGAGCGGCTGATAAACGGACTGTATGACTGGAAGGAAAAGAAAAGGGAAGATCGAGGGTTGTGGGCGGCGGAGAGCATGAAACTGGCGTTTTTATTATATCTTTTCGCGCCCCTAACTTAGATTATGGGGCTGGCGTCTGTAAGCTATACCACTTTGTGTACGAGGAATTGAAAAGACTTGGGTTTATTATTTCTATGTGTGGTTGCTATTGTGATTGCGGCTGTGAATGGGCATGGAGGCGGCATTTAACGGCGGGTGAGGCCATGCCCAATATCTGCACAACGTCTAAGTTGGGGTACACACTGGACATTTTGAGTCCAATCACAGCTCGATCGGCGAATGGTGTCATGCACAGTAAAGTAGGGGTTCAAAAAAGGCACGGAGCGCTCCACAAGTGCACAAAGGGAACGGATAGGACCATTTAACGTGCTAGAGGTTCGTAGGAGGAATGGTAATTGGACAAAGCTAGGAGGAAGGGTAACGGTAACCAGCCATCAACAACTGAGACAGACGCGTTATTATATATATATGTCGTCACAGCTATATATAAGCTATATATTTTTTTGTTTTTGCCACAACTCTCTGGTGGCTGTTGTACATTCATTTACCTGTATGAGCAAAACAAAACAAAAATAGCTGAACCCCGGGTTGGTACATAAACCATACATATATGAATCAGCTATAGTTCTCTTCATGCAGCTTGCACCGCGTTCGGTGTTGAGCGCTCAACCGCTCCGTGTAATTTCCCCGCTCCTTCTAGTACCTCTGTGTCTGGCCCAATTTACGTGGGGGATAAGGAAAACAGGACCCGCAATATTTATCCATAAGCTGTTTATACCACCAGTAAACCACCGCCAGAGTGTATACAGTACCTCAAGACTACCCGCCCAAGCGTCATCGAATCTCCCGCCCGCCATTCTTGTTGGTGCCCATTTTGACCAGCTTTTGATACCTGGGTACGGAGCTTGTGTCTTTGTGTTTTATTTACACGGCAGGCACGAATCTGAGGGTATCTAACAAAGCTGCTTTTCTGTGATCTTTTAACGGAAGGAGGGACCTACTTACTGGTGTTGCTATCGTTAAGAGAAGGGAGTCCCGTCTTGTCGCGGCCATGGCGACTGAAGATGTGTACGCCACGGTACGTTGAGCTTGCAACACCACCAGCGACTTACACCTGCTAATTGAAGCTGTAGCTGCTGCTGAATGACTTGTATCTGCCAGGTAAGTTTAAAGTGCCCTCGAAAGCCAATGCGATGATGCTGAGTCTGTACAGGTGCTCTTGTGTTGGCCCATTCGTTACGAGATGCGGGGACGACGAAGAAACTCGCTGTGCTCGTCACGCTCGACAGCGTCTCTGTGGACGCCATGGTGGAGTTACAGGTATTTCCCCATCCCCGGCATCAATTCTACGTGCATGTATCTAACGCGCGAAATCCCAGAGAGTCTACGACCACATCATCCCCGTCGACCGCATGGTGAACCAACAGCCCCAGAACCTCTCCCTGATGGACCGCGTCGACCTGCACTCGACCTTTACCAAGATCACGCTCTGGAAACAGCTCCAGTTCCGACGCATCGTGTATATGGACGCGGATATGGTGGCGTGGCGCGCCCCGGACGAGCTGTTTGCCGTTGAGGCCGCTTTCTCCGCGGCGCCGGATATTGGGTGGCCGGATATCTTCAACACCGGGCTGATGGTGCTTACTCCCAACATGGGGGATTACTGGGCGCTGTACGCTATGGCGCAGCGCGGAATCTCGTTTGATGGAGCCGATCAGGGATTGCTGAATATGCACTTCAAGAATAGCTTCAATCGCTTGAGTTTCACGTATAATGTCACCCCGAGCGCTCATTATCAGTATATCCCGGCGTATAAACACTTCCAGTCGAGTATAAGCGCGACGCATTTTATTGGGAAGGAGAAGCCGTGGACCCAGGGGAGAGAGGCTAGCCATGGATCCGGTCCGTTCGATGAGATAACCGGAAGGTGGTGGGCGGTATACGACCGGCATTACAGAGGCACTGTACGTTTGTTACGTCCGGGCTGCGTGACTACTCACTGACACATTCTAGAAATCGCCGACTGTCCAGTACTACGTGAAGGGCGAATTCCAACCCCCGAACTACAGCCACGTCAACATCAGCCACGATCAGAGTGAGATCATTTCCCCGGAACCTGTTACGACCCTTGGCCCAGTCCCTGTTGAGGAATCCTTCCGCGAGACGACCCAGATAGAAAATGAAAAGCCGGCTGACCATGTTGAACCTATTCCAGAGCCCGCACCATTCGATCCGTCGCCCGCGCCTTATGTCCCAGGACCAGCATCATACCCACCGGAGCCCGTGGCGTCTGCACCAGAACAATTAATATCCGGTCAGCTCCCAATCCCACATGGAAACCCCCCCGCGGAATCTGGACCTGGACCGGCGTACTTACCGCCTAGTTCAGCACCGTTGCCATCTGCCACGCCGCCACAGTTTGCTCATGAACCAGTAGCTCCTCCGTTTGTTGCGCCGTTCGCGGCATGGGATGCGTCAAGGTAAGTACTGCATCACTCTGAGTCACGTTAGCTAATTAAATAGGTCTGCACCACCTTCTGGCTCAAAACCGGAGGCTGCGAACTTTCCCGCTACTCAATACTCCATGTCTTCCGATCCTACACCATACAAGGCCCCGGAGAGGTATCCGGATCCTCCCAAAGACATGTACTACGAAGTACCAAAGACCCCAACATACCAGAAGCCCGCCCCAATTTTCCCATGGGAGACCAAGGACGCTCCCAGGCCCACGAGGGTATTCGCAGAAGATGAAGACCTTCAACCAACCAGCCTAGAGCCCACCGACGACGGCGAGGCGACCGACCAAGCCACCTCCCCGGCATCAACGGTAACAACCATCCCCTCCGACCCATGGCACTCATTCTCTAGCAACTCGCGCAACGCGTGGGACGACATCCCCGAAATCGAGCGCTACATCGGCGCCCTGCAGAAGAACCGCAAGGGCAATATTCAAGTGCTCCAAGGCTACGGCTCCGGCATCAACGAGGATGGACTACCCGGATCGGGACGGCGTCGCGCGAGTGTGCGCGTCACCGACTTCCCTACCGAGATCGAGCGGCCTAGCCTGCCCGTGACGCCGGCGCCGATCAGGCGGCCCAAGTTCCAAGGCGGAGGCGACGACAATGGCGACGAGGGCGAGCTGCCCGTCGCGGAGGGGGTCCCCGCACAGACTGAATGGGTATGCATGCAGCTATGGACATGTTTTGCAAGACTCTTGATCTTAATACTAGTACAGGATCCAGCGGCCCAGCTGGAGGCGCTCGCCAGAAGACAATCGGAGGTTCTAGGGAGGGAGCTCGGGGAAGGGGGTGGGGGGAAGGAGATTCCGCAGCGGCCGCTGCCGTTTGGCTCCGAGGGCGTAGTGGTGTCGAGTCCGGGGGTGGCGGATTTGCAGAGACGTCCGTCGAATCCAGTGAGGGGGAGCTTGGGGGCGTTTGAGGAGCCGAGTTATGGCGGGCCGGGGGCGCTGTGGGAGAAGGATGAGGGACCGGTGGTGGCGCGGGGGACGCATTTGCCGCCTAGTGAGGCGGAACAGGATGCGTTGGCGTCGTGAGGGGGGGTGAGTTGACTCAGACAGATATGGATGATTTTTCTTGAGGAGGGAATGTATATTAGCTTTCATCCCCTGCTCGGTGGGGCGGGGTGACCCGGGAGGGGGGTTATATTTCTCATTTTTGCACCGCATTGTTTGCGTGGCATTTTCTTGCTTACGTCTGGGATGGGCGCGCTTTGATCTTGGGCGTTTAGGAAAATCTCGAGGGAAGTTCTTCGGTGCTGTGGTGGGTGAATGGCGGATGGGTGTGTGGTGTAGGGTAGTTTAATCTATCTATCTCTACGTGCTTAAAACTATGTGCTGGTGCTTGGTGGTGTGATGGTGAGGGTGAAAAAGTATGATTGGGGATGATGGAGGAGGTGATTATGGTTATAAATACCACGACAGTGACGCCCTCGGCATTACTGAGCATTATAACAACTTGAACACTAACGAAGTAATGAAGGAGATCAAACTGCAGCGCAGGACAAGTTCGGACCGGATAAGTACGGACTCCACAAAACTGAACCAGCCACTGCGGAAGTGATCTTCAGTTGCTGTCGTTTGTTCTCGCTGTCGTTCTCACTTTTTCGTTGTCGTCCTCGATTACTTCCACCGTCCTATCTTCTCACCGCATCAGCATCCCATCTCACACCAAACCACCAGCAACCTGCTGATACCGCCATATATATATGTGGCTCCGTTACATCCTCTCCTCCCGCCAGGCCCTCCCACAAACCATACCGATCTTCTCTTCTTCGTCGATGTACTAATGAAGTGTTGTGATCGCTGACACGCCCGCTGATACTTTATACCCGATCCTACAGTGTGGATAACTAATATATCGATAGATCCTGCAGAGTGGCCTGACTTATGCCCACCGTTATGCAGTCACGGTCAGTTCGATACTCTCCTCGCGAAGCCCCTCACTCACACTTTCTTCACACATCGATAGACCACGCCCAACAGAGCACCCTCGCCCCATCTCTCCTCGGGTCCCTTCTCGCCTTCACTGGACCGCGGTCTGGGTTGAAGATTTGGAACCGAACCGCCCCATGGTCTGGTCTGGGGTTGGTCCCCCGTGACGCACACTACTCACTTCCAACCCAATTACCAACAATCAGACATCAGAATTTCACACATCAAAGAGTTGAAACAGCAAATTTTCTTGTTGTACGTGTTTCTACATAATCAAAGGTCACCCAATACTCTCTAGACGAGAAAGACTGTCGACTTGCCGGATGCGCACTCTAACAGGACGATACAACCCCCACCCCTTCCTTACAAAGGTGCGGGGTGCTGGTGTCGTCCTCGCTGTTGTTTGTAATTGCTGTCGTCGTCGTCTCGCTGTCACAGCGTCTTCTCACTGCCATCGATCGTCCTCTCATTGGCATCGCCATCTAAGTCCTCGTCCTTGGCCCCATCGTCATCCATATTTTCTTCACCTATATCCCCATCTTCCCCATTATCTTCTTCGTTGTCTGTGGCTTTCTTCTAACTTCTATATACCTTAATCGCCTCCCCGCCTCCCTCCAAATCCCCTACCCCCTCACCCCTCCATCCCTCAAACCTCTTCATCAACAAGAGTAACTACGCCCAGAGACCCGAAGATGAATCCTCACGTTCCCTGAACCTTCATCTCGGAACGGCTCTCAGTCACGCGTTTTGTGTAAGCGAGATCGAACGGGGCTATAAAATGAAACTTAGGAGAGAACACCAGTCGGAGCTTGGCAGAGGCCAGCAAAGCTCAAAGCTTCCATGGCATGTCTTGCCTGGTCGGTCGCTTTCCATGGCATCTGGATGGGACCGGGGCTGGGGGGAGTGGGGTGCTGTCGTTCGTTGGGGTTGTGGTTCTCGCCGTCGTTCTCTCTTTCTCGCTGTCGTCCTCTCGCTGTCACCGACCGCCCCCCACCCCCCAGTCGGGCGTTTTTGCTAGATGTCGAGGAACTTCTGGAACTTCCAATATTGTTGCCTGAGATGCCCACGGTACGTGTAAGCATATGGAGCTGCACAGTGGTGGAGATATCCTGCGGTCTTCCCAAATGCGTCGCCTTTCTTCTTGCGACGACAGTTTCTCGTTCAACCTTTAGCACTTCCAGCACGCATTACGCTTGTAGGTAGGCTTGATAGACTTTGGGAAGTTCTGAGTTTGGCCGTTTGAACCGAAGATAGAATAGTCATTTGCGGTGTAGTGGTCCACAGCCTTCAACTAGTAGAGGCATCCTTGGCCGAGGAGAATGTTATATGAGGGAAACTGGGTCAGGGATGAGGTAGCTGGAGATGCAAAGGCATATTCTCCCGATGCTTGCTCTATCCTGAACAAGCCTGTGACTGATATTATCGAAGATAGAATCCCGACTCGGTCAGCCACAAATGTGCAATCCACTGTTATACTCGGAGAAGGAATGAGCCTACCAAGGCACGTTTATTTAGCAACTCTTGGATGCCAATATCACCACCCGTACACACGTCCCCCTGGTCAGCAAAAACCAAGTTTATTCCGAAGAGAGAACCTGGAAATATGCTAATGGTGGTCTGAAGGTGAGTTGTTGAGGGGACTGGTTGCTGCTGTCGCAGTCATTGTCGCCGTGGTTCTCACCGTCGTCATCATTCTCTCGCCGCCGTTCTAATTCTCACCGTCATCCTCCTCCTCCCTCCTCCCATCATCGCCCTAGTCGCAGCCACATCTCACCCTCCCATCCTCCCTTCCGGAACCCGCTAACCCAGTGATTTAAACTTTATGACGAGGAATGGGAACCGCGTTGTCTGGTATAGCTTAGGTAGCATCGCGGGTTACGAGTTATAAGACTTAGTGGTGAGCAGGCCTGCAGATCTTGTGATGGTGTACTTCAGTGTTTGCATCTGGAAAAGAATAATCAGTCGTGCTCGTGCTCAGAATCCATCCCTGATATGGTAGCTCCCTCACATCTAGCACTTTCCTTTGAACGCCTAAGTCCGTTTCACGATAGATATTTTTCTCCTGGACCCTTGAGCCCGTTTCCTCCTAGGGGCTGGGATCACTTTTTCCGCCTCCCCCCTTCTCCCCCGGCGATACCAAATCTTAAAACACACAATCCATAAAGCCGCCTCTCTCCTCTCTCCGCCACCCCAGCTCGGAATCACAGTCCCCAGGCCGTGGGTGGTTCCACGCATCTACAATGCGATGCCATGCCCCTTTCTCTTCCTGTCATAACGCGTGCATAACTATACATGGAGGTTGATTCAATCAAATGGCGCCGGAACAGTAGTGCAGGGGGTTGATTTTAGTCTCTTGGTTTGGTGAGTCGGGGCTGCTGTCGTCGTTCTCGTCATCACTAGCTTTGCTGTCGTCACCATCTTCTCACCACCCCTTTTTCTCACCCTCCCTTATCTATCCTCCGACGCATAACAACACCCTCCCTTCCATAACCGTGCACACACACTACAACCCACCCCCCACCCCCCTCC